GTCGAAGTATCAACTTCAGTTCCATCATTCGTTGGTTCGGCGTAAGGAATAATAGTTACCGAAACAGAAGTACTTGTTGTTGTATACCATAGTTTAGGAAATTGATTTCCTTTTGTACCAGGTCGATAATCTAATTCTATTAGGTTGAGTAGACGATTGAAATTCCAGGGTCCAAACTTATCATTTTTACGTATGAGTAAATTTGGTCGATAAACTAGACGTTCAGTTTGGTTACTCATGTCGATTGGTTTACTAGTCGATCGAAGTGCATAGAGATGAAGTACTGAAATTGGCTTTCCATGAATAGTGAGAGTCTCATTCGGCTGATTCAATTTATCAACGAATTCGTTCACTTTTGGATATTTTAATTTTATTCGAATAGTGATATTAAGATCTTCTAACACTTCTGGTTGTGTTGTACTCGACTGTTTCCTGCAATATTAACCTGAATTCGATGGAGAGTTCATTTATTCGAAGAACTTACGGTGTAGTAGCGGGACGTTTCATTTCAGAAACTGGCATGTCTAAATATGTGCATTTCGTAAACGTATATTTACTTGTCATTTTCGACCGAGAGATGATTAATCTAAAATAATTGAATCGAAATTCAATACGAATAAAATGAATATAGTGATTATAAAGAAAAAAAAGGAAAAAAAAAAATTTGTATTTCAATTGGGTTTTGTCACCCTCTTTTCATTGGCGTTTGAATTTGGAGTTTGGTTTGCTTGCTGGTTTCGTACAAAGTTTTGAATTGGAATTGGTTGAATATTTCGATCTTTCAATTCTTGGTTGATGATTTCTATCGATTTTGCATCAAGTCTAGTCTTCTCATCGCAATAGTGTTTGTTGAGCGCAGTAAGAGTTTTCTCGAGTTCATCCATGTCCCTGTATGTTTCTTGTCGAAGTTGCTCATTAGCAGCGAATTTATCTTGGTTGTTTTCAATTTCTTTACGGACTTGCCGTAGTGCTTTTTCACGCTCTGTAATGCGTTGACTATTGCCTTCAACGTTTTGATTCAGTATGACGAGTCGAGCTTTTGATGTCTCGATCTTTTCGCGACTTTCTTCCTTGGTCTTGATAACCCCTTGTAGATTTTTAGACACTTGTTCAATATCATTCTGGGTTTTGAGTATTTCTTTTTGTTTCGATTCAAGCTTCGATTCGACTTGTCCAACATCTTTCTTTAATCTGTCAGCCTGAACCTCATACATATCGCGTTTTTGAATGAGTTCTTGAACTTTAGCAGAGTGACGCTGTATTTCAGCATGAGTATTCTTTTGAGCAGATTGGCATTCGTTCAGCTCTTGCTGGGTTTGCATTCGCTGTTGATCAAGTGTTGATATTTCCTTGACGACATAGCTGATTTGCACCGATACATCTCTGAGCTGCTCGGTTTTGTCGATTAGTTGACGTTCTACTGTGCTAAGGAGTTCCAATTGCTTCTCCAACTCTGCTTTTAGTTGTACTTCGTTCTTTTGAGTTGCTTGTAACAACGTTTGTTGATTTCCCATCTCTCGTCGTGTCATTTTCTCAGCATTTACCTTGTCGAGAAGTTTTTGTTTGGTATTTTCGTTTTGTTGCTTGAGTCGTTGAACTAAGCTGACTTGTCTATGATGCTCTGTCGTGACAGTGTCGAGCTCGGACTGATTCTCTCGTTGTTTAGTTCGTTGTTCTTCAATCTTGCGCTCCTGTCGTTGAATTTGCATAGTTGCACTTCCAATTTCAGCAGTTAATTCTTCTCTTTGTTGCCGATACTGCGTAAGTTCACTCTGATTTCGTTGCAGATCACTTGTGGCACGATCGAGTTGCGTTTGAGCCCGACTCAGTTTATTTTGTGTAGTCTTGAGTTTGCTTTCAGCTTGAGTATGTTTACGGTTGGCACTACGAAGAGCATTATTAACTGACTCGTAATGATTTTTACTTTGCAACACAGCAGTGGACTTTTGTTTAACAACGTCCTCTTGGTCCGCTCGTTCCTGAGTCAGAGTGCGATGCGCTGATTTCGATGTCTGAAGCTCTGTTTTAGCTTTACTATGTTTTTGACGAGCAGTATTGCATGCAGCTTCCTTCTGGCTAACCTTTTCCCGTGCTCGTTGCACATCATTTTCTGCAGAGCTTTGATTGCCACCTAGAGGCGGAATAGGTAATTTCGTAATGAGTGTTACGGCTATTGAGGCAACTGTTCCCAAAAGACCCGCAATTTCTGCATTTCCACGTCGATCTTCGGCAACCCTCAATTGTTCTTCAGCTTGGCGTAACTCGGACTCGGCAGAATATATTTCTGCTTGGGCACTTTGCTCTTCAGCCAAAGCGCGGTCATATTTCGTTTGAGCTTCCCTTTCTTGCTGCTTCAATTGAGTCAATAGCTGATTGGCTTCAGTGTGTTCACTGATGGCAGTTTGATGTTTCTGCTGTGCTTCGTCTCGTTGTGCTTGTAAATCATTACATTCAGCAACTAATACACCAATTTCTTCTTCCAGTTTATTTTGCTCAGCTTGGTAGATATTCACTTCGTTCGTGTGCTGCTGTTGCAAGCGTTCGCATTGTGCTACTTTCGCCTGAATTTGCCGGATAAAATCTTCTGCAGTGCGCAGTTTTTCTTGAAGTCGCCGAAGCTGACTGTTCGCTTCGGTGAGTTGATCTTCCATTTCCATAAACTCTCGATCTAATGTACGCTTCGCTGATTCTATTTGCTTTCGACTTGATTCAAGTTCACTTCGCTGTTTTTCCGCTTGAACTAATTCGTCTTTCAACTTTTGGTACTGTTCTTCAAGTTTGCGAATCTCCTCCTGCATCTCAGTAAGCTCCTTTTCAAGTCGCTCAATATTCCGTTGAAAAATCGCAGCTTCCACTTGCAGTCGATTGATGCCAGCTGTTTTCTCATCGACAGCACGCTTTAGCTCGTTAATCACACCCGTTAGCTGCTCTTTTTGTTTCTTTAAATCTTCCTCTTCACTTTTAAGAATCTGTTCTTTCTCTTTCAGACAATCGAGTTTAACGATTGATTCTTCGATTTTGTTCATAATTTCATAGATGCGTGCTTGCAATTTTTCTGCTTCTAATTCATAATCTTGAAGTTTTGCTTTTTCATCGGCAACTAAGATTTCCTTTTCTTTGATCTGTTCGTTAATTTCTTCGACCTGCCTTTCGAGCTCTTTCAGCGATAATTGTAAATTATTTTGCATCTGAAGATTTTCGTTTTCGCGTTCCTTCATTTCGGTAATTTGATCTTCCAGTTGTTTTTCTTCGCGTTTTAATTCATTCTCCCGTTCAACATAGGCCTCTTGTTCACTCATATAATTTTCAATCTGCATTTCGTATTTTTCTAGATTGTTTCCATGGAGAATGAGGGTCTCGGTCGTTTCATATTGTTGCTGACAGATTCGAATTCTTTCCTCTTCCAGTTGCTTGAGTTCTTCGGCTTGCTCTTTGAATTTTTGAAAGAGTGGTTCATTGTTGTTGGATATAGCAGTGCTCTCATGAGCGAGATTCGTTTTCTTTTGATTAAGCTCTACTTTATCGGCAGAAAGCTTTTTATTCTGACTTCTACATTGTTCTATAAGTTGTCTTTTGTGATTCTCATTTTGTTGTTGAGCCTGCCATTGGTTTTCGAAAAAATCATCCTCTTGATCATCACTCATCTTGTCACACCACTGTGGATTAATGTAATGTTATCCTTAATCAGTGCAATCTAAAATGTAATATAAAGAAAAAATCGATTTCGACAGCAAGGACAAAGATTTTAACATGGACGTCGTATTTATTCTATGATTTTTGATAAACTAAATACGTCTGGTTGAAATATTTAACAGAAAAAAGTGAATATTTCCTTTTGGATGGATCGTATGAGGAAATGGTAAATTTTTCTATCCCAACCATTCGCAAATGAATCAAACCTACCTTGAATAGAATCTAGTCGACAATCAGAATATCATTCTACTTCTTACGACAGTAAGATACTCATCAAGTCGACTATACATGTATATATATAGAGGCAGAGAAAGAAGCAAACTAATGAAGAGAAGCTGGATAAAACCATTTGTATTGGCGTTTTACATGTTACACGTACGCATTTATCGATAAAAAAGAAAGGGTAAAAACCCATGAATAATATTTGCGTTTGTAAAGAAAAGACAAAAAAAGAACGCTGACGGAATTGTTTTTATCTTTCTGTATTTTCTTGATTTCAGCTGTAGAATACATAGTTTTGTAGAAAGATCGTTTAACGCATAGAGCGGAGTTTAACGTTATAAGTGGATCAAGTTCAATTCAATAATAAGTACATGATTAACTAACCGTCGCTTTTCCAGCGAAAATATTGCTAAGAGAACGCATATAGCAGACAACAATGTGGTTGCTGTTATCAGCTAAGCATCTATTCAACGTGCATCTGTCTTTTGCGGCTTCCGTTTTCACCTATATGAAAATATACGACGATTATATTCAGCACGAAGACGATCAAACAAAACGCGAATAACTTTATAACGGAGATTATCAATTAGAGATCGTGCAATTCCTTGCACATAAAGAAATATTCTGTAAAACACAGAACTTATATGATATTCCATTCACGTAAAATAGTTTGTTGATGAAACGTGAGAGACGTTTTAACTCTCTCGAAATTCATTCCAATTTTTATGATAAGACGTATGGAGATCAATATGGTTTCTGATATGCCAGGAAACGTTTTTGACTTTTTGTCGTTATAATATTGAGGGTGTGTGTAAACAATAGTAACGCAAATGAATGTTGATAGAAGAACGTGACAATCTGGTGAGACTTTGACCTGCAAATCGAATAGTGAGATATCATTCGACATTATCGAAACTTGAGACTGTAAAACATATAGCTGCGAGAAGTTCAAAACTTATAAGTACTATTGAATCGTTTGATAAAAATTCTGATGCAACGTTGTTGGTATTTCGTTAATTCTCTAATTCATTACGCACATGCCATGAAAATGGTCAAACTCAGACAATACTTCGGACGTGGAAAAGGGTGAGGTGAACTAAGTCCCTCTCATTTTTTTCAAAGTATCTAGGCAAATCATATCTGATTGTGGGCAAGGAAAAATAACTTGCTGATGTAGTATCGAANACTATTGAATCGTTTGATAAAAATTCTGATGCAACGTTGTTGGTATTTCGTTAATTCTCTAATTCATTACGCACATGCCATGAAAATGGTCAAACTCAGACAATACTTCGGACGTGGAAAAGGGTGAGGTGAACTAAGTCCCTCTCATTTTTTTCAAAGTATCTAGGCAAATCATATCTGATTGTGGGCAAGGAAAAATAACTTGCTGATGTAGTATCGAAGATCACAGACCATAAATATTTACACCACGTGCTAGTGCACAATTGGCAGAGATATTTAACAACCAGCGACATTCTACTCGCTCGTTTTATTTTGAGATTGTTTTCAAAATGTAATTGCAAAACTCTAAAGAAAGAAGTTTCTCTTTTTTACGAAGTGACATCTACTACCTCCTTGGTAAAGTACAGAACGCAAGAGAATAAATTATGACTGAATTTCAGCTGTTATTCTTTTTTTTTTACAACAAGATGAGCTTCGCAGGATCAAATCAATCATCGAATGTGAGTATTTAGATTTTCTTTCAGATATTATCAATTCTTCTTCATTCTATCTATAGCAAAAGGATAACCAACGAAATGTGCCTGTAATGACGCTCATGTTGGATATGTCATCCGGTCGAAATAATTTCAGTTATTTGCAAGGAAACAGAATAGATCCGTTCACATCTCGTCGACAACACTCATCTACTGAACAAGCAAACATCATTCAGCAGCAAACTCAAAATGCAATTCAGATGACGGCGAATATTTTCAATAACATCGGACAAAAAGTCCATACAAATATTACTTGTGATGGATGTAATATAACACCGATCGTGGGTGATCGTTATAAATGCTTCTTTTGTCCAAATATTGACTTTTGTCAATCATGTAAAACTGCAAATAAAACAATGCATGATGCCAATCATTCAGCGAATCATCCGTTGTTATACATTCAAGATTCCAACGAATATCCCAAATCAATTTACGTACTTAATCGCAGTGACTTACGCCATAAAGATATTCAATGTAATGGTTGTATGACGAACCCGATTATTGGAATTCGGTATCAATGTTCATGTGGTATGAATCTGTGTGAAAAATGTGAATTTATTGGTTTGCACGATCAAACTCACCATCGAATGAAGATCACCATGCCAAATTGACCTAAATCCATTTTTTAAAGCACGCAAACAACATGACATTGGATGCTTAGTTTCGTCCATTTTGCATCTAAAAGCGCTTTTCTGAATGATAAGCGTCGATAATTCTTCTTCAATAAATTTTCATTGAAAACAGAATAGATAAAAGATTCTACTGAATAACGACGAATGGAAAAATATCGAACGACAAATATGGTGAAAATAGTATAGTTTAAAAGTATAAATCTTTCTCACTCTTGCTCCCACAGTTATATTCTCATGTGCACTCTCATTTTGGCTTTCGACATTTTTACTTTTCGACCAAATTCAGGCTAACCCTCGTTGCAAACAGAACACCCACTAAACTAGTGTCGCACTTAGGTCTGGTTCAGCAAAAAACTAATGAGACTCGGCAATTCTGACTGGTGGACAAGAAATTATTGAATGACATTAGCCCATTTCGGGATGCCATTAGCTGATCAAAATCCTTCTTTGTCAAGCTTTGGTCACGATACACTTCGAAGGCTTCATCATCTAAGATCTTTTCGAACTGTTCATTATGCAGTTTTTCAATTTGTCGATGAATGTCGTTAATAAAAAATCCCATTCGTGCAAGCACTTCACCATCTGTTATTCGCGAGCCACGGTTAAGTGTATTATAGAGAAATGCCTCCTTGGTATAACACTTAATGGGCGATGTCTGATGATATTCCGGTTCCACACGATTAGGATACTATTTAGCTGTTCAATATTCACGCGATTTAGTTCACATCGTTTTGTGTAATGGATGATTGTTTGTCTACTTGTATCCATATAGAATAATTTTTACATTCAAACTAGCCGATATTGATGACAATACTGTCGATCTGTAGACCGTTTGAAAATTCAGGATTGTAGATGAAGTAAAATATCGAAAAAAATGAAATCACTTATTTACCGACAAATGTAAGAATGATCTAGCCTATACGGAATTGATTATACTTTACATGTTTTTTTAAACTGCGATTGTCCACTAGTATTTTTTTGTCTATACAGACAAGTATGCATACGCAAGATCAACTCATGATGGATAGTAGTATTTGGTCCCCGGTTAAATCCAGTACGACGAATAAAACTTTACCCCTTTTGGTAAAAGTAACGACGTATTATTGATGTCGAGCAAAACATGTTAATAAATGTTCGAATAACAAAGTCAAGTGTACGGTCAATACAAGGACTTTGTTGACTATGTCATGACCTGCTCTCATGGACAAAGTGAAGAATGAGTGCAAATATGCAAATCGAAATTTTCCAGCAGTGAAAAAATAGTGTGTGGCGATTTTTTATACAAGAATGTTTGTATTGATCACATTGCGCTTTTCTTATTTCTTCTAACGGAGCTTCGTATGTTTTACATGTAGATTTTGTGTGTTTGTTGTGAAAATATTAGCAATAACATAATGTAAGAAGGCAGAAAAGGATCATACACATGTGAAGATGTGCACACCTATAGCTACACAGTTATACATACAACGCTGGGAGAGAAAGATGTAAATAATGGGAAATGAAGAACAAATAAAATCAATAGCATGATATCGCCATTCTCTTTTCTGAAAGAAAGGATTATAGCGTCATAAATCTGGTCGTTGAAATGCAAAAATTTTACTTGCTTGTCTGCATAATCCAATCAGATTGCAGCATTCAACAAATGAATGAAAACTTAACCATGGTCTTTAGCAAACGACTGATGAAAGGTTTTCGAGGTCGAGGAACTCGAATCCGTGATCAGTTAATTTTCTTTTCTAATGGAATAAGTGAAAAATCTTCGAATTCAAGTGATAGCTCAAGCCGAGTCACAAATAACTTGACTTGGTTTGAATCAAGACAGAAATCGAGTTGATTTCCCATATTAGGCGTCAGTTCACTGTATAAGTTCTTCTATGATTCTTAATTAAAAACTTTTGATACTTTTAGGCCTAAAATTAATACCAAACTGCATAAAACACTTGGATATATTTATAGAGTTTTGAACTTGGCTTGCCCATGTCTACCATAAGATGTGTGCGAATATAGTTGATTAGACGTTTGCACCAAAAGACCTTAGTATATCTCACATGATGATATTTGCAATTTAAGATATCAGTAGAAATAGTATGAAGTTAATATAGTTCTTTTTCACGCTGCGACACATGCTGTCTTTCGATAGGATTTTAGCGGAAGTAGGTCTCCAAAAGTATGGCCGTCAGTGTAGTTCTATATTATTACCTATAGGGACAACGACTAGGCAGATATTAATTTGAGCATATCAGGCACTATGATGGATGCTCTTTAAAAGTCAAATCATAAGATAAAAGTCTCTTTCTAGTTTCTTTTGGTAATCAAATGCATGGTGAGTCTCTAATTTAGAAGCCAGAGTGACAGAAAACGTAGTCAGTCACTTTGAAAATTAATCAAAAGTGAAAGGCATAGTAGAGATAATTATGAGAACGGCTAGCCGCGAGTGACTGACCGGAGGGAGGCCGACTGGCGACCAGTCGTCGATTTGAAATATAATATTTTAAAGAACAGATTTTTGTGATTTTCATATAAGTTTAAAATTTCTTGGATGTAGAACTTAATCGTCGATCTCCAAGCACATATCTGGCAGCCCTTTAAAGTTCTTCATAGTGAAGAGAAGAATGAAATCTGTTTGCAGAGAATGATATACGCAGGAAAAGTTTGTAAGCCTTCGATTATGAATTGATTTTCTAAAACTACCACATTTTTGGATAATATCTTCGTTCAAATAAAATTAAGATAGTAAAATGAGTACGTATGGTAACAGCTAGCCATGAATGGCCGACCGACTAGGCGTTTATTTAAGAAGCTTAGAGAACATAAAATAAGCGAAGCGTCTGGTTCACTTGACCGACAACTCATTTCCTCGACAGTCTTGAAGTTAAAACAATTGATTGAACAATCGTTAACACAAAGAATGAGCGCCCAGAGAAAATAGAGATTAGAGAGTCCGTCGAACACATGGATAAGCGACGACATGCAGTAACAAATAGACAAAGAGATTCACATGATATTGCTCGCAACAATGAGATAAACCCTGGGCAGTGAGAGAAAGAGAGAGAGTGGAATCCAGAGGCGACATAAAATAAACACAGACAGAGAAAAGGTGAGATAATATCATCAGGAATAATCACTGAACAATGAGACACGTGATGATAGCTAAACGGAGAGAAAGCGTTTAAATTCATCGTCCTCACCTTCACCTACACACACCCACACCCTCCGAGTACCGGATTGATCTACCTGGGTATTTAAGATAGTTCGCTTTCAAAAATAAGTCAATTCAAGAAAAGTATAGGGACAGTACTTCCAATCGTTGTTCTTTTTATGGCGAAATACGCAAACATCGTCTTATACCAATTTTATATTGAGAAATAGATTTGGAAAATTCTTTTTGATAAAATTTCGATGGTAAAACAAAAATAATAAAAGTTAACATAGTTGGAATAAATGAAGTAAAATATCCAAAAAGAAATAGCCATGAAGCATCAATTGATTTCATACATTGTGATATATAAGTAAGAATTAAGCGTGGTATTGCAAGAATAATTAATATAAGTGGTGAAATAAATAAATGTTTATGTTCTCTATAATTAGCGCGTAAAATTTGTTGAAAGCTTTGTTTTTTCTGAATATTTGATTGGTGCAACGATTTTTTCATAATCAAAGTAATAGCAGAAACTAAATTAATTATAAATGGAGCAAAAAATTGAATTGTACTAATAATTGTATTGTAAGTTCGTAAATCTGACGAATAAGTAACAATACACCATGTACGTTTTGTTTTTTCATCTTCATCCAATTCATCGATTAAATGTCGATGAATGGGTTCATGAATAAATATTAAAACATTAAAAATTAGAAGTAAAATTATTACTAGCTTAGCTACTTGTACACTTTTTCTCCTATTAAAATGAACTGCTTTACTTATGTTTATAACTCGTTCACAGGCAACACATGCACTTAACCATTGATCCATATGAAGAAAAACTCGAAGAAGATAATCTAATGAAATACATTGAATTAGTAAAAATAATCGATTTGTTATTGAAGATATTTGTGCACAAATAAGTATCCAAAATTTTAATGCCAGTAAAATCGTTACAATTAATGTTGTTATTGATGAGCATAATAAATACAAGCCGCAACCAACTTCACGTAATTTTTTATTTTGAAATGTTATCATGGTACAAATACCATTTATTAAACCTGCTATTATAAATATTAGATTTAATGCAATACTTATTTGAATAATACTTGACTGATGAATAATTTTATGTGATGGTTGAATATGATAAGATAAAATATTATCAAGCGATAAGCTAAATCCATTTGTATTAAATTGACATCGTTTTCCATAAAAACAAGAATCACAANCACGTAATTTTTTATTTTGAAATGTTATCATGGTACAAATACCATTTATTAAACCTGCTATTATAAATATTAGATTTAATGCAATACTTATTTGAATAATACTTGACTGATGAATAATTTTATGTGATGGTTGAATATGATAAGATAAAATATTATCAAGCGATAAGCTAAATCCATTTGTATTAAATTGACATCGTTTTCCATAAAAACAAGAATCACAAAGACATGTCAATTTTATTTTACATCCTGATCCAGCTTGAAAACTTTTTCCATTATTTCGACATTCATTATTTTCTTGGCAGTCAAATGTCATTGTACGATTAAATTCGAGACAATTTGTTAAACGTCTTCCATAATGATTATAACAAAAACATAAATGAATATTATCATAAAAACAGAAATGTTTTGATAAAGACTCTTGACATGGCAGATGATAATATTTCAGATGTTGAAGATGAGAATATCCTAAAATGGTTTTATTAAATAGTTCATTGATATGTTGGCAACGATCTGATGATTGAACATGTTCTGTTCGTTTTTGCCCTTCAATATGGTATATTTGAATACTAATTAAATAGTAATTTCCCTTAAGATCTTCGAGAACGATGAAATTAAATGGATGCGACCAATGAATAATAAGTGAATTATCAAAAGGAGAAATTGTTTTGAAAGTTGTTGTTGCTTTTAGTTGATTAAATCCTTCGAGAAATTCAATAAAATGAAGAAATACTGTTGGTGCTGTAAAAAATTTTCTTTCAAATAATAAATGAATTTCATTATCTTTAATTTGACAACGATCACCACTAAAACCTTTCGAACAAATACATCGAAATGGATGCATTTTTCTTCTATGTAAATCCCATGGAATACACTCACCTTGACCATGACATGTTGAATTATCATTCTTTTCACATATTCGATTTATAATTAAACATCGAGGACCACTTTTATGTAGTGGACAAAGACATATAGATCGATTATGGCCATCAATACCAAGGCATTTCGAATCGAGTGAACATCTACACTTAACTAAATTCGAAATTGTACAATATTTACCTGACCACCCTGGATCGCATTGACAAAAGGTCGCATCTTGTTCAGTATTTAAATATTTAATACATTTGCCATGAACACAACCATAGTGTTTCGAACAATATTTAATTTTATGATCTAGTGAAGGTATCTTAATCTTAAAATTTCGACGATGAACAGGTAGAAATGAATTTATTATTGGAATTAGAAAACTTCNACCAACTTCACGTAATTTTTTATTTTGAAATGTTATCATGGTACAAATACCATTTATTAAACCTGCTATTATAAATATTAGATTTAATGCAATACTTATTTGAATAATACTTGACTGATGAATAATTTTATTTAACGGTTGAATATGATAAGATAAAATATTATCAAGCGATAAGCTAAATTCATTTGTATTAAATTGACATAGTTTTCCATAAAAACAAGAATCACAAAGACATGTGGATTTTATTTTACATCCTAATCCAGCTTGAAAACATTTTCCATTATTTTGACATTCATTATTTTCTTGGCAATCAAATGTCATTGTACGATTAAATTCGAGACAATTTGTTAAACGTCTTCCATAATGATTATAACAAAAACATAAATGAATATTATCATAAAAACATAAATGTTTTGATAAAGACTCTTGACATGGCAAATGATAATATTTCAGACGTTGAAGATGAGAATATCCTAAAATGGTTTTATTAAATAGTTTATTGATATGTTGGCAACGATTTGATGATTGAACATGTTCTATTAGTTTTTGCCCTTCAATATGATATATTTGAATTGTAATTAAATAGTAATTTTCCTTAAGATCTTCGAGAACGATGAAATTAAATGGATACGACCAATAAACAGTAAGTGAATTATCAAGAGGAGAAATTGTTTTGAAAGTTGTTGTTGCTTTTAGTTGATTAAATTCTTTGCGAAATTCAATAAAATGAAGGAATACTGTTGATCCTGTAAAAAAGTTTTTTTCAAATAATAAATGAATTTCATTATCCTTAATTTGACAACGATCACCACTAAAACCTTTCGAACAAATACATCGAAATGGATGTATTTTTCTCCTATGTAAATCCCATGGAATACATTGTCCTTGATCATGACATGTTGAATTATCATTCTTTTCACATATTCGATTTATAATTAAACATCGAGGACCACTTTTATGTAATGGACAAAGACATATAGATCGATTATGACCATCAACACCAAGACATTTCGAATCGAGTGAACATCTACACTTAACTAAATTTGAAATTGTACAATATTTACCTGACCACCCTGGATCGCATTGACAAAAGGTCGCATCTTGTTCAGTATTTAAATATTTAATACATTTGCCATGAACACAACCATAGTGTTTCGAACAATATTNAGGACCACTTTTATGTAATGGACAAAGACATATAGATCGATTATGACCATCAACACCAAGACATTTCGAATCGAGTGAACATCTACACTTAACTAAATTTGAAATTGTACAATATTTACCTGACCACCCTGGATCGCATTGACAAAAGGTCGCATCTTGTTCAGTATTTAAATATTTAATACATTTGCCATGAACACAACCATAGTGTTTCGAACAATATTCAATTTTATGATCTAGTGAAGGTATCTTAATCTTAAAATTTCGACGATGAACAGGTAGAAATGAATTTATTATTGGAATTAGAAAACTTCCACGATAAATTAATGACTTTTTATCATAAATATCAATATGTATGGAATAATTTTCAGTTACATTTTTTGATCGTATTGAATAAAGTAAATAATTAACAAACGTTGTTTCACAATCATCAATATGCAAATAAAGAAATTGTACATATGAATGAATACGTCTTTGATTATTATCTTCAATAAGTAAAATAATAATTTCAAATAGAGTTTCTTGAATACCTCTGGATAAATTAAATTTAATCAAAAAACTCATTCGTTGGTTTTGGTATTGGCATTTTGAACCATAATAATGCTGTGGGCAAAGACATACGACTTTGGATTCAGTTTTATTCAACCAAACACGTAAAGGAATTCCACGATAACATAAACTTCTTAATTCATCAAGAGGCAGTTCGTTGACAGATTGCTTAGGTGAAATCAATAAATTTTTAGTTAAATCATTTGTTTCACCTAATAAAAACATACTTGTGGACTTTCCTACCATGGTATACATGCGGCAAAGTATTGATCGATGATATATCTGAGATTGTATCTGATTTTCAAGAGTTCCATTTAAGTCAAGAAAATCGAGTTCTTGACAATGCATTATGTCACCAGGAATTATTCCACCAAGGTAACAATAACGATCACTAGCAACACATGTTTTTGAATTGTTTTGTGTACAATAAAAATTATTTTTGACATATCGAGAATTTCTCTGACATATTGTTGGTTCATCAAAAGCACCGAGACAATCAATTCGACCATCATTTGTTTTATTAATATTTAAACATATTAAATTATTTGTAGAAGATGAATAGCAAATATATTCATTAGACGAGCAATTTAATAATGCTGATTCGTCACATCCGATTTCATCCTCACCATTTAAACAATTCCAAAATTGATCACAACGTGTATATATGTTATTACACGGCCAATTATTACATTCAGATTCATCGGTTTGGTTTTGTCCATTAATCATTTTTGACAATAATTCATTAAATCCATTACATATAAATTGAAATCTAATATAATGCTTCATTTGATAAATATTTCCTTGATCTGAACAAAGATAATAAAAATATTCACCATCATGTGTTAAAGGGTTTCGATCTGCATATTCTAGTAAATTCCCAATATCATAACTACATAGATATATATAGGAACTTTCATTGGATAAGACAATAGATTTAAATGATATCATATGTGAATTTACAACTAATTTCTTTTTATATAACGAAGAAATTGAATTTGAAAATTGTTGGTTGTAAGAATAAAATGTATCATATATTAATTTCAAATGGTCATAAAAAGAAGAAAATGAAGTATTAAACCGGTAACATTTTCTATTGTTAAATATAATCATTGAATGATTTTGAAAATAATTATCATACAAAGAATTATTGTAATAACAAATATAAACATTTCGAATTTGCGTATTGAGAAATATTTTTGCATCGTTTTTTTCATAAGCAAAATAAATATTTGAATATAAAACTGGAATAATTGGTATGTAAAACATCAGTGGACATTCCTTTTCAATTATTTCAATACATGCAAAACTGAAACAAAACCAATCACAAATTTGGTTTGGTAAATATAGCATATTAGTAAGACATTTAAATGCTAACAAACAATCATCTGATGTTGAGTTATCTTTGATAGAAAACATAATTTCTAGTAATTTATCGTGTCGCTCTCTCCAACAAGAACTTGATAATGGTGAATGGTTACATTTAGCATCTTCATTTCTGGAAGTTGGTAGACGATTAATCCAGTATAATGGACCCCATAATCCTGTATTAGGTTCATCTATTGGATCATATATATCTATTTGTGAACAATGTTCTTCATCAAATGGATAATCAAGACAATCGATTATTCCATTACATATTTCACTCCAATCTAAACAAAATGGATATGGACCACGATCGCACTTTAAATGAGTATAACATGTTAAATTATCTAGAAAACCATATGATTCATAATAAAACGATCTAAGATAAGAATTAAAATGATCATCTACATTATACGAATTAAATTCATATTGACATAGTGGACCAAATCTTGGCAATGTACAATTATAATAGATTTCTTTTCCCATTGTTTCATTATTTGATATTAAATATAGTTCATAGTGTTCAATAACATCAATAGGTGTTGACCAATAAAACAACTGTTCACCAGTTACATTGAGTTTGGAAAGTTCAGCAAAGGTATAATGTGAAAGCGATATATTAGGTTCAACATAAACTCTCGATGTTTCTTCGTTCATGCAAAACGATAACATTTCAAAAGTACTTATAGTTTGTATCGTTACACTGTCAAAGTCAGTGCGTAAACAATTATATTGTAATGCGTCAATTCCATTGTTATTTATTTCATCTGTATTATATAAATTTAAATCCGATTGAACACAAATCCAAAACGAAAAGATCAAAAAGCATAAATAAGTCGTTGAAAGCATTTTGTTTTAATAATACCATTAACTTTGTCATTGATATTTTATTCTATTAATTTCTCTATTTTTCTTCTGTTTCCTTTTGATAATANAACAGTGTGAAGCTAGCACGAAGGAGCTAGCACGAAGAAACTGTGTGTAAGCTAAAAACTTTTTTCCAAAGTTTGTCCGGTGAATAAAACCTAGTCCATTCGATTCAGAATTTAATTCTGCATCGAATGGCGGTATTTTTATTCACCAGACAAACTTTGGAAAAAAGTTTTTAGCTTACACACAGTTTCTTCGTGCTAGCTCCTTTGTGCTAACTTCACACTGATTTGTACACCCCCCTCTTCTTCTTTCCTCCTCTTCGCATATACAACTATCGTTTGTTTTCTTCCTCTCTGCTTGTAATTAGATATTAGCCTTTAGACCTGATTGTTGGCCTTTGGCCTTGGATGTCAACCATTAGACCGGAAGGTTGATTTTCGGGCTTAGATGCCGACCTTTGGGCCTGGATGTTGGCATTTGAGCTTCACACCTATACAGAATATGTTTTGACTTTCTCGGTTGACCTAATACCTCACCGAGTGTTAGCGATAGATCATCGTAGATATTATTTCAGAGAGTTTGGTATTTTTCTGTGGCGTGATGCTGTATGAACCGAGAACTATATAAGGACGAGGAAAGTACAGTATAGGGGCAATTTCCTTAGATTAAATAAACGACACACTCAACATACCTTGTCTGTTGTATCTGAAATCGTCACAATCGTCGAACAAACAAACACCTATTCAATACATGGCAAAACAAATGATCACTGCGATCCTTATTATGCTTTTGTGCACAATGTACATCCATTGTCAAGTATGAAAACTACTACTAGAATATGTTTTCACGTTCAGTTTTAATTCTATTCATATAGAACCTTAATGGCACCATCTCATGTCTGCACTCGGGTTATGCTCATTCCTGTGCATCAGCTTCTTGTCCGGTGGTGGATGAGGTTTTCCGTAAATACGTTTATGTTTCCGATTGTTATGTTATCGGAACACCAACAACTCGTGGGGAACGGACTAGTGCTACATGGTATCATTTTTATCTAACTAATGGTAGAGCTGCATATGTAAGCGGACTTATCTGTGCAGGAGCGGTAGAACGTTGTCCACGATCACACACGCCTAGGCCTATGCCATAAAAACTTGATAAACTTTTATTTTTCACTTTTCATATATAAGTTTTATTAATAATCAAGAAATATAATATAAGAGAATGGTATTTCGATTGTAAATGAAAATATTAAAAAATATTCATAAACGAATGACACAGAATAAGACGATTGTTTCGCAACGAATAAACATACAAATTGAATAAAAGAATCTTTTAATATCGGTTGAAATCACTTTATTTTTAACAACTTGAAATAATGTTTTTATAGAATCAATGACAAAATACTATAATAGTAATGTATTCATAAACAGAAAAATCCTTGCACAAGTGCAATAAACCATTCATAATATTCTTTGCAAGGAGAACATAAGAAATGACTGAAATATTATTATTCAATTTATTTCTTATTTCAAATTATAAAAATAATTTACTAGAGAAGCAACAATCGCAAACTCAAACAAAGAAGAACGTGTATAATGTCAGTATTTACAACACTGACAGAACGTGCGATAAATAAATGTGAATATTATATGTTAGTTCCTTTTATTATTAAAGTAGAAATATATAAGTGTGCATATGATTTGAATCATTTTATAATAGAGTGATGATCTCGTTTTTATGGCCAATCGTTTTCTTTTGGATTACAGTTGATTGTTATTCGGATTTCTATATTAGTAGCAGGGTGACCAGATCTTCCGCTTTTTGCGGAAAATTTCCGCTTTTCGGCCTTTTTTCCGCTTTTCGCTGAAAATGTGAACATCGTTGTGGAAAGACTAGAACCAGTGGACCAAATAAAATTCGAAATTTCGATGTTTGACTCAGAAGGTTTCTTTCTCAACGCCAATTGGNGATATATTAGGTTCAACATAAACTCTCGATGTTTCTTCGTTCATGCAAAACGATAACATTTCAAAAGTACTTATAGTTTGTATCGTTACACTGTCAAAGTCAGTGCGTAAACAATTATATTGTAATGCGTCAATTCCATTGTTATTTATTTCATCTGTATTATATAAATTTAAATCCGATTGAACACAAATCCAAAACGAAAAGATCAAAAAGCATAAATAAGTCGTTGAAAGCATTTTGTTTTAATAATACCATTAACTTTGTCATTGATATTTTATTCTATTAATTTCTCTATTTTTCTTCTGTTTCCTTTTGATAATAAAAAAGTAATTCAAATTTTTTCTCGTCAAACAAATTCGTTTGATCCGGCTATGACATTTGTAACTTTATCAATGCTGGATAAATACATTTCTCCTATGTATTTCCTCTGATACGCTTTATGTTTGATCAAGTTAGAAACAAAGAGTAAAGATAAAATCATCGTTTTTTTTAATATTTCGCGGTTTTATTTGTTGTTCCGCTCGGAAGCGCTGACGACAGTATATGGGAGATTAGTAAGCTACAAGTAGCGCTCATCTGTTGGATTCGCTGATCCTTTTCTGAAAGAATTATCATATCTGTATATAGACTAGTTAAGGACGCTACTGCTACAAAGAAAGGATAGAAATTGGCCAGGAACATAAATTTGTTTCGTAATTACAAATGGTTATTGGTTTTCAATTTTTGCCTAAGTTCTCCAAAACCATGTTTTACGATGTTTTAAGCATTTTCAAAAAAAAATGTTTTTTTGATCTTTGACCCTGACACAAATGCACAGACACACAAACTAATTTTTTTTCATATGACCCTCCTTTCAGTCGAGGGAATTTTGTTATCATTCTGATAAATTAATACGTTCATATTTTCATGAAGTTTTTGCTTTATCTTTTAGATATTTATCAAACTCTGAGAATTTCGGGGTCATCGTCATCGGATAATTTATCAGATAAAGTAGGCAAATCAAAGATAGCATCTAGTGATGATAATAGATTTGATTTTTTCTGACAGTGGAAGATGAGAATCTTAATATTTTTCAAATTCTGATTTTAATGATGTTTCTGCATGATATCTGTGTTGTGGTGTATGATTAAAGCTTTTCAGATTTGGATACAACATTGTTGCAATCTAAAGAGTATCTCGAACAATCCAATAGTCAGGTAATTCTTTAGCAATATATTTTTTAAAGGTATCAATAAACCATTTTAATTGCCACCAATTGCAGAAAGCTTAATCAAACATTGTTTATAAGAAACAACAAGATGTATTGTTGATTCTTTTTTACTGCTGAGTTTTTCAATAACCTTGCAAAACTCTGTTAAATATTCATATAATGATTCTAAACCACCGCGATCTACTTTCGAATAATTCTTCTTTTGTTCATCATTGAGAATCGCCCGCTTTTTCTACCTTGTCTATTATCACGGGAATGGGAATGAAAAAGGTTGTTCCCACAAGACACTAATGACAACCAATATAAGTTCGTTTGAATAAGTAGATGACAATTCTTTGAATCCATACTTCGTGACTTTATTTAGTTTTTTTTTCTAATTCTTTATGTATCACAGCCGTTTTATATGTTCCAGCAGTTTCGAATTTCTCTATAAGTGCACTATTGAAATGGTACATAGACATTTTATCAAAGAACTTGTATGTTATTTAAAACTTATTGAATCAGAGAAGGATAATAGTAAATATCTGATAACTGATCATCTAACCTGTTGAGCAATGTGTATGTCTAAATATTTTATATTTATCAATCAATTAGAGCACAGAATGATATTAATTTTCTAAAAACATCAGAAACTTTCCAACAACCCACCCTCAAACTGGTAATAGTTTGAAATTTCCCACTTTATAGAAATATTCGTTTACTTCTCTGTCTATAATATTGATTTTCTCCCATGCTTTTAGCTCCTATTTGATCTGGGAAGTAATATATATTATTTTTATGCATCTACAAAAAGATTACTCATATACGTAGTATTACTCCCAGAAATACCCCATTACATCATGAGGTTATGGTGGGAAGAAGGCCATAGTTCGATATATAAAAACTACTGGCACCAATGTAGTTGATCATCGTCTAACAAACAAACACCTATTCAATAGATGGCAAAACAAATGATCACTGCGATTCTTATTATGCTTTTGTGCACAATGTACATCCATTGTCAAGTATGAAAACTACTATAAGGATATGTTTTCACGTTCAGTTTTAATTCTATTCGTATAGAACCCCAATGGCACCATCTCATGTCTGCACTCGGGTTATGCTCATTCCTGTGCATCAGCTTCTTGTCCGGCGGTGGATAGTGTTTTTCGTAAATACGTTTATGTTTCCGATTGTTATGTTATCGGAACACCAACAACCCGTGGAGAACGTACTAGTGCTACATGGTATCATTTTTATCTAACGAATGGTAGAGCTGCATATGTGAGCGGACTTATCTGTGCAGGAGCGGTAGAACGTTGTCCACGATCACACACGCCTAAGCCATAAGAACTTGATAAACTTTTATTTTTCACTGTTCATATATAAGTTTTATTAATAATCAAGAAATATAATATAAGAGAATGGTATTTCGATTGTAAATGAAAATATTAAAAAATATTCACAAACGAATGACACAGAATAAGACGATTGTTTCGCAACGAACAAATATACAAATTGAATAAAAGAATCTTTTAATATCGGTTGAAATCCCTTTATTTTTAACAACTTGAAATAATGATTTCATAGAATCAATGACAAAATACTAATAGTAATGTATTCATAAACAGAAAAATCCTTGCACAAGTGAAATAAACCATTCATAATATTCTTTGCAAGGAGAACATAAGAAATGACTGAAATATTATTATTCAATTTATTTCTTATTTCAAATTATAGAAATAATTTGCTAGAGAAGCAGCAATCGCAAACTTAAAAAAAGAAGAACGTGTGATGTCGGTATTTACAACACTGACAGAACGTGCGATAAATAAATGCGAATATTATATGTTAGTTCCTTTTATTATTAAAGTAGAAACATATAAATGTGTATATGATTTGAATCATTTTATAATAGAGTGATGATCTCGTTTTTATGGCTAATCGTTTTCTTTTGGATAACAGTTGATTGTTATTCTGATTTCTATATTAGTAGTCATTTAGAATATGATTGTTTACAGTATTATTCAACAAAAATAGAATATTGTTTTCGACCAACATCAAATACTGAAATTACAAGAACAGAATTCGTCAATATACGTGATAGATATTATACATTTCATGAATTATTCCAGATAAATATCACGGCTTATGATATATTCACTTGGTCAAGTTCAATTGATCTTGCTGAACTATATCAAAATTATTCTGATGAACAGAACCTATTTTTTCAATCTAATCTATTATTCTTTAATTGTACAACACCTTGGTTTGGATCTCGATGTCAATATTCTTTAGAAATAAATCGCTTTGATATCATTGATGTTAATCAAGAATATACATGATACATTTTACTAGAATGTGATCGTGGTGGAGCATTTCTTTGTCTTGATTGGCGTGAAATATGTGATGGTCGAATTGATTGTTTAAATGGTGGTGTTGATGAAGCAGATTGCTTCGAATTAGAAACGAATGAATGCAAATCAGATGAATATCGATGTCATAATGGACAATGTATACCGGAATATTATTGGAAAGATGCACAGTTTTCTCCGACATGCCTTGATTATTCAGATTTTTCCAATAAGATTTCTTGCCCGAATCAAAATTTGACAGTTTATTTATTTAATTGTGAAGAAAACATATGTCCAGCTGGTCAAAACAAATTCTCATGTGGAGATGGAGAGTGTGTTGATGATTTTGATGAATGTATTAATGGAAAACATCTTATGTTATACAAATCATTGACTATTCAAGGTAATTTATCATATCCGTGTTGGTTAGCCATGGTTTGTTTAAGTAAATTAATTCAACAAATCAATCAATCGTTATGTAATGAATTCTTTCAATCTTCTTCCATACGTTTTTCTCTTTATACATGTGATGATCTCTTTCAATTTCCTATCAATCCTGTTCTTTTTGGTCATGTTCATTTTCTCTATGAACCACAACAAATGTTGGAAGTAAATACTCATTCAATTCTATTACCAAGTTATATTTGCTATGATGAACAATTATGTATGTATCTTTTACCAACATTTCGTTTTAAATCACATGCATGTCGTTCTGCTTATCAAATGGGACTAAAATCCATCAATGAATATTCTACTTGGAAAGAAATGATTGATGTTATTAAACCTTTTTTTTCTGGTTGTACCAGTCGATATATCACTCAACTCTATTCGAATGATTCATCATTGTATCAATGTCGAAATTCTTCTAAATATATTTCAAAACATCGGATTGCTGATGATATCATTGATTGTTATTTAAAAGATGATGAAGAAGATTTACAACTAAGTTGTTCACTTCATGATTCTCGTCGTTTTACGTGTCCCAATGAAGTTCGATGTCGATCACCAATACTTCAATCATCTGCTTGTTTATCTTCAGAGAACGAAAGAAAAACTATTGATAATATTTTGTTTAATCAAATATGTGATGGAGTCATTGATATTTCACCCGAATTTATTCATGGAAAAAATCATACCGATGAAACTAATTGTGAATATTGGCCTTGTAATAATATTTATACCAGATGTGATGGAATGTGGAGTTGTCAAAATGGTGAAGATGAAGAGAATTGTCGACCATCGAACTGTCCTCGTCATTTTTTTCAATGTGTATCACCACATACTTACACAACGATATGTTTAACAGCACATGAAGTTAGAAATGGTATTATTAATTGTCTTGGTGGATTAGATGAACTTCAGTTATGTCAATCAGTGAATTACTATAGTGGAATCTCATATGGTTTTCGTTGTTTATATGATGCAAAATGTATTGAATCTTTTATATTATGTAATTCAAATGATGAAATATTCTTCGAAGAAGTATGTGATGAATGGAATTATTATAATCTATCTGATCTGCAAAATATACTTTGCTATCCTGATGGATTACATCGTAGTTCATTCACATTGGAAACAATTGAATCGTATCCATTCATTGGAAATAAAATAGCCAGTTCGGTTGTTGATTCTATACAAAACTTCCCACATAATTCTCTTTCATCATTGCAATGTACACGTGGTATACTTGTATATGTTTGGTTAGGAAATGATAATTATACTTCAATTTGTATGTGTCCACCAAATTATTATGGTAATCAATGTCAATATCAAAATCAACGTGTAAGTCTGTCATTAACATTATTAACCATAAATATGTATCATATCTATGCTGTCTTTGTCAAATTAATTGAAGATGATAATCATCAGCAAGAAATACAATCTTGGGAACAAATTACTTTCACTTCACAAACATCATGTAGTCAACTATTTGAAAGATATTTTCTATATTCAACAAGACCGAAGAATATTTCAAAAAATTATAGTCTCCATATTGATGTTTATCATAAAAGTTCGTTGGAATATATCGCTAGTTGGTATTCGAAAATTTCATTCAATTTTTTACCAGTGAATCGAATCGCTACTGTATTAACTTTAGGATCAGATCAAACTATTCATGTTGGTTTCTGTTTTCCTAAATGTGAACATGGTACTTGTATAAAATATACTAATGAAGAAAAATTCTTTTGTCAATGTCACCGAGGTTGGACTGGTGCTCAATGTCATATACTTATTAATTGTAATGATTGTTCATCCGATTCAATTTGTACTGGTTATAGTCATAATCGATCAATTTGTATTTGTCCACTTGAAAAATTTGGTAATCGTTGTTTGCTCAAACATTCATGTCCGATTAATTATTGTCAAAATAATGGCCTGTGCATCGTTGCTGGTGGACAATTTGGTGAAAATAATTATAAATGCGTATGTCCAGAAGAATTTTACGGACAACAATGTGAACATGTATATGCACGATTATATATTAAACTTAATATTAGAGAAATGTCATCTTATTTAATAGGATATATTTATTCATTTAATTCTTTAGAGCCGCCAATAATAGATGTTATAGTACTTAAAAAATTAACTCAGATGCAGAACAATATTACACTATATTCACAATATCCATATCAAATTGTATTTATTTGGATCAATCATAAATATTTTTTAGCTGTTCTTCAGCATACGGGTATTTTCAATGTTTCAACTGCAATTGATTCAACACGACAATGTCCTTCCGTTAATAAACTTCTCAATACGAAACAAAAGAAATTATCTCGAACTGAACAAATCAAATATTATCATACTCTGTGCCATAATTATCTTCATTTGAAATGTTTCTTTGATGAATATTATATGTGTTTATGTACAACAGCACATTATGCTAATTGTTTTGTCTTTAATCATAAATATAAATTTCAATGTCAAGAAAATGTTCATTGTCTTAATGATGGACAATGTTTACAAGATGATCCAATGTGTCCTGTAACAACAATATGTGAATGTATTGATTGTTTTTTTGGTGATCGATGTCAATTTTATGCGAAAGGAATTGGATTAACACTTGATGATCTTTTTCGTTATCAAATTCGACCAAATGTTTATCTCATTGATCAATCAGAAACAATCAAAATCAGTTTAGTTTTCACAATAATTTTATTTCTCATAGGTTTAATCAATAGTATTCTTTCATTTATGACATTTTGTCGTAAAGAATGTCGTAAAATTGGATGTGGAATCTATCTTTTATCAATTTCGATTATTTCTTTACTGACTCTCATTATGTTAATGATAAAATTTTGGTTTATTTTACTTACACAAATGAATTTATCGACAAATCATTCTGTTCTTCGATATGGTTGTTGGTTACTTGAACCTTTACTTAAAGTTTTCTCATGGACAAATAATTGGTTAAATGCTTGTGTATCATTAGAACGTGCAATGAATGCTTTGAAAGCACTTTCTTTCAAAAAATTGATCAGTATTAAAACTGCTCGTATAATTGTTATTATTTTACCAGTAATAATTATGAGTTCGAATATTTATGAATGTCTTTCTCGCGATCTCTTTTATGATGTTGAAGAAAATCGTGTTTCTTGTGTTACTTCATATTCATCATCTCTATATACCTTTACAACAATTATTCTCTTTGTACATGTGCTTGGACCGTTCTGTATCAACTTCTTCTCAGCTCTTTATATTATATATGTAATGTCTCATAATAAGGCAGCAGTTCGAAAACATAAAGATACCCGTCAACATTTTCGAGAACAATTTTCTCAACATAAATCTATACTGATTAGTCCATTGCTTTTCGTTATTGCTGCATTACCTTTTATTTCAATTTCATTATTATTTCGATGTGTAAAAGCATCTCAAAGCTCGTGGCTATATGTTTTAAGTTACTACACTTCATTTATTCATTCGACATTAACATTTGTGGTTTATGTTCTTCCATCAACAATGTACAAAAAAGAATTTTATAAATCAGTGTCAAATTGTCGACAAATATTCTGTAGAAAGTGTCAATTTGGTAGAAAACAACGTTGGAAATGATGAACTAACACAGAAGCTCTGTCATGGAATATAATTTACTTGTTCTAAATAAGAATTATCAGGTTTCTTAAAGTTTTTTACCAACTACATATGTACTATTATCGTTAGTTTTTTCCTTGCACAAAAAAGAAAAAAGCTTTGCTCGTGAACTATTTATACTTCTAAAGTTGAAGGATTTCAATGGTATAATCACTTATAAATGGATTAAGAAAAAATCAAAGTGCTTAAATATAAAAACTAAGACAGATTAAAGACTCGAGTAGACTTAATGTAATGAATAGATTTTCTAAAGTTTGTTTCGTTTTTCATTTTCGATAGATGATGCACTCAATTATTTTTACTCCTAACTCGTGTTCAGGAGATATTTATCGAAATTGAATTGCTTGTTTCTTAAAATGCAATACTTTAATGATAGTTTTCTACTTCTATTTTAAATTGATTTTCAATTTCAAGTGCGAATAAATACGGGATGGTCGAAAAGTCACGCACCAAAGGAACAAATATCTCCTTTAAGGCCTGAGTAAAATAAATGAGATCGGTGTGAAGCTAGCACGAAGGAGCTAGCACGAACAAACGATATGTTAGCTAAAAACTTTTTTACTAAATATGTCCCGTCCATGAAAACTACACCATTCGACTCAGAATTTAATTCTGCATCGATTGGTGGTATTTTTATTCACCGGACAAACTTTGGAAAAAAGTTTAACCACATCTTTGTTTGCCTCATATAAGTCTATTTATGTTTCCGATAATTTTTTTCCAAAGTTTTTCCGGTGAATAAAAATACCACCAATCGATGCAGGATTAAATTCTGAATCGAATGGACTAGGTTTNTCAGAATTTAATTCTGCATCGATTGGTGGTATTTTTATTCACCGGACAAACTTTGGAAAAAAGTTTAACCACATCTTTGTTTGCCTCATATAAGTCTATTTATGTTTCCGATAATTTTTTTCCAAAGTTTGTCCGGTGAATAAAAATACCACCAATCGATGCAGAATTAAATTCTGAATCGAATGGACTAGGTTTTATGAACCGGACAAACTTTGGAAAAAAGTTTTTAGCTCACACACAGTTAGCGGCGGCGCCAGGAATTTTCACTAGGGTGGGCTTAGCCCAACTTAACCCAGACTAGGGTGGGCTCAGATACCTTTAGGGTGGGCTGAGCCCACCCTTGGCGCCGCCACTACACACAGTTTCTTCGTGCTAGCTCCTTCGTGCTAGCTCCTTCGTGCTAGCTTCACACTGATGATCATAGGTTTTCGCTTTTCAAACATGCACACAATCGATTTATTTTCAAAATTCATAAATAGTTCATTCATTTTCAGAATATATTTTTTCTATCCTCTTTTTTCGAAATAAATTGGGTAACAACTATGATATACTCTTTAAAAAACTATCAAAAGATGCGAATACTAGGAGAGGCAATAACTTTTTATTGCCTCCCCTCGCCTCTATAGCGCGCCGCCAATGTTTCCTATTAAAAACACTGATACACTATATCGAAGCAAGTTGACATTGATCGAAATTTTATTGCTGTTCTACCCAGGTACAAATATTTGGAAAAACGCGTTTAAACGCACAAAAGGGAACCGCGATTGTGAGATATTAACGTTCAATTAAAACACGTTAGAACACGCGTTTACCGAGGTTTTTTCAACTTTCTCGGTGTGTAGACAACACGATTTCCCTTTTTCTAGCGTGAAAATGCCTTGGTTTAGAATTATATAATAAAAGACTGTTTCTACGCTAGAAGAAAGAAAACTGTTGTTTACACACTAAGAAAGCTGAAAAAACTCGGTAAACGCGTTTTTCCAAATATTTGTCTGACCCTAGGTAAAAAAATCCGACATTGGATCCGACCATCCGATGAAATCCTGGTGACGGAAATGCATTGGATTCCGACTGGAAAAATCCAGTCATTTGTTCCAAATTTTATGAGCGTTATTTTTAGCTAGGTTCTATGATGACCCTTAGAAAATCCATAAAATCCGTGTTTCGGATCCGATATGGGATCCTATCGGATCCGAGTATAGGATTTGTCGACCTGGGGCTGGGTATTTAAAAACTACAATTAAATACTGGCTTGCCACTTCCTCTTTTTCCTCTTTTTTTTCAGGAAATATATTTTCTTGTAGTAATTTTTTCCTTTCCCTTTTGCAAAAACTTAAATATCACCGAAAATAAATTTATAAAAAATGCGAAGTAATAATGTAGACAAGAAAATAGAGAAAAGGGAAAAAAGAGGAGTGGAAAGTCAAATTAGATAGTGAAACTAGTTTGTGTAAATGGAAAGAGAACCGCGCAACAAAATGTTTTCTTTGATGCAAAACTATCGTGACGACATACTGTTTTTCTTATGTTCTTTTGTTGGCTTCGCCTATAAAATACTCAAGACGAAGAATTCATTGCGTTTTTCGGCGAAAGCAGTAATTCAACGCAGTATATTTTCAGATATTATTTACTTTTTTTACAAATATAAATGGCATCGAATATGAATCAAGATCTTGAGCAACACAGACGAATAATATTCATTCAAGATTTGAATCCCAATACCGATGTCCAAACGTTGAAGAGATATCTGTCGACATATTCAAACCGTATCGAACGATGTACTGTTCCTCGCGATGAAAAAGGTTCGAACAAGTGTAAATTGGTGACAAGAAAAGTTGTCTTTTTTCCTATTTTAGGACGAAGCAAATTACATAGCATCGTTACATTTTTCGATAAAGAATGTGTTGATAATGTTATGAAGGATCGCGTTCATGTCATTGATAACAAGCAGGTTTTTATTCATCGATCCGTTCCAATGCAAGCGTCGGCAAAAGTTAATCAACGAATTCGACAATTGATCGTTTCTACTTTAGACAATAAAACATTATTTGAAAAGGATATTCGTGATCATTTTCGTACATACGGTAAAATAGAGAATATCAATAAATTACACCAGAATGGAACTGTTTGGAGTATACACTTTGACTAGTGAGTAATTGAAAGATCGCCATGATGTAGCTTTTTATTTGCTTTTCCAGTTATGATGCTGTGCATAAAGCTATATTGGCTTCACCTCATCGTGTCCGACAAGTCGATGTCGATGTTAAGCAAAGTGAACGAAATATGACGGCGAGACAATTTCCAGCAGACACACAAGAGAATGAAGTAAATGACGCCTTTGAAGCGAAGCCAAAACATCGTCCTCCAGGGTCGAATGTAACTATTAGTATGTACCTATCTTATTTTTCAAATACTAAAATATGACAAATCTTAACAATGTAGACGAGGAAGTCTCTTCTTTCACTCTACCTGATCTATTATATTGCATTCATATTACAAATTTACCACGTGGGATTGATGCTGAAACATTATCGGAAAGATTCGATTGGGATGTTTACGACATTCTGATGAATCCGTGCGACAACGATTTAAGTGTTAAAACCGAATGTTGGTTAAAGAATGCGAATGGTGAGGAAGAAATCGATAACTTCATACGACGTTGGAATAGAGAAATTATTGATGGTTTAAAAATTCAATGCGAAAAAAAAGAAGATCAATTCGAGCTCTGCACTAAATTTCAAATTGGCCAGTGTGGATACGGCGCTAATTGTTATTGGGATCACATACCTTGCACAGCAAATGGCACTTGTGCATCAGCATGTCCTTATGGTCATGAACAAGGCATGAAGACTGTACCAAATCCTTCTGACGGTATAAACTAATTTCATTTAGCCGAATTTCAAAGAAAAGATCTTCGTTTTTCTTTTGTTTCTAGGTGAAAAACCAACATCCGTTATTTATCGAATCAAACTGAGCGGTTTCCGAGCACCAGTAAACCCTGAATATCTCTATCGATGGTTTGGTGCAAACAATAAATATTATATTGATAGCAAACATAATTGCAATGCTTACATAGTGAACATTAAGTCAATAAAATATGCTAAACAATTAATGAGGGAATGGAACAATCAGAACATCGATGGACAAACAATCAAATGTCAACTGGAGCTCAGTCCAATATTATCTAATCGTTCCCAATCAGAATCACAGCCGATGAATAGAGACAGAGCACGTAGTCGTCCACGAGATGCGACCAGTCTACGAAGTGATTCTGATTATTTTACAAGAGACATCACATCAAAACCATTGAATGACAACGAAATTAAAGAGTTGGATAGAGACACCCGTCTCTTTGCTAAGCCTATTCGTAATGCTATTCATGCTCGATTTCAAACCAATAAACGTAAATGAATGTTTTTGACTTAATGGTTGCATACTGTCGAACATTGTATAATATTATTTTTAGGTTCACTGCCAAGCGATGCACCATCATATGAATGGGAAGTAACCGGTAAAGCAACGAATAGTGATGATAAAGTGCTACTCATTCGTCACGTCAAAAATCCAAACCGTTTGGGAGTGATTAAAATCTATCCATCTCAATTTTCCAATTCTGCTGACGTTCATCGAGAGTTAATTATCATGAAACGTCTCAAAGGTACCAGAATGAATCATTTGCTACAGAGCATAATTGGATTGCTATTGTTTTCATTTAGATGTCCAAGGTGTGAGTCATCTGATTNGTACAAATTCTGTTGAATCTTCTTTTATTTTCGGAGATAAGTGTTGACTTTCTGATCAATCAGAATCACCAATAGCTGCAGCTAGTCGCTCTCTTTTTATGAGTGTTTTACAGGTATTCCGATAGACAAGGTAACAGATGATACCCACAGCCACTAGTAACACCGTAGCTGTAACCAGTAGTGGCCACAGATTCTCTAAGAAAATTTCAAAAACACGTGTTGAGTTTTTCTGAAAGAGATGATCAAGTGAAGAGTTATGCTTACCCCATGTTGCCTCACCGAGTGGTATATAGACGCCAAAATACTTCACCATAATGTCACTCGGATGAAATGAAATGATTGATATTCTGTAAGTCTAATTAGTATTTTATAGATAGAAGTGTAGAATCTTCTGGCACACAGGAAAATTCTTCAGTTTGGTAAAGTGTGATACTAGGAATTTTCCAAAACATTTTCTTTTTCGCGTATGAGCATACGTGGAAAGGTCTCTACACGTCTCGTATTCTCATTGGTTTAATCTTCGATAAATTTTGCTTTTCTTCTCTTCGCTCGGAGTTTTTCATCCATGTTTTGTTATTCGGAGACTAATCGTTGTCGATTGAGTCACTCATGGATGACTATGACAGTGAATAACCATGACGTCATCGACGCTGGAATAGAGTGTATTTATTACTGATTGGAGTGACGAGTGTAAGAAAAGTTCCGTTCGAGAGATCTGACTGATTCATCAGCAATACTTGTTGTGCAATGCTAAGCATCAGACGTTGTCTGAGTTACACTGAAGTGAGCTGAATGCTTTTGCGAGTTTCCGACAACTCATTGTTTTGCAAACACGAAATGACAAAATGATCAAAATCCTGTTAGCTCAAACTATAGGGACATCAGCGAAAGAGCACGAAGGAGAGAAGAATCAAGAAAAAGTGACCTTCATGGGACTCGAACCCACACCTTCTGTTATCCGGACAGATGTCCTAATCCAGTTAGACTAGAAGGACCATCTTAATCTCTAGTCTAGCGTTGTGTGATTCATCACAAACGCTAACAAATCCCAACTTGTCCATATGTTAAAAATCTTTTTGATTCATCTGTTCTTTGAGATTATTCTCTTTCTCGTAGAGAAGAGTCTTAGAAACATAAATTGTTTGTTTGCTTGTATGTCCGCAGGGTCAAAAAAACATTTGAAAATCAATTTTTCCGAAAAGACATTTCTAGATGTATTTCGATGCGGAGACTTCGAATCTGATGTTATTTTATAAAATTTTACCAAAGGGTTTTTGGGGTCCAGGAATTCAAATCTGATGTTAGTTTCTCGAAATTTTTTGTAAAAAATGATTTTTTATAAAAATTTACCGAAGACATTTTGGGGTCGGGAATTATACCTGCCTTCGCTATAACTACATACAAGGCGCAAGGACTCACAATGAACAAAATCGTAGTCGATCTTCAAGTTCCACCAGGGACACTGCAAGTAGCATCGATATATGCACCACTCGGTAGAGTGAAGAAAGGGGATGATATATTTATCCTTCGACCTTTCCATATGAAGTTTCTACAAGTTCAACCTTCTTCTGCGCAAGACGCTGAACTGAAACGTTTAGATGAACTTGACAAAAAGACAAAACGACAGTGTACCTCTTTCATTTTTTGAAACATGTGTAAATCAATACTTTGCTAAGAGCCTAGTGTTATTGCAAGCATATAAAACGTATTATACTTTGAAATTACCTTAAAATAATTATTCATGTATGCTTATTTTCTTTATCTCTTGCTTCACATTTATCTTAATTATTGTAGTAACTGTCTCTTTTCTCTCATTGCATCGGATACTCCCTATCGTGTTTTCCTGATTTCGTTTTTTTATGTAATCATCCATAAGCTTCCTAACTGTATTGATATTTTTTCACAATATCTAATGCTCTATTTAACATTTGGTATAAATATCTATTGTTGCTTTTGTGAAAATATCTAATCTACGCTAAAAATAAGTTAATATACACAATAATAGCTTTAAAGTGTAATATCTGAAAGCACGATTTCTACGAGAAAGAGCTGAGCGAGTCGCTAGACGAGCGTTACTTGTTGCCTTCCGTCGCCTCTATAGTGCGCCGCCAATGATTTCTATTAAAAACACTGATACAACATATCGAAACAACTTGACATTGATTGAAATTTTATTGCTGTTCTACCCAGGCACAAATATTTGGAAAAACGTGTTAGGACACGCGTTTAACGCAGTTTTTCAACTTTCTCAGTGTGTAGACATCAGGATTTTCCTTTTTCGAGCGTGAAAATGCCTTGGTTTAGAATTATATATTAAAAGACTTTCTACGCTAGAAGAAGGAAAACTGTTGTTTACACACTACGAAAGCTGAAAACACTCGGTAAACGTGTGCTCTAACTGAACGTTAATAGCTCACTATCATGATTCCCTTTTGTGCTTTTAAACGTCTTTTTCCAAATATTTGTCTGACCCTCAGGTCAACAAATCCGATAGGATTCCTGGTGACGGAATTGCATCGGCTTCCGACTGGAAAAATCAAGTCATTTGTTGCAAATTTTATGAGCGCTATTTTTAGCTAGGTTCTATGATGACCCTTAGAAAATCCGTAAAATCCGTGTTTCGGATCCGAGTTTGGGATTTGTGGACCTGAGGCTGGGTATTTAAAAACTACAATTAGATACTGCCTTCTCACTTCCTCTTTTTTCCAGAAAAAATATTTTCTTGCAGTATTTTTTTCCTTTTCCTTTTGCAAAAACTTAAACATCACCAAATATAAGTTTATCAAAAAATGCGAAGCAATAATGTAGACAAGAAAATAGAGAAAACTAAAGAAGAGAGAAAAGGGAAAAGGGAAAAAGAGAAGTGTGAAGCCAAATTAAATAGCAAAACTAGTTTGTGTTAATGGAAAGAGAACCGCGCAACAAAATGTTTTCTTTGATGCAAAACTATCGTGACGACATACTGTTTTTCGGGGAAAGTAGTAGTTCAACGCAGTATATTTTCAGATATTATTTACTTATTTTACAGATATAAATGGCATCCAATATGAATCAAGATCTTGAGCAACACAGACGAATAATATTCATTCACGATTTGAATCCCAATACCGATCGTGAAACGTTGAAGAGATATGTGTCGACATATTCAAACCGTATCGAGCGATTAACTGTTCCTCGCGATGAAAAAGGTTCGAACAAGTGTAAATTGACGACAGGAAAAGTTGTCTTTTTTCTATTTAGGACGAAGCAAATTACATGGCATCGTCACATTTTTCGATAAAGAAAGTGTTGACGCTGTTATGAAGGATCGTGTTCATGTCATTGATAACAAACAGGTTTTTATTCATCGATCCGTTCCAATGCAAGCGTCGGCAAAAGCTAATCAAGGAATTCAACAATTGATCGTTTCTACTTTAGACAATAGAACACTATTTGAAAGGGATATTCGTGATCATTTCCGTACATACGGTAGAATAGAGCATATCAATAAATTACACCAGAATGGAACTGTTTGGAGTATACACTTTGACTAGTGAGTAATTGAAAGATCGCCACGATGTAGCTTTTTATTTGCATTTCCAGTTATGATGCTGTGCATCAAGCTATATTGGCTTCACCTCATCGTGTCCGACAAGTCGATGTCGATGTTAAGATAGGTGAACGAAATATGACGGCGAGACAATTTCCAGCAGACACACAAGAGAATGAATTAAATGACGCCTTTGAAGCGAAGCCAAAATATCGTCCTCCAAGGTCGAATGTAACTATTAGTATGTATCTATCTTACTTTTCAAATACTAAAATATGACAAATCTTAACAATGTAGATGAGGAAGTCTCTTCTTTCACTCTACCTGATCAATTATATTGCATTCATATCACAAATTTACCACGTGGGATTGATGCTGAAACATTGTCGAAAACATTCGATTGGGATGTTTACGACATTCTGATGAATCCGTGCGACAACGATTTAAGTGTTAAAACCGAGTGTTGGTTAAAGAATGCGAATGGTGAAGAAGAAATCGATAACTTCATACGACGTTGGAATAGAAAAAGTATTGATGGTTTAATTATTCAATGCGAAAAGAAAGAAGATCAATTCGAGCTCTGTACTAAATTTCAAATTGGCCAGTGTGGATACGGCGCTAATTGTTATTGGGATCACATACCTTGCACAGCAAATGGCACTTGTGCATCAGCTTGTCCTTATGGTCATGAACAAGGCATGAAGACTGTACCGAATCCTTCTGACGGTATAAACTAATTTCATTTAGCCGAATCTCAAAGAAAAGAGCTTCGTTTTTCTTTTGTTTCTAGGTGAAAAACCAACACCCGTTGTTTATCGAATCAAACTGAGCGGTTTCCGAGCACCAGTAAGCCCTGAATATCTCAATCGATGGTTTGGCGCAAACAATAAATATTATATTGATAGCAAACATAATTGCAATGCTTACATAGTGAACATTAAGTCAATAAAATATGCTAAACAATTAATGAAGAAATGGAATAATCAGAACAGCGATGGACAAACAATCAAATGTCAACTGGAGCTCAGTCCAATATTATTTAATCGTTCCCGATCAGAAACACAGTCGATGAATAGAGACCGAGCACGTAGTCGTCCACAAGATGCGACCAGTCTACGAAGTGATTCTGATCATTGTACAAGAGACATCACATTAAAACCATTGAATAACAATGAAATCAAAGAGCTGGATAGAGACACCCGTCTCTTTGCTGAGCCTATTCGTAATGTTATTCATGCTCAATTTCAAACCAAAAAACGTAAATGAATGTTTTTGACTCAATAATGGTCGCATACTGTCGAACATTGTATAATATTATTTTTAGGTTCACTGCCAAGTGATGCACCATCAGATGAATGGGAAGTGACCAGTAAAGCAACGAATAGTGATGATAAAGTGCTACTCATTCGTCACGTCAAAAATTCAAACCGTTTGGGAGTGATTAAAATCTATTCATCTCAATCTTCTAATTCTGCTGATGTTCATCGAGAGTTAATTATCATGAAACGTCTCAAAGGTACCAGAATGAATCATTTGCTACAGAGCATAATTGGATTGCTATTGTTTTCATTTAGATGTCCAAGGTGTGAGTCATCTGATTGAACCAGAAAATGCATCGAATAACCTTGTTCGATCACATGCAACCAGTGACAAATTGTGGATGATTATGGAACGAGCACCTGGCTGTTCGTTGAAAGAATNTGTAATCCAATACAGTCAAGCAAAAAGGGTATCCGATGGAGCATATATCTCAACATCATCGCCAACACACAAATGGTATGATGCACCACAATCAAGCGATGGAGCATTCGTTTCGACAGTGGATGCATCTGGCATTTGCGCTATTCTCTTCTGGTTGTTGACACAGAGAACACTTGTACACGGCAGAGATGAACTGCCTCATCTACAATTTTATGATAGAATAAATGATGTTAGCAAAGAAGCTGCTAAATCTATCGGTATGTAATTCATATTCAGTTTACTATCAACCTTTTAGTCGAATTCTTTGTGTTTAGATATAAGACGAACGGCCACTCTTGGAGATCAACTGAGAAAATACTTACTGACTACGTTTGACCGTGCTTTTGGCTATCCAGGTCATCATCCATGGACACTTGATGATTTCGAATGTCGTCTCAGATCAATTCTTCAGTTACTCATCCCGGTCGAACCAAAACTTGATGCAGTTGATGGTATAATACAGGAGTTGGCGTCTATCGCCGAAGCATCATCGACTACTTCGACCATGATGGACAACGTTTATGAAGATAAGTTTAAGCAGGCGTCGCAAGCATTCTGTCAATCGAAAAAAAATTTCGTTGAAACCGGCCGAAATCAATATATATGGTCTGATGGCGGTTGTGCATGGGTTTGTCATCCGCACACGTCAATGAATGAATGTTACAATGATGATATACTAACATATCAGTCAAGTCAAGGACGAATAACAATTACATATTCAATCATTGTTAGGTGTTTAGCAAAATGTAATGAAGAAGGTCGAGTGATTGTACTATCGATTAGTAGTGACGTGAACGGTAGGACGATCGAAATTCCAATCGGTGAATATTCGACAGCCCAGGACTATCAAAAGGATGTGGTTGAACTTTTTCAAGTAGAGCTAAAGAACTTATTTTTAGCTGTTTATAAACAAAGAACAGAAAAATGTTCATAATTATAATCAATAACGACATAAGAATATTAAGCGCCAGTATCATTTTAAAATAATACACAATAAAAATATAACCCTATCTATCACTACTAATCTAACTTTGTTTCGTTATGTACATAATAGTTAGAGAAAACTCTGATATTATACGTTGCGTTTGTTGTTAAAACAAAACTCTACTTATACAAATTAAGTTTGCACCTTGAAATATGAATCATCACACTCTGTTGATATTTTTAAGTACAATTAGTCACCATTTTTTCATTCTGCTGACAATCTATTATTTGCTTTGTTTGTTGGAAGGTCGCCTGCATCCTTTCTCTGCTTCCAAAATACAGCATGTGATTACTCACTACTCTTTCTCTCTTGGAGTATTCCAACATTAGATGTATAAAGGCATTGAGTCATTTTAACACTAAACATTTTCTTAAGATATCACAGCGTATCATCAAGATAATCGTGAACTTCAATAAAACGACTTTATAATTAAGAAATGGAAGAGTATACAGCATGTGGTCTACTGGTTATCTATTGGCTTGGGTTTCTAATGTACTGCATTATCCAATACTTTTTTCCAAGAAGAGAAAAGGTAACTTTTAACTTAAGGAAATCTTTATTGTATACAATATATTAGAATTATCCAACTGTGTTATGGTTAGATAGAACACATGATGATTCGATGGTTAGGATGATAAAAAATATAAGTAAGAATCGTTTAATAACATTTACAACTTCGGAGGAGTGTGTGAATTATATAAACTCATTGAAAAATACAAATCAAGCAATCTGCTTAACAAACGTCCGGTTCATTTGGTGTTACAGTCATTCCGTTAGTTCACAATATAGATCAAATTGACTCAATTATTATCTTTTGTATGAATTCATGCAAGAACGCTATACAAAGATTCGTGAAATTTTCGACACTTATAACGAAGTGATGATTCATTTACAAAGCTATCTAAAATCAATAGATCAACACGGAATAATAGTCAACATTTTCGACTTGGAAAATTTGAAAAAAATACGGAATTCTAATACAACAGATTCTCACCTTGCCTATACAATATTTAACGAAGATAAACAACGTTCGATGCGTGATATATCAAAATCAGACACGTTTTTTCTGTGGCTAAAATTACTCACTNGAATAGTGATGATAAAGTGCTACTCATTCGTCACGTCAAAAATCCAAACCGTTTGGGAGTGATTAAAATCTATCCATCTCAATTTTCCAATTCTGCTGACGTTCATCGAGAGTTAATTATCATGAAACGTCTCAAAGGTACCAGAATGAATCATTTGCTACAGAGCATAATTGGATTGCTATTGTTTTCATTTAGATGTCCAAGGTGTGAGTCATCTGATTGAACCAGAAAATACATCGAATAATCTTATTCGATCACATGCAACCAGTGACAAATTGTGGATGATTATGGAACGAGCACCTGGCTGCTCGTTGAAAGACTTCATCGAAGGACGGCTTACCAATGAGCTTGACATCGAGTCCATTATTCAACTGACACTCAAACTGACTATTATTCTTCGAAATGTTCATCACAGAAAGGTGTTCCATCAAAATCTCTCACCAGAGAATATCATGATTGACTGGGATTGTAAGCGCTCGATGAATGATGCTCAACTGACTGTGATCAATTACAGTCAAGCAACAATGGTATCCGATGAAGCATACATCTCAACATCATCGCCAACACACAAATGGTATGATCCACCGCAATCAAGCGATGGAGCATTCGTTTCGACAGTTGATATATCTGGCATTTGTGCTATTCTCTTCTGGTTGTTGACACAGAGAACACTTGTACACGCCAGAGATGAACTGCCTCATCTACAATTTTATGATAGAATCAATGATGTTAGCCAAAATGCTGCTAAATCCATCGGTATGTAATTCATATTCAGTTTACTATCAACCTTTCAGTCGAATTCTTTGTGTTTAAATATAGGACGAACGGCCACTCTTGGAGATCAACTGAGAAAATACTTACTGAATACATTTGACCGTGCTTTTGGCTATCCAGGTCATCATCCATGGACATTTGATGATTTCGAATGTCGTCTCAAGTCAATTCTTCAGTTACTCATCCCGGTCGAACCAAAACTTGATGCAGTTGATGGTATAATACAGGAGTTGGCGTCTATCGCCGAAGCATCATCGGCTACTTCGACCATGATGGACAACGTTTATGAAGATAAGTTTAAGCAGGCGTCGCAAGCATTCTGTCAATCGAAAAAAAATTTCGTTGACGCCGGCCGAAATCAATATGTATGGTCTGATGGCGGTTGTGCATGGGTTTGTCATCCGCACAAGTCAATGAATGAATGTTACAGTGATGATATACTAACATATCAGTCAAGTCGAGGACGAATAACAATTACGTATTCAATCATTGTTAGGTGTTTAGCAAAATGTAATGAAGAAGGTCGCGCGATTGTATTGTCGATCAGTAGTGATGTGAATGGCAGAACGATCGAAATTCCAATCGGCGAATATTCGACCGCCCAGGACTATCAAAAGAATGTGGTTGAACTTTTTCAAGTAGAGCTAAAGAACTTATTTTTAGCCATTTATAAACAACGGATAGAAAAACTTTCATAATTATAATCAATAACGACACAAGAATATTAAGTGCCAGTATCATTTTTTAATAATACACAATAAACATATAACTCTATCTATCACTACTAATCTAACTTTGTTTCGTTATGTACATAATAGTTAGAGAAAACTCTGATATTATACTTTGCGTTTATTGTTAAAACAAAACTCTACTTGTACCTTGAACTATGAATCATCACGCTTTATTTGCATTTTTAAGTACAATTACTCACCATTTTTTCATTCTGCTGATAATCGATTGTTTGTTGGAAAGCCACCTGCATCCTTTCTCTGCTTCCAAAATACAGCGTGTGATTACTCATTACTCTTTCTCTCTTGGAGTATTCCAACATTAGATGTGCGTATAAAGGCATTAAGTCATTTTAACGTAAACGTATTCTTGAGATATCACAGCGTATCATCAAGATAATCGCGAACTCAACAAAACGACTTTATAATTAAAAAATGGAAGAGTATACAGCATGTGGTCTACTGGTTATCTATTGGCTTGGGTTTCTAATGTACTGCATTATCCAATACTTTTTTCCAAGTAGAGAAAAGGTAACTTTTAACTTAAGGAAATCTTTATTGTATACAATATATTAGAATTATCCAACTGTGTTATGGTTAGATAGAACACATGATGATTCGATGGTTACAATGATAAAAAATATAAGTAAGAATCGTTTAATAACATTTACAACTTCGGAGGAGTGCGTGAATTATATAAACTCATTGAAAAATACAAATCAAGGAATCTGCTTAGTAACGTCTGGTTCATTTGGTGTTACAGTCATTCCGTTAGTTCACAATATAAATCAAATTGACTCAATTATTGTCTTTTGTATGAATAAAGCAAAATATGAATTCATGCAAGAACGCTATACAAAGATTCGTGAAATTTCTGATACTTATAACGAAGTAATGATTCATTTACAAAGCTATCTAAAATCAATAGATCAACAGGGAACAACAGTCAACATTTTCGACTTGGAAAATTTGAAAAAAATACGGAATTCAAATACAACAGATTCTCACCTTGCCTATACAATATTTAACGAAGATAAACAACGTTCGATGCGTGATATATCAAAATCAGACACGTTTTTTCTCTGGCTAAAATTACTCACTAGTGTTCTGAAGAAAGTTCGACACACGCAAGCCACTATGGACGAAATGCTGGATTGTTGTCGAGAATATTATAAAGATGATCTCCAAGAATTGAATAAAATCGAAGAATTTCGAAGTACATATAAAAAAGAAAAGGCCATATATTGGTACACAAAACCGACATTTGTTTCCAAGTTGATTAATAAAGCTTTAAGATCGGAAGATTTTCGTGCACTTTATGCTTGTCGAGCTTATATTGCTGATTTGTCCGAACAACTTCATGACGAATACGAACAATATAAACAACTACTGATTGATTGCGAACAACCATTGAATCAATGGACAGTTTACCACGGTCGAGCAATGTCACAAGACGAAATCGATCTCCTATGTAGTAGAAAAGGCCATTTGATTTCATTGAATGGATTTCTATCAACGAGTCAGAAAAGAGAAGTTGCTGAATTTTATGCCAAAGAAGTTATGTTTATTATTCAAACAACATTCGATTTATCACATGGCTGCTTTGCACATGTAGCACCTATGAGTTATTTTTCGCAAGAAGATGAAGTTTTATTTGATCTAGCATCAGTCTTTAGAATACTTGACATAAAATATGATCGAAAGACCCATAAATGGTATATTTATCTTGTAACAACGGACGACGGAACGAATGTTGTACAAGCATACATCGACTCGGTTGATATAGAAGCAAGTGAAACCAACGCGGATTTTATATTTGCTCGATTGTTATCACAAATGGGTGAATACAAACTTGCGCATGATTATTTGAGTAAACTTTCTCAAATGATATCTAACGAACACGATAGTCGTGATACAGCCCTCGTTCATTATTACCAGGGGTTGATTTTATACCGAGAAGGTAAGTATGTTGAATCTATGGTTGAATATGAGAGAGCACTTACTATACAACATAAAATATTTCCAAATGGTCATTCGGACCTAGGTGAAACTTTAGGTGGAATTGGTTTGTTATATGACAGTATGGGAAAATATAATCTTGCTTTAGAGAAACATATTGAATGTTTGATCATGAGTGAAAAAACACTTCCGAAAGATCATGTGCACATCGCCGAAGCGTTGAATAATATTGGTCTTTGTTATGACCGTNATGAGAGAGCACTTACTATACAACATAAAATATTTCCAAATGGTCATTCGGACCTAGGTGAAACTTTAGGTGGAATTGGTTTGTTATATGACAGTATGGGAAAATATAATCTTGCTTTAGAGAAACATCGAGTGTTTGATCATGAGTGAAAAAACACTTCCGAAAGATCATGTGCACATCGCTGAAGCGTTGAATAACATTGGTCTTTGTTATGATCGTATGGGTAAATTCGAATTGGCACTTGAGTACGACATTCTCGTATGATCACCCGGACATAGCAACGAGTTTAAACAACATCGGCTTGGCATATCATAACCATTATGATTTTGAAAAGGCACTTGACTATCATCAACAATCATTGGCAATGAAAGAACGATGTTTACCCCATAATCACCCTGAAATAGCTGTGTCCTATTGTAATCTTGGTCTTGCTCATCTGGCTCTAAACCATTTAGATGAAGCGCTTATGTATTACATAAATGATTTAACAATAAGTGAAAAAACATTACCTAGTGATCATGCTGAAATTGGTATTAGTCATCATAACTTAGGTCAAGTATATCGAGCAAAAGAAAAAGGTAGTGATTTAGCTCTCAAACATTACCAGGCAGCTATAGATATCTATATGAGAAGTCTACCGCGACAGCATCCATATATTGGTTTTTCATTAATTTATATAGCTGATGTGTTATCGGATAAAAACGATCTGTCGACTGCACTTCAAGCGGCACAAGAAGCAGTAGACATTCTTCAAGCGACACTTCCTGAAAGTCATCGACGATTTGCCGAAGCACTGTACATTTTAGCGAAAATCTATCAGAAACAAAAACAACTTGATGAAGCATATGAATATGCCTGCCAAGCACGGGATATCCAATTGAAAACGCTAGACAGCAGTGAAGACGAAGTACGAAAAACACTCGAACTGATCAAAGCTATTGAAACGAGAAAGTTATGATTAATCTTTTCTTCCTTGAATAAACTTCAATAATTAAATACAAGACTCCTACTTAACTTTTTCATTTTTCACGACACTATTCAGACTGTCTTACACCACAAGATTTATATACAATAATGGCAAGTAAAATATGCAGCATAGGCTCTCTCTCTCTGAAATACTGGATGCATTAGTTCGTGCGAGCTTATAAGCTTTTTAAATTTCATTCTCATGACTGTAGCAGCCAGCATAGAAACTTGTATAAATCAAGAGAGTCGCGTAGAAACTTCATCTGATGATCAGGTTCGGCATGCTCGTATTTTAAATACGCCAATGTATTTTCAATTCACCGGTACAGCGTTCGGCAAATACATACATCGCACAACTTATTGGTCCGGGAACAGAGATAAAGACAGCAGTACATCTGTTTACTTTGATTTACTTGCATTAAAATTCAAAACTTCCAATGGAACGACGATATAGTTCGAAGAGTCTGCATCATTTTGATTAGGTCATACTTCAGTGCCATCTCATTCATTTCATGGGAAGTGTGGTGTACGATGTTTCCAGTGTTGATTATGTATTATCCGCACGTCGCTGACTATTGAGCTTTCTAAATGAAAAATATTTCGCATATATCCAACAGAAAGTCCCATAGCCGTGAATGAGATTAACACAAGCATTCGTTCATACGCTATGAATATACTTTACACGCTCAATTTGATACATCAATAAATGTATACGAAGCGAAACTAATCTAATTCACACATATTTTTTTATTGGAATGAATGTATTTATACATACATTCATCGAATGGTCTCATAGAAAAGAGAAAAGAAAATGAGACGTTGTCTAATATTCTTTTCGACTGGCACAGTAACTGGTTTGTTTCTATCGAATGTTATCGATCATCTTCACTCTCAACGTTCGTCTCGTCTCGAAAGAAATCCTTATTTGAATTTCATCAAGTACGGTCTACCATCATCGCAGAACCTTGAATACTACCGTCAATACATAACATCCATCGATTATGCACGACGAATTCCTTCTTGGGTTGGTTATTCGCTTTCACGCGATTATTTGTCGAAATGTTCGTGTCAACCGAAAAGTCCTCGCACCCGGTCGGAATTCCAATCTCAATGCCAAATGGTACCCACAGAATTTCAAGCAACAAATGAAGATTATTATGATTCGGGATGGTCAAGAGGCCATATGGCGCCAGCTGGCGATCATAAATACGGTAGTCAAGAAGCCATGAATGAAACATTCATCTTATCGGCAAATATTGTTCCGCAAGACCTTGATAATAATGGAAATTATTGGCAACGCATTGAATATTTTACTCGAAATCTCGCCAAACAGTTCGATTTTGTTCATGTCATCACTGGACCTCTATTCATTCCCAACGAACAGAAGTCATTGGTGAGTATGTATTCTTTTACGGACAGTTTATCAACATTTCCCGTATGCATCAGGATGCGGATGATGATTTTCCGATAAAGCAAATGGCATACAATGTTATTGGTGTAAATGAGGTACACGTTCCGACTCATCTATTCAAATGTGTTCTTGTTGAAAATCAACATCAGCGCGATATGGGTGTTGGCTGTTTCGTTATTCCCAATGAACCAATTGATCGAAATCGACCATTGACAGATTTTGCAGTTTCACTGGCGAATGTCGAACGAAGAACGGGATTACATCTATTCCATAAAAAAATTCATGTAGATGAAGTTCCATTTCTATGTGATAAAACTTCATGTGAACTGTTAGGCAAAGATGCTATGTCACGTGAACTGATCGAACAGATTGAGTATGCAAGAAAAGTCCGTCGGTGCAAAACAATGGAGCAATTGCAAAAACTTTGGAATGAAGTCGAAAGCAAACGATATGGAACCATCGATAGATGGTTGACTTCTGCATATGCAAAACGATTAGCTGAACTTGACACACAAAAGCTGAAACACGATGATTGAAATTATGGATTTATTGGAAAACTTCTTCTTTATAAATAAAAATCTGACAAGATGTGTTCACAACGAGTCTCAAATATCTATGTGGGAGAGACTCAGCCCACGTTTGGTGTCGCCGCTATTAGGCGCGTGCTGACCGAGGCTGGTTTACAGCTTGAGAAGCTATCGTGCTGTTGAGTTGAGCGTCGAACTGAGCGATCAATTGCGCTAATTGTTTCTTCTGTTCGTCAAAGATTTGATGAATTTCTTGCTCGGTTAACACTTCTGGCTGTAGTTCTGGTTCAGATTGATGCTCTGATTGAGTATCATCCACAAAATCGGGCTCCGATCGTGGACGGGAACGTGTTATGTACGATGTTACTGGCCAATGATGTTTCTGAAAATGTATGTAACCATTCTGAAGAACAGCGTCAGCTTGTGCTGACAAATCGAAATCAATTTGGACACGTTCCGTGACTGTTTGTGGTTCATCGTTTAGAAGCCATCGTTTGACATATTTAATGCCAGGATAGACTTTCGACAATTGTTTTCCTAAGTCATTCATGAGGATATCTGTTGGAACGCCATGGACAAGAAGTTTTCTCGAGCGTTGTTGTTCGTTGTAGGAAATATCCGACTGACGATCGGATTCTTTATTACTTGCAGTTTGTCTGCGAGTAAATCTCCGTGATTTGATAGGTTCGACTGAACATCGAAGTTGGTCGAAGTTAACGTAACCATTTTGAAGAAATGCTTCCGAATGTTCTGCTGTTGCAAGTTCGACTCGAATCGTTTCTGTTGGTTCTTTGGTTTTTGGATTGTATAGTCGTTCCACACGTTTGATACCATGATATTGTTTTATTAATTCGTCCCGAAATTCATCGGCCGTAATCTCTTGGTCCACACCGCGAATAAGAAGTTTGTCCGTTAGTTCCATTTTATCCAAATGTATTCTAGTATCGATGTTTTCTGCGTATATATATCGGTACGACTCTATGACTGACTTTTACCGAATGATGCAATAGTGACGATGTGGAAGTATTCATTGTTTCATTGAGTTAGAGAAGATTGAGAAAGTATTTCACCACTGTGTGAAAGGGATAGCGAAATAAACTTATGATGCAATAACACGTCGGACACGCGTGTGTATACCGTCAAGGTTAAAGAACGAAAGACAAGAAACGATGGCTTGTCATGTGCCGTGTGCTTTTTTTCCTGTTCTCTCGTAATCGAACTGAAAAATACCGTTCTTCGGTCAATACAGATGACTCAGAAGATTAAATAAAATTAAACGAATAAAAGAGATACAAAAACGATCAATAAGTCATAGATCAATCTAATCTTGTTCGACATCCATCGATTTATCTTTTGTCTCGGGTAAAATCAGCGTTAACAAAAGGACGACTACGGCTAGAGCTGATGAGATATAGAACGATATCGGTAGATATTCGTCACTAATGGAAGTGTTGATTACTGGCGCAATAATAGCACCAAGATGGCTAAAAGTAATAAAGAGTCCATTAGCAGTGCTTCGAATTGAAGTTTGAAAAAGTTCCGGAACGAAAATCCAAGAAACAGCAATCGCTCCCGATACCGCATATTTTCCTAATTGCGTCACGAGCACAGTACCGATTGCACTATGTTTAACAATGAAAGGTATGATGAGAATACAAATCGCCGTTAGACTCATCATTATGACGAATGTACCTTTTCGACCAAGTCGTGTGACAATAAGAGCAGAACCAGATACATAACCAATCGCTTCAACGACTGCTCCAATAAGGACTCCAAGATATGGTGATATGTTGATGACTTCCAGACCGTAGCTGATTTCATAGTAGAGCATGTATGTTGTGAAACCAAGAAAACAGGTGATTAATAACTTGATGATACTGGATTTGTGAGAAAATAGTTGGCGAACTTGCTTGGAAAGCGATGTCTTAGATTCAACGTTAACTTCATTAAGCGTTTGATTGCGTACAAACTCTTGATACGATGGATACCAATCGATTTCCTTTCGTTTATTTCGTGTTGCAATTTGGCGTAAAACTGTTTCGAGTGCCGTGTATTGCCGTTTCGAATAAAGATAGAGCGGTGTTTCTGGCATAAAGTAGAGATAGGGTAGAATGACACCAATAAAAGCCGTACTAGCCCATTTCAATTTTTGCCAATCAACTGTGAGATAAGCAAAAAGCGTAAGGACACCCTCGCCGATTGTAAATGCAGTTAGTGCGGTGTTTCCCACAAGACTTGTATGTGCTGCTGATGTTAATTCAATCATCAGAATGAAAGCCATACTGTAGGTTGCGACTGTTAGACCCGAAATCAATTGGTTCGCCAGCAGCAGGCCGAACCTATGAAGTCAGGAAATATGTTAACAGCCTAGAACATCAATTCAAATTCAGCGGATTACTTTACATTCACTGTCATTGGAATCCATTGCATGCAAATTTGTGTCATAATGCACAATACGAATAGGAAAACTGTTGTTATAGCTGTCGTTCGCTTTCGTCCGAATTTATCACCTAAAGTTCCGATTATGACCAATGAGAAACCACCCGTTTGCATCAATGTCGACAACCAACTCTTCCTTGGTTCACTCCGACAAACAAGATCAGCCTCTTCAGTGAATGTATAACCGAAAACAGATCGATCGTAAGCCCAACCATTCGGACAATTGACTAATATTCGGCTCCGATTAGCTGTTGTATAACGCATGCATTTATCCAACTTGCCATCTTTGTCTTTTGGAATATAAGTATTGATCAAATCTTGATGCGTTTGATTGACTGAGTAATAATGCGCATCATGTGGCCATACGGATGATGGTAATTGACATCGATGAAGAGGTTCAGCTGCACCGAACACATAGTAGAAAGCGACTATTCCAGCACTCATAGAAATCAGATTTAGAAAGAAAATATGTATCCACTGGTAAAGTCCAAGGTCACCACATTGTCGAATAATACTATCTAGAGATGGTGATTCCGTTGTTGTTTTTGTCGGAGCATTGATTTCGTCCATCTGAGAATGTTTCAGAATTAGTGAAATTTAAAAACCGAAGAATTATTATTTACATACATTTAGGCCACCAGTATCAGCATCGTACGCAACAGAAGCCATGTGTTTCTTTTATTTGATCATTGTCATTCATTTTCTTTACTTGATATCAAAGGGTAAATAAATAGATAAAGATGCGTATAATGACTTCGCAGTTTTTTATTGATAATTTCAAACGGGCATCAGTGACCACATGTGTAGGTATATGATATAGTCGCCACGCGGCATATGAACACGTGACTGTATATATTTCTCTTCGGTATGGTACAGATATTTTATTTTAAATGGTTGAAGAGAACAAGTGTGATAAGAATTTTTTTGTGATTATATGATACGTTATTGTTTGAGATCAGCACACACAACATCTATCATCAAAACAACACGAAAAGCATCTATAATTATAAGTTTTTATGCACAGTGATAAATATTTTCCAAGTTCATTGTCGTTGATTTGTGTAAATCTAGAAAGTCAGCATCAAATACACTTGTATTTCATTGGAGAAAACATACTCGATCCAATGCAGTCAATAGCTGATCGACTTTATTCGGGAATGCATCGGTTGGGGTATAATATTTCTCTCGCATCATGCCATCACGTTCATGTGAATCATTAGATATTCCTAAATGAGAAAATATATCTATGTACTAAAAGAGGTCACGATAAACGAACCAATCCAACATTGAAATCGTTTCATCATAAATGTAAAGATAATCTCGTCCTCTGTTCGTTGAGATTTAAGATTGTCCCGAGCATAACGAAAGCTTTCGTTGATAATCGTGAGAAACATACTCAAACAAATGAATACGGCGATAAGAATAAATAGAGTAAAAACAAATGGACCGAGAAATGATGAACCATTGATCAACTCATGTGCATCAAAGTTCATCAGGACCATTTCATACAACATTATCGCTGTTCGATAAAGATCCGCACATGTTGATAATTTTGATATGAATAATAAGTAGAATAAGCAAAGAAATGCGATGAAGATGACTCCGAACATCAAGGAGAATGACCAGAGTGCTCTGCTAGCATGTTGAAGTGTTTGAATGAAGAGACTGATACGACGATTGAACCGACAAAGGCGAACAAATTTGATCCAACCAAGAAACAGAGCGAGGCTGAGAAAATTTTTCAATAATTGATCTAAACTAACTGCATATTCTAAATCAATATAATCATATCCATTGGTTTCCTTGAAGAACTTTCCGATTGCTTTTGATTCTTGATATTTCAATCCGAAGATTAACAGACTAGTCCAGGAACAAATGATGATACCCATGTTGATATAAGACCAAACATCGTGAAAATACTTGATTTTCATTCGTCTGATTGATTGAATTATTTCGATCATCATATAAATGATAAACATCAAGTAGGCAATGCTACAAAGCAATTCAGATAGGGTTGACATCACTAGAGCAGCAAGAAAATGTTAGAAAAGAGATGTCGAAGATGACTACTAACTTTGAAATGAAAACGGATTGATATAAGATTGAAATCGTATGCTTCCAGTTGATTGAAAATCTGTTTGAAGTTTCACTGAAGCGAACAAATTCACGTTTGGATTAAACAAGTTCAACTGGATTTCAATAACTCTCGTTTGCTTGTCAATCCAACTGAATTGATGAAGTACGGAAAGATTACTTCGAAGAGTGGATAGTCGACCACGAAATTCATAGACATAACCATCATCTGTATATTGAAACGCTTTGTCAATTGACAAATTCGATAATTGAATGGTTTGATTCATCCATCCTGGTTGGAATGAACGCTTCTCTTCATTTAATAAACCCAAATCATATTCACACGAAGAATTCCACTGTGAGCATGGTTCAGATTTGACTCGTATTTGTCTCATTCTGACCCATCCAATCAGTCGATTTGTTTTGTCATCGAAGTAACCCGAGAGATTTCGAGGTGGATCACCGTTGTACCAGTCTTGCGCGCGAATCTTTTCAACGAAATCGGTTTCCAACCAGTTCCAATACTCATCGATGGTTGAAATCTGAACAATAGTGAAGAAAATATCGTTTTCGTAGAGGAAAATTCCGCACAAACCTCCTCATTGCCTCTTAAGTTAACAAGATATTTTCTCAGATGATTGACTTGTTCGAATTGATGGTCAACTTGATTGGAATAGATGACAACATTGAGAAGAACAAGAAAACAAATATAAGAAAGAACTTCTCGCATAATCGATTGCATTTTCTTCTCTCGTGAACGTTTTTCGCGTAGAAACTCTAACTCCCATTCACTCAATGGACTGAATTGCAATTGCGATCGAGAGATGAATGATGAAGAGCGACCTTGTTTTCTTGATTGTAAATATTCTTCATCGTTATTCAGATCAAATTGTGCTTCATCATCTAAGTATTCATTTGCTTGTTTATCTTTATCAGAAGTACGAATAAAGCAAGCAAAGAACACTGTTAATGCACAAATCTTGACTGGTTCAAGAAGAAGAATTGATGAAAAGAAACCACTAATCAACGAAGTCAACCATTTTTGAGTTTTCAAATCGCCAAATTCGATTCCACGAACAATGATGAAGAAGACCGACACGAAAGCTATGGTAAATGACAAACCATATGCAAGGAATAGACACCACCACGGAAATGTCAATCGGAATGACTTCTTAGTATTCGGTTTGTCGGATGAAATCGTAGGTATTGATTTGATTTGAGAAAGCGTTTGACGCAGAGGTGAAACTGGTGTTCGGCTCGGTTGAATACGTCGAAAGAACTGAATGAGGCATAAACTTGGAATGAATACCAACAACTCAACAATAATACCAATTCCAATCTATACTTTCGAAACAGAACAATAAAAGTAGAAATGAGAAGGATATAACGAACCTGTTCAGGTGTGATGTACAATGGACCAAACGACAGACTACTCTTTCCACCGGTGCTACTTTTTGCGTCATTCTTTTGATCATAGTAGAGGATGTTTAACAGCATTGAAGTGAGTAGTAACACGAAACAGCAGGTACATCGTTGAACACGTGTGAATTTATTCGATGGTGGACGAGTAAAGATCGAGAACCAGAGATGATCTTCAGAGATATTATAATAGGTTTGCTTGGAAAGAATATACGCAAATTTATCCATTTGCAATTTGCCTGACACGGGTAAAAGACGTTCGATCTAAAACTCCAAACATGGAACACTGACTATTACAATAGAAGCACTTACACGTCCATCATCTTTGTCAATGGCAAACCATCGTTGAAAAATAAAGTACGACTTTTCCAATGTTTGTAAATCACGAACGATCAAATATTTCAGAAACCATGATGAATTATCTTGATTGTTATGCCAAATACGAATATAATTCAGTTTTCCCAAAGATTTAGGAACAGTCATGACAAATGAATCTACTTGGCCACGTTGAAATATCTGACGCTTAGAATGATTGAAGGTTCGAACTTGTGTTTCATCTTCATCACCAGCAAGAATGAAATGAACTCGAGATTTGGTTCCTGCATTCTTTCGATTTCCAGTGAAGACAATGATTTGATAGCAATACTGATCTTCCTTACAGTTATCTTCCAATGCAAGCACTCCTAACTGAAATGAAACAGTTTCGCATTTTGAAGTAAATACATCGCATCTTACTTTTTCAATGTCCTTTCTATCCTTATAGCGTGCATAGGTCATTATAAGTAGATAAAGAATAGAAACGCAAATTACGGTAATATAAATTGTTTTGTTGCGATTGAAATCTGCATTTGCGAAGACATAATTCCAGTTGATAGGCGCTGGTAACACAAGAAATCCACCTGCAAACGTTGTTAAATGAGTCGATAAGCATTCTGTTTCATTCACATTTGTCAATGGGCCGACCTTTCGAAGGAAGAAAATGAACTTTATTTTGTAAAGCCGAAATGACTTACAATCACACCATCGGATTGCCATTGATTATTTGAATCAAGGTAGTAACAACCGGACGTGTACAGGCGAAGTTCATAATTCGATGTAAAATGGAATGGTTCGTTAGTGATGGGCGGATTGGTCGATGGAGTTGAACAATACTGAAGCATTTCGGTCGAGTTCAGTTCACGTAAACCAAAGATCAGCGATTCATGGTTGTTTGTTAGTTGATTATTGATAAAATAAGTATACATGTTGTCACTGGTCAAATCTGAAATGATGAACTCAGCATTATTCGAAAAGTTTCATGGAAAAGTGACAAACTTGAAGGACAAAATAAGGACCATTTATCAATTTGAGACATTGAACTGTTCAATACTGGGGAACTGTCAAATTTATAAATTAATAAATAACCGAGACTTGGATTTAATGGTTTCATTTCTATATGAACCGATACAGACACACCATTCGATTGAGATAAATCAACATAATGCAGATTGAACAGAAGATCTTGCTGAATGCTGTTCATTGAAGTAACATTTTGTGATACCATCGACGGAAGAATGAGATTTGAATCTCGTGGAATCACAAATCGATATGGATTATTGGATGATGTTGGATATGAAAGTTCGTTTCCGTTTCGATCAAGAACCGAAAGGGAAATGGTTCTGGAAAGATTTGTATATGAACGTGACTGATCTGCTGGTGCCAGTGGTTGAACAATTGACTAAAATTAATAAAGGCGAGGATAGCAACGAGAAATCAGATGAAGAAAAACATACTCGAAGTGATACTGAACGATCGTTTGACTGAATAGTGGATGGAAGTTGAATTTGCGCATTGTTAATTGGTTTGATGATTTGATTTGAAAGAGATTCCGTCGACATTACTTGTAATGACATAAAAACCGATGATGCATTGATAGTGAAGTTTTGGCCGATATTCAAATGATTATTCAGTGCGGACGTTAAGAAGGCAAGTGATTGATTTGTTTGTTGGCTGACTTGGTTCTGTGCTTGTTTTTGATAATAAAGATTTCGATTCTTCTCTATTGTACTCCACGAAAAATCATCTCCATCAGCAAACAATTCTTTTCAGAAGAAAATCAGATCTCTCGTCATCTGATGAAAACATTTGAGACATACTTGGATTTGACCATGCAGATTCCAGATCAGTATCATAATCAGCAGGAAAGTCATTAGCACGAGAATAGTCCAGATCAAGAGCTATTGTTCGTCCTTGCAATGGTCCATTGATAGCCTAGGATGGAAAAGAGTGAAGATGGAAGCAATCAAAGGAGAATCTTGATGAATTACTGTTAAAACATTTGTAATACATTTCGTTATTTGTTCAGCACTAATCTGGACGTCTTCGTAAGTAATTTTTGTTGATATTGCATTTAGATTATTCGCCAATTGATAGCATTTATTCGACGCCGTTATCTACGAGAAAAATGGAGANTTTATACCGAGAAGGTAAGTATGTTGAATCTATGGTTGAATATGAGAGAGCACTTACTATACAACATAAAATATTTCCAAATGGTCATTCGGACCTAGGTGAAACTTTAGGTGGAATTGGTTTGTTATATGACAGTATGGGAAAATATAATCTTGCTTTAGAGAAACATATTGAATGTTTGATCATGAGTGAAAAAACACTTCCGAAAGATCATGTGCACATCGCCGAAGCGTTGAATAATATTGGTCTTTGTTATGACCGTATGGGCAAATTCGAATTGGCACTAGAGTACGACATTCGCGCATTAGAAATGAAACAGCGTCTATTCTCGCATGACCACCCGGACATAGCAACAAGTTTAAACAACATCGGCTTGGCATATTATAACCATTATGATTTTGAAAAAGCACTTGATTATCATCAACAATCATTGGCAATGAAAGAACGATGTTTACCCCATAATCATCCTGAAATAGCTGTGTCCTATTGCAATCTTGGTCTTGCTCATCTGGCTCTAAATCATTTTGATGAAGCACTTATGTATTACATAAATGATTTAACAATAAGTGAAAAAACATTACCTAGTGATCATGCTGAAATTGGTATTAGTCATCATAACTTAGGTCAAGTGTATCGAGCAAAAGAAAACGGTAGTGATTTAGCTCTCAAACATTACCAAGCAGCTATAGATATCTATATGAGAAGTCTACCGCGACAACATCCATATATTGGTTTTTCATTAATTTATATAGCTGACGTGTTATCTGATAAAAACGACCTATCGACTGCACTTCAATCGGCACAAGAAGCGGTAGACATTCTTCAAGCGACACTTCCTGAAAATCATCGACGACTCGCCGAAGCACTGTACATTTTGGCGAAAATCTATCAGAGGCAACAACAACTTGATGAAGCATATGAATATGCTTGCCGAGCACGGGATATCCAATTGAAAACGCTAGACAGCAGTAAGGAAGAAGTACGGAAAACACTCGAACTGATCGAAAGCATTGAAGCGAGAAAGTTGTGATTAATCTTTTCTTCCCTGAATAAACTTCAATAATTAAATACAAGACGCCTACTTAACTTTTTCATTTTTCACGACACTATTCAGACTGCCTTATACCACAAGATTTATGAACAATAATGGCAAACAAGATATGCAGTAGGCTCTCTCTCTCTCTGAAATACTGGATGCATTAGTTCGTGCGAGTTTACGCTTGTCAAATTTCATTCTCATGACTGTAGCAGCCAGCATAGAAACTTGTATAAATAAAGAGAGTCGCGTAGGAACTCCATCTGATGATCGTAGATACATATCAGAAAGATTAGTCGAGATAAGTATGACTATAGATGATGTATTCAATGCTATGTGCATGAACTAGAAAATTTCTATACTGGTTCGCAAATGGGTGTTAAAGAAAGTCCATCAGATGCTGCTGATTAGGTTTGGCACGCTCGTATTTTAGATACACCAACATATTTTCAATTTACCGGTACAATGTTCGGTAAATAGGTACATCGCGCACCTTATTGGTCCGGGAACAGAGATAAAGACAGTACATCTGTTTACTTTGATTTACTTGCATTAAAATTCAAAACTTCCAACAGAACGACGATATAGTTCGAAGAGTCTGCAGCATCTTTATTAGGTAATACTTCAGTACTATCTCCTCCATTTCATGGAAAATGTGGTGTACAATGTCTCCGGAGTTGATTATGTATTACCCGCACGTCGCTGACTATTAAACTTTCTAAATGAAACTGTTTAATCTCGATATGATATTTTTAACACGGAATTTAAATGAAAAATATTTCACATATATTCGACGGAAAGTCCCATAGCCGTGAATGAAATTAACACGAGCATTGGATCATACGCTATGAATACACTTTACACGCTCAATTTGATACATCAATAAATGTATACGAAGCGAAACTAATCTAATTCACACATATTTTTTTTTTATTGGAATGAATGTATTTATACATACATTCATCGAATCGCCTCATAGAAAAGAGAAAAGAAAATGAGACGATGTCTAATATTCTTTTCGACTGGCGCAGTAACTGGCTTGTTTCTATCGAATGTTATCGATCATCTTCACTCTCAACGTTCGTCTCGTCTCGAAAGAAATCCTTATTTGAATTTCATCAAGTACGGTCTACCATCATCGCAGAACCTTGAATACTACCGTCAATACATAACATCCATCGATTATGCACGACGAATTCCTTCCTGGGTTGGTTATTCGCTTTCACGCGATTATTTGTCGAAATGTTCGTTTCAACCGAAAAGTACTCGTACCCGGTCGGAATTCCAGTCTCAATGCCAAATGGTACCCACAGAATTTCAAGCAACAAATGAAGATTATTATGATTCGGGCTGGTCAAGAGGCCATATGGCGCCAGCTGGCGATCATAAATACGGTAGTCAAGAAGCCATGAATGAAACATTCATTTTATCGGCAAATATTGTTCCGCAAGACCTTGATAATAATGGAAATTATTGGCAACGCATTGAATATTTTACTCGAAATCTCGCCAAGCAGTTCGATTTTGTTCATGTCATCACTGGACCTCTATTCATTCCCAACGAACAGAAGTCATTGGTGAGTATGTGTTTTTTACGGACACTTTATCAACATTTCCCGTATTCAACAGGATGCGGATGATGATTTTCCAATAAAGCAAATGACATACAATGTTATCGGTGAAAATGAGGTACATGTTCCGACTCATCTATTCAAATGTGTTCTTGTTGAAAATCAAAATCAGCGCGATATGGGTGTTGGCTGTTTCGTTATTCCCAATGAACCAATTGATCGAAATCGATTATTGACTGATTTCGCAGTTTCACTTGCGAATGTCGAACGAAGAACGGGATTACATCTATTCCATAAAAAAATTCGTGTAGATGAAGTTCCATTTCTATGTGATAAAACTTCATGTGAACTGTTAGGCAAAGATGCTATGTCACATGAACTGATTGAGCAGATTGAGTATGCAAGAAGGGTCCGTCGGTGCAAAACAATGGAGCAACTGCAAAAACTTTGGAATGAAGTCGAAAGCAAACGATATGCAACCATCGATAAATGGTTGACTTCTGCATACGCAAAACGGTTAGCTGAACTTGATACACAAAAGCTGAAACATGATGATTGAAGTGATGGATTTATTGAAAAACCTCTTTTTCATAAATAAAAATCTGACAAGATGTGTTCACAACGAGTCTCAAATGTCTGTGGGAGAGACTCAGCCCACCTTTGGTATCGCCGCTATTAGGCGCGTGCTGACCGAGGCTGGTTTACAGCTTGAGAAGCTATCGTGCTGTTGAGTTGAGCGTCGAAATGAGCGATCAATTGTGCTAATTGTTTCTTTTGTTCGTCAAAGATTTGATGAATTTCTTGTTCGGTTAACACTTCTGGCTGTAGTTCTGGTTCAGACTGATGCTCTGATTGAGTATCATCTACAAAATCGGGTTCCGATCGTGGACGAGAACGTGTTACGTACGATGTTACTGGCCAATGATGTTTCTGAAAATGTATGTAACCATTCTGAAGAACAGCGTCAGCTTGTGCTGGCAAATTGAAATCAATTTGGACGCGTTCCGTTACTGTTTGTGCTTCATCGTTTAGAAGCCATCGTTTGACATGTTTAATGCCAGGATAGACTTTCGACAATTGTTCTCCTAAGTCATTCATGAGGATATCTGTTGGAACACCATGGACAAGAAGTTTTTTCGAACGTTGTTGTTCGTTGGAGGAAATATCCGACTGATGATCGGATTCTGTATTACTTGCAGTTTGTCTTCGAGTAAATCTTCGTGATTTGATAGGTTCGACTGAACATCGAAGTTGGTCGAAGTTAATGTAACCAGTTTGAAGAAATGCTTCCGAATGTTCTGCTGTTACAAGTTCGACTCGAATCGTTTCTGTTGGTTTTTTGCTTTTTGGATTGTACAGTCGTTCCACACGTTTGATACCATGATATTGTTTTATTAATTCCTCCCGAAACTCATCGGCAGTAATGTCTTGATCCACACCACGAATAAGAAGTTTGTCCGTTAGTTCCATTTTGTCCAAATGTATTCTAGTATCGATGTTTTTTGCGTATATATATCGGTACGACTTTATCACTGGCTTTTACCGAATGATGCAATAGTGACGATGTGGAAGTATTCATTGTTTCATTGAGTTAGAAAAGATTGAGAAAGTATTTCACCACTGGGTGAAAGTGATAGCGAAATATACTGATGATGCAATAACACGTCGGACACGCGTGTGTATACCGTCAAGGTTACAGAACGAAAGACAAGAAACGATGGTGTGTCATGTGCTGTGTGTTTTTTCTGTTCTCTCGTAATAACACTGGAAAATACCGTTCTTCAATCAATACAGATGACTCAGAAGATTAAATAAAATGAAACGAATAAAAGCGATACAAAAACGATCAATAAGTCATAGATCAATCTAATCTTGTTCCACATCCATCGATTTATCTTTTGTCTCGGGTAAAATCAGCGTTAACAAAAGAACGACTACGGCTAGCGCTGATGAGATATAGAACGATATCGATAGATATTCGTCACTAATGGAAGTGTTGATTACTGGTGCAATAATAGCACCAAGATGACTAAAAGTAATAAAGAGTCCATTTGCAGTGCTTCGGATTGAAGTTTGAAAAAGTTCCGGAACGAAAATCCAAGAAACAGCAATCGCTCCCGATACCGCATATTTTCCTAATTGTGTCACGAGCACAGTACCGATTGCACTATGTTTAACAATGAAAGGTATGATGAGAATACAAATCGCCGTTAGACTCATCATTATGACGAAGGTACCTTTTCGACCAAGTCGTGTGACAATAAGAGCAGAACCAGATACATAACCAATCGCTTCAACGACAGCTCCAATAAGGACTCCAAGATATGGTGATATGTTGATGACTTCCAGGTCATAGCTGATTTCATAGTAGAGCATGTATGTCGTGAAACCAAGAAGACAGGTGATTAATAACTTGATGATACTGGATTTGTGAGAAAATAGTTGGCGAACTTGTTTGGAAAACGATGTCTTAGATTCAAGGTTAACTTCATTGAGTGATTGATTGTGTACAAACTCTTGATACGATGGATACCAGTCGATTTCCTTTCGTTTATTTCGCGTTGCAATTTGGCGTAAAACTGTTTCGAGTGCCGTGTATTGCCGTTTCGAATAAAGATAGAGCGGTGTTTCTGGCATAAAGTAGAGATAGGGTAGAATAACACCAATAAAAGCCGTACTAGCCCATTTCAATTTTTGCCAATCGACTGTGAGATAAGCAAAAAGCGTAAGGACACCCTCTCCGATTGTAAATGCAGTTAGTGCGGTGTTTCCCACAAGACTTGTATGTGCTGCTGATGTTAATTCAATCATCAGAATGAAAGCCATACTGTAGGTTGCGACTGTTAGACCAGAAATCAATTGGTTCACCAGCAGCAGGCCGAATCTATGAAGTCAGGAAATAAGTTAACAGCCTAGAACATCAATTCAAATTCAGCGAATTACTTTACATTCACTGTCATTGGAATCCATTGCATGAAAATTTGTGTCATAATACACAATACGAATAGGAAAACTGTTGTTATAGCTGTCGTTCGCTTTCGTCCGAATTTATCACCTAAAGTTCCGATTATAACCAATGAGAAACCACCTGTTTGCATCAATGTCGACAACCAACTCTTCCTTGGTTCACTCCGACAAACAAGATCAGCCTCTTCAGTGAATGTATAACCGAAAACAGATCGATCGTAAGCCCAACCGTTCGGACAATTGACTAATATTCGGCTCCGATTAACTGTTGTATAACGCATGCATTTATCCAATTTGTCATCTTTGTCTTTTGGAATATAAGTATTGATCAAATCTTGATGCGTTTGATTGACTGAGTAATAATGCGTATCATGTGGCCATACGGATGATGGTAATTGACATCGATGAAGAGGTTCAGCTGCACCGAACACATAGTAGAAAGCAACTATTCCAGCACTCATAGAAATCAGATTTAGAAAGAAAATATGCATCCACTGGTAAAGTCCAAGATCACCACATTGTCGAATAATACTATCTAGAGATGGTGATTCCGTTGTTGTTTTTGTCGGAGCATTGATTTCGTCCATCTGAGAATGTTCCAGAATTAGTAAAATTTAAAAACTGAAGAATTATTTTTTACATACATTTAGGTCACCAGCATTAGCATCGTACGCAACAGGGGCCATGTGTTTCTGTTATTTGATCATTGTCATTCATTTTCTTTACTTGATATCACAAGGTAAATAAATAGATAAAGATGCGTATGATGACTTCGCAGTTTTTCATTGTTATTTTCAAACGGACATAAGTGACCACTTTTGTAGGTATGATATAGTCACCACGGCATATGAACACGTGACTGTATATATTTCTCTTCGGTAAGGCAACATTTAAGTCTTCTATGGTACAGATATTTTATTTTAAATGGCTGAAGAGAACAAGTGTGATAAGAATTTTTTTCATGATTATATGACACATTATTGTTTGAGATCAGCACATACAACATCTATCCTCAAAACAACAACGATTTCGAATATACTCAAACATCTAAATACTGCTTTACAACACGAAAAGCATCTAGAATTATAAGCTTCTATGTGCAATGATAAATATTCTCCAAGTTCATTGTCGCTGATTTGTGTAAATCTAGAAGGACAGCATCAAATACACTAGTATTTCATTGGAGAAAACATACTCGATCCAATGCAGTCAATAGCTGATCGACTTTATTCGGGAACGCATCAGTTGGGGTATAATATTTCTCTGGCATCATGCCATCGCGCTCATATGAATCATTAGATATTCCTAAATGAGAAAATATGTTTATGTACTAAAAGAGGTCACAATAAACGAACCAATCCAACATTGAAATCGTTTCATCATAAATGTAAAGATAATCTCGTCCTCTGTTCGTTGAGATTTAAGATTATCCCGAGCATAACGAAAGCTTTCGTTGATAATCGTGAGAAACATGCTCAAACAAATGAATACGACGATAAGAGTAAATAGAGTAAAAACAAATGGACCGAGAAATGATGAACCATTGATCAACTCATGTGCATCAAAGCTCATCAAGATTATCTCATACAACATTACCGCTGTTCGATACAGATTCGCACATGTTGACAATTTTGATATGAATAACAAGTAGAATAAGCAAAGAAATGCGATGAAGATTACTCCAAACATCAACGAGAATGACCAGAGTGCTCTGCTGGCATGTTGAAGTGTTTGAATGAAGAGACTGATACGACGATTGAATCGACAAAGGCGAACAAATTTGATCCAACCAAGAAACAGAGCGAGGCTAAGAAAATTTTTCAATAATTGATCTAAACTAACTGCATATTCTAAATCAATATAATCATATCCATTGGTTTCCTTGAAGAACTTTCCGATTGCTTTTGCTTCTTGATATTTCAATACGAAGATTAACAGACTAGTCCAGGAACAAATGATGATACCCATGTTAATATAAGACCAAACATCGTGAAAATACTTGATTTTCATTCGTCTGATTGATTGAATTATTTCGATCATCATATAAATGATAAACATCAAGTAGGCAATGCTACAAAACAATTCAGATAGGGTTGACATCACTAGAACAGCAAGGAACTGTTAGAAAAGAGATGTCGAAGATGACTACTAACTTTGAAATGAAAACGGATTGATATAAGATTGAAATCGTATGCTTCCAGTTGACTGAAAATCTGTTTGAAGTTTCACTGAAGCGAACAAATTCACGTTTGGATTAAACAAGTTCAACTGGATTTCAATAACTCTCGTTTGCTTGTCAATCCAACTGAATTGATGAAGTACGGAAAGATTACTTCGAAGAGTGGATAGTCGACCACGAAATTCATAGACATAGCCATCATCCGTATATTGAAACGCTTTGTTAACTGACAAATTCGATAATTGAATGGTTTGATTCATCCACCCTGGTTGGAATGAACGCTTCTCTTCATTTAATAAACCCAAATCATATTCACACGAAGAATTCCACTGTGAGCATGGTTCAGATTTGACTCGTATTTGTCTCATTCTGACCCATCCAATCAGTCGATTTGTTTTGTCATCGAAGTAACCCGAGAGATTTCGAGGTGGATCACCATTGTACCAGTCTTGTGCGCGAATCTTCTCAACAAAATCAGTTTCTAACCAGTTCCAATACTCATCGATGGTTGAAATCTAAATAATAACGAAGTAAATATCGTCTCCGTAGAGAAATATTCTTCACGAACCTTTTCATTGCCTCTTAAATTAATAAGATATTTTCTCAGATGATTGACTTGTTCGAATTGATGGTCAACTTGATTGGAATAGATGACAACATTGAGAAGAACAAGGAAACAAATATAAGAAAGAACTTCTCGCATAATCAATTGCATTTTCTTCTCTCGTGAACGTTTTTCGCGTAGAAACTCTAACTCCCATTCACTCAATGGACTGAATTGCAATTGCGATCGAGAGATGAATGATGCAGAGCGAACTTGTTTTGTTGATTGTAAATACTCTTCATCGTTATTCAGATCAATTTGTGCTTCATCATCTAAGTACTCATTTGCTTGTTTATCTTTATCAGAAGTGCGAATAAAACAAGCGAAGAACACTGTTAATGCACAAATCTTGATTGGTTCAAGAAGAAGAATTGATGAAAAGAAACCACTAATCAACGAAGTCAACCATTTTTGAGTTTTCAAATCGCCAAATTCGATTCCACGAACAATGATGAAGAAGATCGACACGAAAGCTGTGATAAATGACAAACCGTATGCAAGAAATAGACACCACCACGGAAATTTCAATCGGAATGACTTCTTGGTGTTCGGTTTGCCGGATGAAATCGTAGGTATTGACTTGATTTGAGAAAGCGTTTGACGTAGAGGTGAAACTGGTGTTCGGCTCGGTTGAATACGTCGAAAGAACTGAATGAGGCATAAACTTGGAATGAATACCAACAACTCAACAATAATACCAATTCCAATCTATACATTCGCAACAGAACAATAAAAGTAGAAATGTGAAGGATATGACAAACCTGTTCAGGTGTGATGTACAATGGACCAAACGACAGACTACTCTTTCCACCGGTGCTACTTTTTGCGTCATTCTTTTGATCATAGTAGAGAATGTTTAACAACATTGAAGTGAGTAGTAACACGAAACAGCAGGTACATCGTTGAACACGTGTGAATGTATTCGATGGTGGACGAGAAAAGATCGAGAACCATAGATGATCTTCAGAGATATTATAATAGGTTTGTTTGGACAGAATATACGCAAATTTATCCATTTGCAATTCACTTGACACGGGTAAGAGACGTTCGATCTAAAACTCCAAACATGGAACACTGAATATTACGCAGTAGAAGCACTTACACGTCCATCATCTTCGTCAATGGCAAACCATCGTTGACAAATAAAATACGACTTTTCCAATGTTTGTAAATCACGAACGATCAAATATTTCAAAAACCACGATGAATTATCTTGATTGTTATGCCAAACACGAATATAATTCAGTTTTCCCAATGATTTAGGAATAGTCATCACAAATGAATCCACTTGGCCACGTTGAAATATCTGTCGCTTGGAATGATTGAAGGTTCGAACTTGTGTTTCATCTTCATCACCAGCAAGAATGAAATGAACTCGAGATTTGGTTCCAGCATTCTTTCGATTTCCAGTGAAGACAATGATTTGATAGCAATACTGATCTTCCTTACGGTTATCTTCCAATGCAAGCACTCCCAACTGAAATGAAACAGTTTCGCATTTTGAAATAAATACATCGCATCTTACTTTTTCAATGTCCTTTTTATCCTTATAGCGTGCATAGGTCATTATGAGTAGATAAAGAATAGAAACGCAGATTACGGTGATATAAATTGTTTTGTTGCGATTGAAATCAGCATTTGCGAAGACATAATTCCAGTTGATAGGTGCTGGTAACACAAGAAATCCACCTGCAAACGTTGTTAAATGAGTCGATAAGCATTCTGTTTCATTCACATTTGTCAATGAACCGACCTTTTGAAGGATTAAGAAAAAGAACTTTATTTTGTAACGTAGAAATGACTTACAATCAATCCATCGGATTGCCATCGATTATTTGAATCAAGATAGTAACAACCGGACGTGTACAGGCGAAGTTCATAATTCGATGTAAAATGGAATGGTTCGTTAGTGATGGGCGGATCGGTCGATGGAGTTGAACAATAGTGAAGCATTTCGGTCGAGTTCAGTTCACGTAAACCAAAGATCAGCGATTCATAGTTGTTTGTTAGTTGATTATTGATAAAATAAGTATACATGTTGTCGATGGTCAAATCTGAAATGATGACCTCCGCATTATTCGAAAAGTTTCATGGAAAAGTGACAAACTTGAAGGACAAAATAAAGACCACTTATCAATTTGAGACATTGAACTGTTCAACACTGGCGAACTGTCAAATTTATAAATTAATAAATAACCGAGACTCGGATTTAATGGTTTCATTCCTATGTGAACCGATACAGACACACCACTCGAGTGAGACAAATCAACATAATGCAGGTTGAACAGAAGATGGTGCTGGATGCTGTTCATCGAAGTAACATTTTGTGATACCATCGACGGAAGAATGAGATTTGAATCTCGTGGAATCACAAATCGATATGGATTATTGGATGATGTTGGATATGAAAGTTCGTTTCCATTTCGATCAAGAATCGAAAGGGAAATGGTTCTGGAAAGATTTGTATATGAACGCGATTGATCTGCTGGTGCCAGTGGTTGAACAATTGACTAAAATTAATAAAGATGAAAATAGCAACGAGAAATCAGATGAAGAAAAACATACTCGAAGTGATACTGAACGATCGTTTGACTGAATAATGGATGGAAGTTGAATTTGCGCATTGTTAATTGGTTTGATGATTTGATTTGAAAGAGATTCCGTCGACATTACTTGTAATGACATAAAAATCGATGATGCATTGATAGTGAAGTTTTGGCCGATATTCAAATGATTATTCAGTGCGGACGTTAAGAAGGCAAGTGATTGATTTGTTTGTTGGCTGACTTGGTTCTGTGCTTGTTTTTGATAGTAAAGATTTCGATTCTTCTCTATTGTACTCCATGAAAAATCATCGCCATCAGCAAACAATTCTTTTCAGAACAAAATCAGATCTCTCGTCATCTGACGAAAACATAGAGACATACTTGGATTTGACCATGCAGATTCCAGATCAGTATCATAATCAGCAGGAAAGTCATTAGCACGAGAATAGTCCAGATCAAGAGCTGTTGTTCGTCCTTGCAATGGTCCATTGATAGCCTAGGATTGAAAAAAGTGAAGATGGAAGCATTCAAAGGAGAATCTTGATGAATTACTGTTAAAACATTTGTAATACATTTCGTTATTTGTTCAGCACTAATCTGGACGTCTTCGTAAGTAATTTTTGTTGATATTGCATTTAGATTATTCGCCAATTGATAGCATTTATTCGACGCCGTTATCTACGAGAAAAATGGAGATTTAGATGAAAGGACAAAGTAATGTTTTATACCGCTGATGATCGTGTCAATTGATTTGTTGCTTCTGTTAATTGAGAGAGGATGAATGCTTGAAACGCGATACTATTCGGTGTGAATATCGGAAAAGTTTCAGTAAAATTGATCAGATATTCTCGAACATTCGCTTGAGAATTCAAGTTTTTAGTGAAGTTGTTCATTGCCGAACTATTCGACAGAGAAAGTGCTTGTGGTGTTCTTTGTTGGTCCAATTGAGAAACTGAAATTGTAGATAATGGAATTTGGTTTGACACGGCTTCGTCAAGATTTTGTTGGTTCAACTGATTCAATTGTTGAGACAACGAATTCAAAATTTGTCCACCAGTATTTTGATTGGTACTGGAAAGTAGTTGAACAATCGAATTCGATGTTTTATTGTTCAGTAAATCATTTATTTCAGATAAATCTTCAGTGACCGTTACTGAGGTGATGTTGACTTCCTGAATACTATCGTGTTCATCTCGAATAGAAATCGTTAGATAGGTTAGGGAAGTATTTCGACTAGTCGCTGGTAATCGAACTTGAAAGGTGGGAATGGCAGAAAAGGTAATCATTGATCGCTCGACGTTTTCAGGTGCCCAGGAATAGAGAGAATAGTCTTTGATACCATCTTCATCAAACCAATTTGAACACGAAATGGTGAATAACGTGTCGGTTGTACCGGCCAATGGAAAGATCGAGCACGAACCATTCGATGGTGGTTGATTGATGACGAAATTCAATGCGCTGGAGCTTGATTCGGATGCAAATTGATAAAGAGCTTCAAATCGCCAAAGACTGACTTGTGGATTCATTAGGAATAGTTGATTTATTGATGTGAAATTATTCGTGTTTCGTCCTAAATGAATCCTTTTCAACGGTGCCGGAAAGAACCAAAATTATACATACCAAAAAACCAAATATTTTCGTAGGAGCTTGTTTGGTTGAATAAAGTCCATTGAGTAACATTTGAAGACGAGTTCATCGATCCGGAATAAATATTCCAAGTGATATTTATAATAGTCGAACAGTTGCTAAGACATGCAGAGAATAATGCAACTTGTGTTGATGGATTAACCAACTGAAATTCCATATTTGGAACACACATTGTTTGAATGACACATCTAGATCAAATATATCTTTACATCAATATGTTTTCGAAGAGTGGCCTACCCGACACCAATCAATTGTTTTGGAGTATCTTCAACAATGATGAGAAGATAACCAGTTCCTTGGAGAGAGGAGTTATCGCGATTCTCCATCAAAACCATGAATTGATATGTGCGATTGGACTGGAACGAATGAGAGAGAATTGTTACAGACGAATGGATAGAATTACCAAACTGCCATTCGGTTTGATTGGACAAACATGGTTGATTGAAAGGATCAACCGTTGGATCATCAATTGTGATTAATGATCCTTGAAAATTGGGAAAGTTATATTGACCGTAGATTCGACAGTAGTACTTGTACTTCCAGTTCTAAAAGAAAACAATAATGACAATAATACACTATTCGTGGAGACATTCATACCGTAGCATTGAAATATGATTCATCTAAGTCAACGGAAAATGATCCGGGATCTAGTAACAGATCTTGATTGTATCCGATGGTGACCATCGAGGTTCCATATTGCATGAGATTTACTGTGACAGCTGATGGGATAATATGAACGTAAACTGACGATGTTGTCTGTAAGGAAGGCATATCAATCATTGTTACTGTTAATTCGAACTTATAAATTCCATATGGAAGTGTTCGAGCTGGAATGTATAAATCACTGTACGTGGTAAGAATTGTTCCGTTTATTTGAACCTGCTTAGAACATGTTGATGTACAGTAGGTAATTGTCCAGCTTGTTGAGATCGAGAATGATTGAGAGCAATCGAGTGTAATCAATGATACAAAATAAAAATCCTGACTGCGACGAACTTGCAATGGTGAACTCAATGTTGGTGCTGTTGGAGCAATCGTAACATTCGGAAAACAACCTAGAAATATTCTAGTTGGTATCCTACCCAGGGATGTTATACAACAGCAGTACTTTGATTCGAAAGTATTATTTGAGAGGTGATGGTCGTTGTTGCGTCCCCGGTCGATGATATATACTGTGAGGATACTGATGTAGTTGTCGACGTTGTCAATGTGGAAGATCCTGAAAAAATAAATACTTTCTCTTTTTACTCACGAGTATGCGCTGATTAATGAACCTGTTATAGCTTGTGTCGTTGAGGGGGCAAGCATCGTTGAGTCTAAAATATTCAAACATTGATATTTATTGTTTAAAAGAAAAAGGATGAAGCTCAAAAGAACACACCGCATGAATTAGTCAAAAGAGTAAATTTCTGGACACGACCATTTAGTTGATCAGTTACGAATATATTTCCATAACGATCAAAAGCCGTAAACGAAGGCGCATTCAGTTGAGCAGATCCTGAACCCGCAGTAGTCGAGCATGATGGAAGGCAACGATAACCACCGACTGTAAATATTATAATGCGATTAGCGTGGTAATCAGCAATGTACAAATTATTATCAGCATCGAACATGATTCCTGTAGGATAACTGAGTGGCACAGATTGATTCGAACCGTTGCCTACTATTGTGGTTGCATTCAATTGATCAAGTTGGAATCGCTGGATTCGAGCATTTCCAGAGTCTGCCACATATAGGTTAAAATCGTTGTCAACAAATATACCATTCGGTTTATACAGCTTGTCTAATGCATATCCACTTTTGTTTGACTTGCCAGCAACGATTGAAGCAGCACTTGAGTTGCTATTTAATGATCTTTTAACAACGACATGTGCTTGATTTATCGAACAGTATAATGTGTCGTTAGCATCAATAAAGAGCCCGTTACAATATGAACTAACATACATGGCAGGACTGTATTGTGTTCCGTTTGATGAAAATCTTTCTATTTGACCATATAAATAGCCGTTGTCAACAAAAATATCACCTGCTGTAGTAACGAAAAGCCCAGTTGGCTGGTATAAATTACCAGAAATATTTGCCGTTGGAGTAGTGCTATTTTTACTCCATACTATGACTTGGTCAAATTGGGCGCTGGACACGTATATATTGTCATTGGTACCGATGAAAATCGACATAAGCTGCGTACCGATAACTTTGCTCCCTACAAATGTTGTAGCCGTTGTATTCCACGTTACATTTGGACAAAACTTCGGTTGGTAAAATGAAACAGCTAGCAAAGCAAAAGAAAACATTCAATTAACTTTTTCGATAGTATCAACCAGTAAAAGCCCTAACTGAAAAATTTGTACACGCATTTTCTGTATTCATCATAGACATGGCTCTTGTCTTAGCTATTGACTTTGGAGTGCATTATCTTACTTAGGATGCTGCTCTCTCTCTCACAAGACATGAACTCGACTTTCCTACGAGTGAATCAATGACCTTTATTTCAAATTTACCCGTAGTCGAACCAATGCTCATCAGAATAATCCACCACAGATATGAACTATCCATGATGGATAATGCTTGTGATTTGATCGATCGTGTAAAGTACTGAAATGAGTTTTGTCTTCGAGAAAACCCTTTATATTTATAAGTTGTATCCTTTGAAACTGCGGAGAAGAAATTGAATTTCTCAATCATTATTGATGAGGCGAAACGAGACTAAAAACAAACAAGAAAACTCGTTTACGGACAATAGTCATATCTTTCCTTGTTGACTTTCATCACTTCTTTGTATTCAGAAGATAATTTTAAGTTCTTTGAAAACATTGTCTGAACTGTTTTTTGAAACTAGAACATTTCCTGAGTATGCTATAGAAGTACCGAAATAGATCGGAATAAGGCTTCGCTCTATGACTAAAGTCTTTTCTCTTCATATTAGCCAATTTTTGTATTTCGGTGGCCTCTACATCGACGATCTTCACGGATTTGGTCGTTGTTAGGACTTTTTCGTAAGAGCTTCTCAAGAATAACAATAGTAAAATTTAAGTTATCAAATGAGCACGGCGAATAACAATGAGGAAGGGAGTAGCCCAGGTATAATCGTCTTCAACTTCAATACTTAGAGAACGCGTGAAACATTCCTCCTGAATGAAAGATGATCCAGAATATTCAAAAAACAATAGACGCTTCTCTTTTTCTATGAATTCCGCAGAAATAAAAGAACTTCATTTATTATTGATTACTTGCAGTAAAGTGCGAAGGAAAAAGTGCATTCTTGTTTTCTGTTTACATGCACTTTGTTGGCATAAGAAATGTTTTAAGAACAAAGACTAGTTCAAATATATTTTTTTCGGGGAATTATCAGATTTTTAGTCGATTTTTGTACTAATCATTAATCAATCTAGCTCGATTATTTGCTAGAGACTTGAGTGATAGATTTTGAGAGACAAAAATATGAAAACGATCCATCTTCTTCCAATGTTTCTCTACTCGACGAATGCGAGCTGGATTCTACCATTAAAAATGTGTTTTCCCGTTTTCTTTACACAGGAGAATTCAGAAATGAATATGCATGATTTTAACTTGACGTTTTTCCCAATCAAGCAAGATTGAAAAGTTTCTGATAATCAACGCTCGTACATCTGAAGAACATCCCAGTGAGGTGTTTGCAGATTTACGAATTGAGTTTCCCGATAAAGTCAAAGATTTTCATTAATGATGCATCGAAAACTACGAAGCAAAGAGACAAATGAGAATATACCAAGGAATACACATGAGCTATCTTAGAATGGAATTGGAGAATGGAATGAACTGTACCAAGAAAAGTGTATTGAAACAGTCATGCACTGCACCTATTAACCTTGTCACCGGTCATTGACCTTTTCTTTCTGATTTTGAGGATGATTGTGTCATGCCGAAGGGTATAAGCGATCATTCTCACATTTGATGAACAATACAAGCACAGGTAGGTTAACTTTGGCTATGTTATATCTTCTATTACCAACCAATGAATACTCAGAAATTTTTCACTATTGTCCATCACACCTAAGAAAAGTAATTTCATATGACACATTCCTGACAAGTCATTAGTTGTTTTAAAGGAAACACAAAAAGTTTATCACGCTGAATCTTGAATAATCAAAACAAAATTGATGCCCGAAAGTGCAACGGCAACGAAATTTGTTTGTATTGCCATGACCTATTCGTGATATAAAAGTACATGTGAACAGTAATCTATTCGTTGTAGACCCCGCCCATAATATTACCTATATAATGACAGCAATTCACCAGACTCACATATGCGAAATAAACATCAGTCTACTGGATCATTTTGTAGTATAGCTATCACCAATTTGAATAAAAGACATGCAAAATCAGTCCGATATTTTCATTGCACAATGGCGCCTGTTGTATTTTAATAATCATCTGTAATTCAATGAGGAAATTATGCTTTTTCTTTTTCATACGATGTAATAAATTACTTTTTTTCTTCCTATCAAAGAAATGTTTGCAGGAGAGTATGGTCACATGGCTTGCTATTCCTTTTATGAATTAAACAGAAAAGTTTTTTTTTGCGTTACCTTCATTTTTTTTTCGCTTTCTCATGAATAGGAAGTTTTCTATTATATATTATTGAAAGAATCAACAACGCGCAAATGATTACCATACGCAAATATGATATTATAAACGAGTAAGTTACGCTCACTTCATTTTTATACTGAATATTGTTTGTCAAACACTGCATTTTTATAATACTATTTTAGATGACGTGATAATTGAGAGAACTTCTACAATGACAAGTCTATTTGGAGCAGAACGGCCTGATCTACTAAAAGATGAACTTCTGCACGAGATCTTCATTCAAACAGCACAATACTTTCCCGATAAAGTCGCTATTCGTTGGCAGAATGAAGAGATTACCTACCACCAGCTCTATCAACGTGCATCTTATCTAGCTGCAGTATTACAGCAAACAAAACACATCGGTACAGGTGATCGAGTAGCTATATGGCTGGCACGCTCAGCTCGATTACACGTTACCATTCTCGCTGTTTTGATGACCGGTGCAACGTATGTTCCATTTGATGCTGATGCGCCCGAGGAACGTGTCAATGAAGTACTTGAAGATTTGCAAGTCGCACTTCTTCTTGTCGATTCACGTCGTCCGATAACACACCCATCAGCATTCAATGTTGAACACGTAGTCGAGAAAAGTGATAGTACCTATAAAATTGCTCAATTAACCGTAAATACTCATAGAAATTTACCAGCTTATATCATCTGTACGTCGGGTTCGACAGGCAAACCAAAGGCGATTGCAATCAGTCATCGGAGTATTTGCCATTTCATTCGCGCTGATAATGAAGCGATGCAAGTCAAGTATGATGATGTTGTGTATCAGGGTTCTTCAGCTGCGTTTGATATGTTTCTTGAAGAAACATTTCTTTCGTACTTTGTGGGCGCAACTTTGGTCATCGCGTCTAAAACGGATATTTTAAATAGTGACCAATTACATTTATTCTTCAGTCGTCATTCAATCACGGTTTTGTTTTGTGTGCCAACGCTACTGCTTTTGATGTCCGACGATCCTGCATTGAAAATTCGTCTCANTCATTAGCACGAGAATAGTCCAGATCAAGAGCTGTTGTTCGTCCTTGCAATGGTCCATTGATAGCCTAGGATTGAAAAAAGTGAAGATGGAAGCATTCAACGGAGAATCTTGATGAATTACTGTTAAAACATTTGTAATACATTTCGTTATTTGTTCAGCACTAATCTGGACGTCTTCGTAAGTAATTTTTGTTGATATTGCATTTAGATTATTCGCCAACTGATAGCATTTATTCGACGCCGTTATCTACAAGAAAAATAGAGATTTAGATGAAAGGACAAAGTAATGTTTTATACCGCTGATGATCGTGTCAATTGATTTGTTGCTTCTGTTAATTGAGAGAGAATGAATGCTTGAAACGCGATACTATTCGATGTGAATATCGGAAAAGTTTCAGTAAAATTGATCAGATATTCTCGAACATTTGCTTGAGAATTCAAATTTTTAGTGAAGTTGTTCATTGCCGAACTATTCGACAGGGAAAGTGCTTGTGGTGTTCTTTGTTGGTCCAATTGAGAAATTGAAATTGTAGATAATGGAATTTGGTTTGACACGGCTTCGTCAAGATTTTGTAGGTTCAACTGATTCAATTGTTGAGATAATGAACTCAAAATTTGTCCAGCAGTATTTTGATTGCTGCCGGAAAGCAGTTGAACAATCGAATTCGATGTTTTATTGTTCAGTAAATCATTTATTTCCGATAAATCTTCAGTGACTGTCACTGAGGTAATGTTGACTTCCTGAATACTATCGTGTTCATCTCGAATAGAAATCGTTAGATAGGTTAGGGAAGTATTTCGACTAGTCGCTGGTAATCGAACTTGAAAGGTGGAAATGACAGAAAAGGTGACCATTGATCGCTCGACCTTTTCAGGTGCCCAGAAATAGAGAGAATAGTCTTTGATACCATCTTCATCAAACCAATTTGAACACGAAATGGTGAATAATGTGTCGGTTGTACCAGCTAATGGAAAGATCGAGCACGAACCATTCGATGGTGGTTGATTGATGACGAAATTCAATGCGCTGGAGCTTGATTCAGATGCAAATTGATAAAGAGCTTCAAATCGCCAAAGACTGACTTGTGGATTCATTAGGAATAGTTGATTTATTGATGTGAAATTACTCGTGTTTCGTCCTAAATTAATCATTTTCAAAGGTGTCGGAAAGAATCGAAATTATACATACCAAAAAACCAAATGTTTTCGTAGGAGTTTGTTTGGTTGAATAAAGTCCATTGAGTAACATTTGAAGACGAGTTCATCGATCCCGAATAAATATTCCAAGTGATATTTATAATAGTCGAACAGTTGCTAAGACATGCAGAGAATAATGCGACTTGTGTTGATGGATTAACCAACTGAAATTCCATATTTGGAACACACATTGTTTGAATGATACATCTAGATCAAATACCTCTTTACATCAATATGTTTTCCAAGAGTGGCTTACCCGACACCAATCAATTGTTTTGGAGTATCTTCAACATTGATGAGAAGATAACCAATTCCTTGGAGAGAGGAATTATCGCGATTCTCCATCAAAACCATGAATTGATATGTGCGATTGGACTGGAGCGAATGAGAGAGAATTGTTACGGATGAATGGATAGAATTACCAAACTGCCATTCGGTTTGATTGGACAAACATGGTCGATTGAAAGGGTCAACCGTTGGATCATCAATCGTGATTAATGATCCTTGAAAATTAGGAAAGTTATATTGACCGTAGATTCGACAGTAGTACTTGTACTTCCAGTTCTAAAAGAAAACAATAATGACAATGATACACTATTCGTGGAGACATTCATACCGTAGCATTGAAATATGATTCATCTAAGTCAACGGAAAATGATCCGGGATCAAGTAACAGATCTTGATTGTATCCGATGGTGACCATCGAGGTTCCATATTGGATGAGATTTGCTGTGACAGCTGATGGGATAATATGAACGTAAACTGACGATGTTGTCTGTAACGAAGGCATATCAACCATTGTTACTGTTAATTCGAACTTATAAATTCCATATGAAAGTGCTTGAGCTGGAATGTATAAATCACTGTACGTGGTAAGAATTGTTCCGTTTATTTGAACCTGCTTAGAACATGTTGATGTACAGTAGGTAATTGTCCAGCTTGTCGAGATCGAGAATAATTGAGAGCAACCGAGTGTAATCAATGATACAAAATAAAAATTCTGACTGCGACGAACTTGCAATGGTGAACTCAATCTTGATGCTGTTGGAACAATCGTAACATTCGGAGAACAACCTAGAAATATTCTAGTTGGTATCCTACTCATGGATGTTATACAACAGCAGTACTTTGATTCGAAAGTATTATTTGAGAGGTGATCGTCGTTGTGGTAGTTGTCGATACCCGTGATGGTTCCGTTGTCGCGTCCTCGGTCGATGATATATACTGTGAGGATACTGATGTAGTTGTCGATGTTGTCAATGTGGTAGATCCTGAAAAAATAAATACTTTCTCTTTTTACTCACGAGTATGCGCTGATTAATGAACCTGTTATAACTTGTGTCGTTGAGGGGGCAAGCGTCGTTGAATCTAAAATATTCAAACATTGATATTTATTGTTTAAAAGAGAAAAGATCAAGCTCAAAAGAACACACCGCATGAATTAGTTAAAAGAGTAAATTTCTGAACACGACCATTTAGTTGATCAGCTACGAACATATTTCCGTAACGATCAAAAGCCATACACGAAGGCGCATTCAGCTGAGTAGATCCTGGACCCGCAGTAGTCGAGCATGATGGAAGGCAACGATAACCGCCGGCAGCAAATATTATAATGCGATTAGCGTGGTAATCAGCAATGTACAAATTATTATCGGCATCGAACATGATTCCTGTAGGATAACTGAGTGGCACAGATTGATTCGAACCGTTTCCTACTATTGTGGTTGCATTCAATTGATCAAGTTGGAATCGCTGGATTCGAGCATTTCCAGAGTCTGCTACATATAGGTTAAAGTCGTTGTCAACAAAGAGACCATTCGGTTTATACAGCTTGTCTAATGCATATCCACTGTTGTTTGACTTGCCAGCAGCGATTGAAGTAGCACTTGAGTTGCTATTTAATGATCTTTTAACAACGACATGTGCTTGATTTATCGAACAGTATAGTGTGTCGTTGGCGTCAATAAACAGCCCATTACAATATGAACTGATATACATGGCAGGACTGTATTGTGTTCCGTTTGATGAAAATCTTTCTATTCGACCATATGAAAAGCCGTTGTCAACAAAAATATCACCTGCTGTAGTAACAAAAAGCCCACAGGGCTGCTTTAAATTGCCAGAAATATATGCTGTTGGAGTAGTGCTATTTTTACTCCATACAATGACTTGGTTATATTGGGTGCTGGACACGTATATATTGTCATTGGTATCGATGAAGATCGACATAAGCTGCGTACCAATAACATTGGTCCCTACAAATGTTGTAGCCTTTGTATTCCACGTTACATTTGGACAAAACTTCGGTTGGTAAAATGAAACAGCTAGTAAAGCAAAAGAAAACATTCGATTAATTTCTTCGATAGTATCAGCCAGTCAAAGCTCTAACGGAAAAATTTGCAGACGCATTTTCTGTATTCATCATAGACATCTCTCTTGTTTTAGCCATTGGCTTTGGAGTGCATTATCTTACTTAGAATGCTACTCTCTCTCTCTCTCTCGAGACATGAGTTCGTTTTTCTGCGAATGAACCAATGATCCTTATTTTAAATTTACCTGTGGTCGAACCAATACCCATCAGAATAATCCACCACAGATATGAACTATCCATGATGGATAAAATGTTTGCGATTTGATCGATCGTGTAAAGTACTGAAATGAGTTTTGTCTTCGAGAAAATCCTTTATATTTATAAGTTGTATGCTTTGAAACTGCGGAGAAGAAATTGAATTTCTCGATCATTATTGATGAGATGAAACAAGACTGAACACAAACAAGAAAACTCGTTTACGGACAATAGTCATGTCTTTCCTTGTTGACTTTCATGACTTCTTTGTATTCGGAAGATAATTTTAAGTTCTTTGAAAACATTGTCTAAACTATTTTTTAAAACTAGAACATTTCCTAAAGTATGTCATAGGAGTACCGAAATAGATCGGAATAAGGCTTCGCTCTAAAACTAAAGTCTTTTCTTTTCATATTAGCCAACTTGTATTTCGGTGACCTGTACATCGCAGATCTTCGCGAATTCGGTCGTTGTTAGAACTTTTTCGTAAAAGTTTCTTAAGAATAACAATAGTAAAATTTAAGTTATCAAATGAGCACGGCGAATAACAATGAGGAAGGGAGTAGCCCAGATATGATCGTCTTCAACTTCAATATTTCGAGAACGCGTAAAATGTTTCTCTTGAGTGAAAGATGATCCAGAATATTCAAAAAACAATAGACGCTTGTTTTTTTTTGTGAATTTCGCAGAAATAAAAGAACTTCATTTATTATTGATTACTTGTAGTAAACTGCGAAGGAAAAATTGCGTTCTTGTTTTCTGTTTCCACACGCTATGTTCCCATAAGAAATGTTTAAAGAACAAAGACTAGTTCAAATATATTTTTTCGGGAATAATCAGAGTTTTAGTCTATTTTTGTACTACGTAGTTCGATTATTTACTGGAGGCTTGAATGATAGATTCCGAGAGACAAAAGTATGAAAACGATTCATCTTCTTCCAATGTTTCTCTACTCGATGAGTGCGAGCTGGATTCACCATTAAAAATGTATTTTATCGTTTTCTTTACACAGGAGAATTCGGAGATGAGTAAATCATTTTGTCTTGTTTACACATCGTCTTTACATGAGAAGAACATGTTCGATGAGCTTTGATTTTGAGTATGTGTGATTTTAACTTGACGTTTTTCCCAATCAAACAAGATTGAAAAGTTTCTGATGATCAACGCTTGTACATCTGAAGAACCTCCGAGTGAGGTGTTTGCAGATTTAAGAATTGAATTTCTACGATGAAGTCAAAGATTTTCATTAATGATGCATCAAAAACTACGAAGCGATGAGACAAATGAGACCATACCAAGAAATACACATAAGCTGTCTTAGAATGTAATTGGAGAATGCAATGAACTCTACCAAGAAAAGTGTATTGAAACGGTCATGCACTGCACTTATTAACCTTGTCACCGGTCATTGACCTTTTCTTTCTGACTTTATTGTATTTGTGTTTCTATATAAGTTGCATTCGACACAGAAAAAGATACAATTGTGATTTTGAAGATGATTGCGTCATCCCGAAGGGTATAAGCGATCATTCTCACATTTGATGAACAATACAAGCACAGGTAGGTTAACTTTGATTATGTTATATCTTCTATTACCAACCAATGAGTACGCAGAAATTTTCTGCTAACAGAAGTATAAAAGTATTTGGTATACATATTTATCTTAGCAAGTTTTCATTATTGTCCATCACACCTAAGAAAAGCAATTTTATATGCAACATGACACACTCCTGACAAGTCATTAGTTGCTTTAAAGGGAGCACAAAAAGTTTATCACGTTGAATCTTGAATAATCAAAACAAAATTGATACCCAAAAGTGCAACGACAACGAAATTTGTTTGTATTGCCATGACCTATTCGTGATATAAAAGTACAGGTGAACAGTAATCTATTCATTGTAGACCCCGCCCATAATATTACCTATATAATGACAGTAATTCACCCGACTCACATATGCGAAATAAACATAAGTTTACTGGATTATTTTGTAGTATATCATCAATTTGAATAAAAGACATGCAAATTCAGTCCGACCTTTTCATTGCACAATGTCGCCTATTGTATTTTAATAATGATCTGTAATTCAATGAGGAAATTATGCTTTTTCTTTTTCCTGTCGAAGAAGTGTTTACAAGAGAGTATGGTCACATGGTTTGCGCTTCTTTTTAAGAATTAAAGAGAAAAGCTTTTTTTGCGTTACTTTGAATTTTTTTTTCTTTTTCTTATGAATAGGAAGTTTTCTATTATGTATTATTGAAAGAATCAACAACGCGAAAAGGATTACCATACGCAAATATGATATTATAAACGAGTAAGTTACACTCACTTTACTTTGATACTGGAAATCGTTTGCCAAACACGGCATTTTCATAATGGTATTTTAGATGACGTGATAATTGAGAGAACTCCGACAATGACAACTCTATTTGGACCAGAACGACCTGATCTACTAAAAGATGAACTTCTGCATGAGATCTTCATTCAGACAGCACAAAACTTTCCCGATAAAGTCGCTATTCGTTGGCAAAATGAAGAGATTACCTATCACCAGCTCTATCAACGTGCATCCTGTTTAGCTGCAGTTTTACAGCAAACAAAACACATCGGTACAGGTGATCGAGTAGCTATATGGCTGGCACGCTCAGCTCAGTTACACGTTACCATTCTCGCTGTTTTGATGACCGGTGCAACGTATGTTCCATTTGATGCTGATGCGCCCGAGGAACGTGTCAATGAAGTACTTGAAGATTTGCAAGTCGCACTTCTCCTTGTCGATTCACGTCGTCCGATAACACACCCATCAGCATTCAATGTTGAACACGTAGTCGAGAAAAGTGATAGTATCTATAAAATTGCTCAATTAACCGTAAATACTCATAGAAATTTACCAGCTTATATCATCTGTACGTCGGGTTCGACAGGCAAACCAAAAGCGATTGCAATCAGTCATCAGAGTATTTGCCATTTCATTCGCGCTGATAATGAAGCGATGCAAATCAAGTATGATGATGTTGTTTATCAGGGTTCTTCAGCTGCGTTTGATATGTTTCTTGAAGAAACATTTCTTTCGTACTTTGTGGGCGCAACTTTGGTCATCGCGTCTAAAACAGATATTTTAAATAGTGACCAATTACATTTATTCTTCAGTCGTCATTCAATCACGGTTTTGTTTTGTGTGCCAACGCTACTGCTTTTGATGTCCGACGATCCTGCATTGAAAATTCGTCTCATCAATACCGGCGGAGAAGCTTGTCCACAGGTAAAAGAGATATAATACAAAATAAAGCGCTTCTTCATACGATAATGTTTATGACCTCTAGACACTTGTTAATCGGTGGTGGAAAGAAAGTCGGGTGATATTCAATTCGTATGGTCCTACTGAAATAACAGTTGCTGCTACTGTGCAATCTCTGCGTCCTGGCCAACCAATTAGCATCGGTGCTCCGTTACCTAATTATGTATGTTGTTTACTCGATGAGGAGACGGGTCAGCCAACTTCTAAAACAATCGGTGAATTATGTATACGCGGACCAGGTGTTGCTTTGGGTTATGTTAATCGTGAAGCACTGACTAAAGAAAAATTCACGGAATACGGTTATCGCACAGGTGATCGTGTGTCGATTCAAAACGAACAGATCTTTTTCCACGAACGAATTGATTCTCAAGTTAAACTTCGTGGTTTTCGTATGGAACTTGATGAAATCGAACAGGAATTACTCCGATTAGAAGGTCAAGTTATATCTGCTGCTGTGGCTGTTGTTCATGAGCAGTTGATCGCTTTCGTGGTGGGCAACTTGACCGAATCACAAATGCGAGAAGAACTCCGACAACGGCTACCTTCTTACATGGTACCTGATCGATTAATTAAAGTCGATGGAGCAATGCCTCGATTACCCAGCGGCAAAATAGATCGCAAAGCTCTCTTGTTAATAGATGACATGAAAAAATCAAAACTTACCAAAGTAGAAATTAATTCCAACATTGCAGCAGAGCATACTATCAACGAGCCAAATGGGAATAGTCAAACAATCGACGTTGTTATTAATACTTTTCAGAAGAGTTTTCCACATCAACAAGTAAAGCCAAATAATGATTTCTTCGTCGATCTTGGTGGTCATTCATTGATCGCCGCACTTACAATCGCTGAGTTACGTAAATACTTTCCCAGTGTTGCTCTGCACGATTTGTACGAATGCAAAACCGCAACTAAACTTGCTGAACGGTTAACTAATCAATCCATTGAAAAGAAAAACGACGAAAACATCGCGAAACCTTTTGCTGCTTACGTTAAACCTTCTCTGACAAGAATCATTCTGTGTAGCATTTACCAGTTACTAGTAATGTTGGTGCTCGGTACAATTGCCTCCATGGAACTTCTTTTACCATACATAACGTTTGTTTTACTGTTGCATGAACATGATCTTGGCTATGCATGTCTTGTCGCCTATGGAACACTAGTTGTTACAATGATAGTTCGATACAGTTTTCCTGTTTTGATCAAATGGATACTGATTGGTCGATATAAAGAAGGTGACTTTCCGTTATGGGGTTGGATGTACCTGCGTTGGTGGACTGTCGAGCAATTACGAAATCTAGCTATGGAAGATGTATTAGCGGATAGCCCATTAATGAGTATCTATTATCGACTTCTCGGTGCAAGAATTGGCCGTAATGTTCATTTAGGCTCTATCAGTTGTGCCGCACCTGATCTATTGGAAATCGATAATGAAACAACCATATCATCAGAAGTGCATTTTCAGACCGCCTTTGTCGAAGATTATACGTTGAAATTTCGTCGTATTTGTATCGAGAAATATGTTTATATCGGAAGTCGAAGTGTGCTAAATGGGCAAACAAAAATGAACGATTATTCTGAATTAGATGATTTATCCTTTCTGCCATCTAATACATCCGTACCTACCGGTGAAATATGGCATGGCTCGCCAGCTACCTATTCGCATAATGTCGATATAGGAGCATTGACTTACAGCACAACCAAGAATAAATTCAAATCTCTAATCACTCCAGTCATTTTCACTGTGATCGTTGTTTTCTTTATACCATTCTTCTATTTTATTCCAACGATTCCAGGTCTTATTCTCTTCGAATATGTAGATTTAAAATCAGTTAACGACTGGATAGAAGTGTTTATCTTCGGTGTTCCTGTTGGCATCTTATATACATGTTTAGTTATTGTACAAATTGTTGTTATTCGCTTTTTGTTTATTGGTACTCTAACGGTAGGTGTCTACAGTACGCAATCATTTGTTTACATACGAAAATGGTTATTCGATCGAGTTCTTGACATTGCATTACATATTATCCATACATTTTATGCTACGCTGTATATGGTACCTTTTCTCCGAACATTAGGAATGAAGATTGGTAATCGATGTGAAGTGTCAACAGCGATAGGAATGGTTCATTCATTAGTTGAAATTGGTGATGAATGTTTTATCGCTGATAATGTTCTTCTTTGTGATCCATACATTCGATTCGGACAGATGCATTTACAAAAGACAACAATTGGCAAACGTGTTTTCATTGGGAATACTGCAATCGTTCCCGACGGAAAGCAAATACCGAATGAATGTTTAATTGGATGCATGTCTCTCGTTGCTGATAACATGCAAGCAAAACAATCGTGTCTTGGTTCGCCGGCGTTTATCTTGCCGAATCGAGAACAAGTTACCAATGATATTTCAGAAAATTTGACATACCAACCCAATATCTCTGTGATAGCTCAACGTTTTTGTATCGATACGGTGCGTGTGTTTCTACCACGAATTATCATTGTTCTAGAAATCGGTATAGCGACCCAAATCTTCGAGCAATTGGACGAGTCCGCTGATTTTGGCTATTCTTTATTTCTTGTACCTCCTTTATACTTCGCTATACTTGCAATACCATCTACATTGCTTTGTATTGCTCTGAAATGGTTACTGGTGGGAAAATATCGAACTAATTATTATCCTCTATGGAGCTGGTTCGTATGGTTATCGGATTTCGTTACAGTCACTTTCGAACAATTAGCTGTAGGACTTTTATTGGAATTTTTGCGTGGAACTTTCCTGATCGCTCCCGTCTTGCGTTGTTTTGGTGTAAGAATTGGCAAGTATTGTTACATTAATACAGTTGAAATTACTGAATTCGATTTAATTAATATCGGCAATCAGGTTGTGCTCAATGCTGGAACAGAACTTCAAACTCATTTGTTCGAAGATCGTGTGATGAAAATGGCCGAAATCAGTATTGAAGATCAAGCAAATCTCGCCTATTCAGCAAGAATGTTACCCAATACACGCTTAAGCACAGCTTCCAAATTAGGACCATTAAGTTTAGTAATCAAAGGCGAAGCAATTCCTCCTCGAACCTCTTGGCAAGGCATTCCAATTAGACATTCTACTTGAAAATCGCGTCTTATCGTTTGTACTCTACTCCAATGAAGTACTCGAATAAACGTTTGTAAGACATGCTGTTGCTTCACTATTATTACAAATAAATATCAGAGCGTATGATGAATAAAACCGATTGTCTAAGGAGGAACTTTGCACTGACCGGTACCAAAGATCAGAGGAAATTTTTTAAGATACTGAAAACGACTAAGACGAATTGACTGATAATTTATTGAACTTGAAAATTTTTCGTCATTTAATTATAAAAATAGTACGAACAACACATAATAGCGTCTCGACTATGATAGTCTAGGTGATATTAACAAAAGATGAATACAATGAGCAGACACAGCAAAAAATGTATCACAGACATTAGCAACAACAACCTCGACATTTGGTATTGGATGACTTCGGCACTTCAACTTTCTCGTCGATCAAGGAAACTAGTGGTTCGACCTTGTTCAGGTACAACTCTTGTTGTTCTATAATTAACAGAACTTTACCATTCATGGTTGCATTCAGCCAGTTTTGTAATAATTCAGGTCCCACTGTTAAAAATAGTGAACATATTCCATCTGCTGCTATGATTATCGGTGCCCAAACGGATCCGAATGTGTTCATTGACAAACGAAAGATCATTACATTCAATATAAAACCACACAAGACAACAGCTAATATATTGATCCAGAAAAAACCATACTGAAAGTACATTATAAATCGTAAATAGCGTGGTGTTGCCAGACAACAACACCAGCACACCTTTCGCGGTTGGTCATTATCACGAAACATTGCCCAACGAGCGAATCGAATCAATTTAACAACGAAATATCTCAGAGCATAATGCCAAGTAACAATCGACGTGACTACCGTGATTAGGTGGGCCATTTCAAAGTGATAAAACGTGCATTTTGGACTCGTTCCTGTAGTATCATTATATCCACATGGATCTCTTTGGTCTTCACATTGAAGTACTTCATATGGCATATGAAATGACCAGCAATCATTAATACTTTCTTTCCGTCGATCGAATACTGTTTGAATACCGATCATCAGAAAGGTTTGAATATGAATGGCAAATATAAGTAGGATAGACCGATTCGGATTGGGAATGTAAGAATATCGTTGGTCGTATCGATAACAGGTGATAATTCGCTGACGATAATATATTTGACTTGATCCAAATTTTCCATCAGAATACGCCTCCATCATGAAAGCTAAGAATCGATCGATATGTTTATTCTTCCAAAATGTCTGTATAACACTAACGAGAAGCACAATGGAATAGATAGAGAGAATGATTTTATCACTGATTCCTTGAAACAATTCCAGTGTTGATTGAAATACATACATTTCTGAATCAATACTAAAATTCGACGCGGAGACAGGAACACCAATCGATGCCATAGAAAGAAATCAATGTTTTTCAAAACAAAATTCGTATGAAAAATATCTAGTACATTTATATGAGTAATCTGTATAGCGAGCTAATATTTGAATGCATATTTATGCATATGTGACTTATAGGTTATACAGGATGATAATGATCCATATTTATTATATTCAGCAAATAGAGATATCCGATCGTCAATATTATTTGCGTCAGAGACCCTTACGATCGTTTACTAAGAGAGAAAAGACAGAGAAGGATGACACCTGATGATTGTCGCCAACTTAGAGCGATTGCGTCATCTTCTTGACCATCATTTAAAGAATTTTTACGTAAAGTAACAGTAGAAAATGTAGTGTGACGGTTTGTTTTTCGATAGCATTCTTTTTCATCGAAAGGGCTTCGTTTATCTCAGAACGAACGAAAAAGTAAGTATAAAAGCACATTTTATAATCATCGAAGAACAAAAAACAATGGATTTTAGTGAATTACAAACTGATGAATCACTATCGACTGTGAACGACATTATTGAGAAAATATTGAGATTGACACAAGATCAATTGACACAACTGAATAAGACAAGAGGCGTTTTGTCATTAGAAGCGCTTCAACGAGAACTGGATGTTGTTAAACAACGACCATCTCATATGATAGAAATCGCGAATGTTTCTGTGGGATTTGGATGCTCTTTTGGTTTCTCCATGGATATGTCTCAACGTGACGTACCTGACAGATTTTATGTTCATTTACTCGGTGGAATGAATGGATATGACGCAATTCAAAATAGTGAAAACTTTTGCAACAAGAAACCAACGAAATTTTACAATTTTGATGATTGTTTGAAAGTATTTGAAGAGTATATTGAAGACGCTCGCGCTTAATTTCAGCTTCATGATCTACATTGTATCGCTGTAGAACAAACAGAAATATGCACATGTTATTTTCTTTTTCATTTCGTTCTCTTGCGAATGACTCACGTTCCGTTTTACTATTTCGTTTTTCGAACAAATTTTTCCCTTTCACTCAACAGTCGAAAGTGTTCTATGTCATTTCGCCGTGCATGAATGACCAAAAAGAAAAGCATTTTACACAAGAAGATCTTTGCTCGTATATCGTCGTTGGAACTCTTGATGATCACGAAACAGTAAATTTATGTCAGGATTTCATTTCCAGGATGGAGAAGGAGTAGGACAACTTCCTACTCGCCTATTTATATCCATCGGTTTCAATTTTCACCTCTTTACCCTGATACTTTCCATGCACATTTTGTTTGAATTGATGCAAATTACAACTCATCATGACAGAACGCGAAAGAAAATCTTTTACCTTCTTTCTGTTTACTCATACGCATCGATGACCAAATAACACTTCTTCGAACTTATTTCGCTCAGGGAAGAATCATACATAGCATTGGACATTGACTCTCTAAATAACAGTGTAGTACGGATCGATGAAGATGCGATGGTGGACTTTTCATGCATAAATTCTCGAACGAAACATATCATTCGTATATTTGTGAGGAAATCAATGGCGAAAATTATCAATTATACTATGATGCTTATTGCTTTCTGAGTGAAATCGAACATTTGTGTCAAACTGACGATGTCATCGTTGTTTTGTCGGGAACACTTGTGACTGTTGTCTTGTCTAAGCTGATTCAATCTTCATTAATGAAAAACTTCTCTCAATAATAATACTGTGTACCAGTACTCAGGGTGAAACTTGCAAACCTTTACTCGAACGTCACAAAGTGACGAAAATCTGTACAAATGAATCATTACTACAAGCTATGGGCGAAATTCGAAACTTCTATATAATTTCTATAAACTTAAAAAAGCGATCGAATGGTATACGAGAGATAGTTTCTTTTATTCAGTCGTGAATAAAGCGCTGAGAACATTATATATAGAGACTTTCAGTGCATTTTGATTTTACATCAAGGGCCAGTCAAAACAACTTCGAGAGCTACATGACTTACAACAGTAAAATGTCATTGACAAGTTGTTAATGGTGCACCGAGGCTATGTGAATATGACCACTCTTGAATTATAATAAAATACGACAGAATATCGGTGAGTTAATGTCATTCAATGGGTTTACATCGACTACGATAAATTTTGAAATTGTACTAGACTTAGCCATTTCGGAGCCAACGCATGAATCGATTATATTTCAAATTTTAGCGAGTTATAGGTCTGAAAAAAGTGATATTCGATGAAAAAGAAGTTTTATTTAATCTTTGTGTCGTATTTCGAACCACGAATTGTTTTCGTAACGATCTCAATTGAGTGTCGATTGTTGAGACGATAGCTACAGATGAGAACGTAGAAAAATTCAGAATTATGTTCAAAATAAAGCCAAAGTGGATACGGGAAATAAACTGAGCTATTTGCTGTGTTGCCTATGTCAATATAGCAAACGTCGACGATTCATTTTATACTCAGGTATTATCTGTATAATTTTGTTAAGAATTTTCATCGTCGTGCTTATTAGTGTTTATACTCGACCAAAATATCACATGTCAAGCTCAAGCGATTGTGAAGGCAACAATTGTACGTCGTCTAGGACGAGTATATCAGATTCTTGAATGGTTTCAATCAAAATGACGAATAAAGAAACAACGACAATGACAATACGAACGCGGACGTCAACAACAACGAGCACATCTGCGTTAGTCACCAACGTATCGAGTAAGATAAATTCTAATATTTGAAGAAAGCGTCGATCAGTTCGTACAACTCTAAAAGTAACAGAATGATTATCTGAAGATTTACAAATGACTTATTTACTGCATTCTACTGATTGAACTTTATACACGAATAAATAAGACTGATTATGGTTTTTATAGGATGGTTAAATAATAGAAGTGTGACCAGGCAACGCGCTATGCAAACCGCATCTCTTTCACGAAATGAAAAATTCTTAATAATAGACGACACTGATAGTCAAGGCGTTCCTATAAATACAGCTCAGTTGTACGATCCTGTAACAGGAGTTTGGACGCCTACTGGTGCTGTGAATAATGCACGAATGTATCATACGGTACCCGTATCACATAATGGTCACGTTCTAGTTACTGGCGGCTTCAGCTCTAGTGGAAGTATAGTACTGAATTATATTATCTATCAAATAAAACTTGGACTTCTACTGAAAGTATGTCATATCCACAAGGGCATTACACAGCATGTATATTAAATAACGGATCAGTATTATACTTAGTGGTGGAACATATACAAGTAGTACTTCGAATAATGCAGAACTATTTTAGCGTATTTCAAATATCTATTCATAAATAAAACTATCCGGTTCATCATCATAAAAACGACAACAAATTTTTGATTCTTGTTTGTTTGTGTATGGTGCAATTACTGAGTCATTTTCTTTCGTCTGTTATTTAGCATTTAATAAAACAGTCTGACGATTCCAGTAGAATATTGTTGTAGTTGACACAGCTATCGACAGTTCCATAGATTATATCGTTGCGACTACTAGAATATTGTAACGAAAAATAGTCATAGCAGATTTTTCTCTCTGCTGTGGTATTTGCTGTATTTTGACCACACTGACAAACTGAAATAGTATAGTATGTGAGATTAAATGTACTCACACATGTTTCCCTTGCATACATCAATCACAAGCTCGGTCATATAGGAGAGAAACAACCGATGCACCAATAGAATGAACAGTTTTTATCGGTCAAAAGGTTAGAACATCTAGCTTTATCGCGGTCGATATGTGGAACACATGCAAACAGTAACCCTGGTATCAACACAAATATCATTTTCTTTTTTGTATCTTACAAAATTAGTTAGGGATAGTAGATTGCTGGGTTGAAAAAAATCGAATAGCAAAAAATTGTAATCTCAAATACGTCCGTAGAATTATGTTAAAGATATTAGTAATTAGCTCGAGAAGTAATTCTAGTTAAATAGCATGATTTCACGACAAAAACATATCTTGTTTACTTCTTAATGTTGAGTAACAGTGGCCTCGACTTGCAATCTCCATACGCAATCATCTGAGTAATAGCATTTCACGATCAACGTGTCTTTTTCTTTCTTCTACAGTCAATCCCCATTCTTATTGCGAAACGATGGTTTTCTTTGCGTTATGCAATCACAAAGACACTTCATACGAGAGCGGGTTTCTTCCTATGTATATAAATACAATATATTTTTCATTTAGAAGCTTTTAATTTTTCATTACTAGCCGTTATATTGATGAGTGTCGCGTTTCGACCACAAAATACGAGAAATGCTGCCACGAAACGAATCATAAGGTATATAGGTACTGAAACAAGGAAAAAAGAAAATGTTTATAAAAACTCTTTAGGGATCTAAAAGATCTTGATAAAAATCCAATACCAGGACTGAGTGTGTGCTGTCCCGATGAGTCGAATCCATTTGTTCTTCACTGTAATGTATGAAATAGAACTATCAATTTATATACGAATACAAATGAACGATATATTCTTATTTAGGTATTGATCAGTGATGGACCATACCGTGGGATAATCATTCACCTGATTCTTCATATACCAGATGACTATCCATTGACAGGTCCTGCTGGTAATATAGCACCAGGTCTAGAATTCGATCAACGTTATCATCTTCACATTCATGATGATTATATGTACGAATGGAAAAATATTTTCTTCTTCCTTTGTGATATCGTATTTGTCGTTTTTTTACAGAAACGGCCACGCATTATGCAACGATTTACTAACTAATTATGCCGCACATTTTCGCATGGTTGATGATGGTAATGCTAAACAAGCAAGTGGATGGAGGTAGTTATCTTTGATTTATTTAGAACTAGATTGAATATTTGCTTGATTTCTCATAGTCCGGGCTATACTTTATCGACGATACTTCTTCAAATCGTCACGTTTTTTGCTGACCCTGACTTCGGCCATGATCCACTTCCGCAGCTCGTCGATCAATTGCGAGAGATGGTTAAAAACTTTCGGTGTATAACATGTGGTCATTCATATGAAAATGTTAATCCTCCAATCGTTGACTATGCTGAAATACAATCGAGCCCGAAAGTGGACGAAGAGCAAGAAAGAGCTCAACGTGAACACGATCGCTTACATCATGAATTAGTGGAGAAACTGACTTGTGGTGTCACAAAACAAAACGTAATTGAAGATCAAATCTGTCTCGGTTATCCCCTGCTGATCAAACGTGACCATCGCTCCCGTCTATCGTCCGAAATTATCTTAGAGCTGATTTCATACGATGCGTATGTTGCAGAGATACAAAAATCGGGCGAGGAAAAGCTAGACTTCTACGAAAATCACAAGTTTCGTTCGGTAACGGGAAAAGATTACAATCATTGGTTACCGATCTTCGTCAATGCCGAGCATTTCGAACGAGGACGAACGATTATTGAAAATAGTATCAGCATCATCGATAGAGGAACTGCACTCGGTATCCATCGAAATGATTTCGTACCAGAGATGGCATTGAAAGTACTGACAACACTGATGAATAAAACCGTTGTACAATTATTCAATGGTGAAATGTACGAATCAAAACAAGCTATCGAAGCTTATTGTCACTTCCTACGTTTGTTAATGCATTTTATTGATATTTACCCTCAACTAGGTAAGATTATCGTTTCAGCTTTTAAGAATCTAATTCGATTTTTTTGTAGACGGCGGTATCAATGAAACTATTGCCGATTTTATCAGCGATCGACGCAATCGACAAAAGCAACGTGTACCTGATATGGGTGAATTTTTAATTAAGATCGCCCTGTCGAAAAAGTATCGCTTTGCTCAGATAAAAAAATACATTTATGAAGAGTATTTTGCTCGACAAATCTTTTGGATAGAGCAAAAACAAGTTGTACGCGAATTACTATGCATCAAATCACGACATCTGCAGGACATATTTCAAGTTGCTCAAGTATCGAATCATTTACTAGTATTCAACTTGGCGATGGCAGAAACATTTATATATCCGGGAGTCAAAGAGTAAGTTTGGCCTTGGCGTTCGAATAAGTTCCATTTGTTGTGCTTATTATTGTTAGAGAATTGGACAAAGCGTTTGGATATCCGTCAGATCAAGTTGTCGAAAAATTTCAAAAACGTCTACGAGACATCAAAGCAATCAATGACTATCGGCAACTTATGAAAGAAATAAGAATCGATGATATCATTGAATCATCAGAAGATATGGTCAATTTTCTTATAAGTTCAGTTAAAATTTCGAACCGGCAGGGTTACACGAATATACGACCATCGTATGAAGATGATCGTCGAAGTCACCGTCGAACAACATATGATGACCGTTATTCACAGCATTGTCAGAAACGATTTAAAAAATAAGCTTTGTCAGCTGTACGGTGCGGATGTTTGGGACCATTCGTTTTAACAAACTGATGTAAAAGAACTTGTATTTTCTCTTATCACATATTTTATATTGATTGCTCTTTAATAAAAAGCGTGACATAACTACCATAATGAAACTCGCGTGTCTTTGCAAGTACTCCAACAGAATCTCATGTGCGTTTTTCATAAAGAATAACACTTAAAACCAAACTCTGATAAGATGAAAACTGAACCCGAAGAATTGTAGAGTTCGTCTATATATGCGTACATTGTTTTTGATGAATATTTTGCGATGAATATAAGTGTCATTTTCCACTTGAATGAGAGGCTTAATTTGATCTAAATGATTAACCTTGACTAAAAAGTTTCTTCTTCAGGACAAAATGGTTTATTAGACTCGAAAGTTCAATGCAACTATTCATCGAATCAGATCGTTTTTGACATGATGATCAATGCTAGGGATGCTCGTGACCATTCTGTTGTTGACAGAAAGAATCATCGTAAGAACATATTTTTCAAAGAAGTTCTTTTTTCCGCTGACATGTCTAAAACTGATCGTTCCATATTTCTGTCCAAGAAGGTTGTAGAAATATGGAGGAAGAAAATATACTTTGTAAACGACGCCACTATATTTTAGAAAAAGATTAAACAGACGCATTTACAGCATAGAGCAACAAAAGAAAACATGTCCGTTCTTCAAGCAGCTGCTGATCTTTCTTTTTGGTCTCCGATCATCCTTTTCTCTATCGGAGTACCAGGCGCTTTCGTTTCTCTCATTGTTTTCACTACAACAAAACAATGTCGACATTCCCCAACTGTTTATTATGTTGTTGGCCAATCACTCTCCGATGTTGCCATTCTGTTGATTGTTCTTCTTCAGAGTATTCCGTCGACATCCATGTCAACATCTTCCATTTCATGTAAACTCTTGGTTTTCTTTAGTCAGTTAACAGTTGCATCTGCGATGACATTTCTTTGTTTATCCGCATTCGATCGGTGGGCATGCACATCAAGATCTGTCACTGTCCGTCAGCTCAGTTCACTTCATACTGCTCGTTGTATTTTTCCGTTTCCTTTTATTGTGTGGACGTTGATCAACATTCCTTATCTAATCTACTGTGATGTACTTCCATCGATATCTAGTTGTGTATTCACGAATGCTTTTTTTGCTCGAGTTTCTGTGTATTTTCTTGCACCCATCTTCTCTACTCTTCTTCCGCTTTTTGTTCTGATGGTATTCTGTATGTTGACGTATCGTAATATTCGTCTTGTCACACACAGTCATGTTCAACAACAACAACAACCTATTCGAGCGCGTTCATCAATGTGGGAACAACAGATGACAAGAATGATGATTGCACAAACGGTCTTCAGTGTTCTATGTACACTACCCCGAAGCATATTTCTTATTTATACAATAGCAACGGTGGATGGACGTGCGATGAGAAGTTATGATCAGATCGTTGTTGAACTTCTGATTGATCAAATCACTTTGTTTATTCTGTCGTTAAATTTTGCTTCGTCATTCTACATCTACTTTCTTTCTTCAGCGCGTCTTCGAGCGACAATCCGATCGTCAATGAGAGATCTTTTTACTTTAAAACATAATCAAGTCGTTCCTTTTAGCATGCCTCTATCAACACATCCGTTTACAGCAACAAAACAGCACTGAGTGTCGTCAAAAGTGTATCCCTTCTTCTTTGTTATACTAAGTAACTTTTGATTCGTTTTCTCCTGTAATCATTTCTTAGTATATTTCAATAAAATAAAAGTATAATCTGAGGTCGGCCGTCTATCGTTTAAAAATATTCATATTAGATAAAATTCTGATATTATTGTCATCTGGAAATGTTTTAAGCATGGGAGATCTAGGCGATGTGGTGAATTTGGTTGCAAAAATAGAGTGTTGGTGTTTGTAAACGCAAAAAAATGCGTTCTTTTTCATCTTCAACTATTTAGCGTGTGAGTAATCAAGCGATGCGCTAATTTCATACCAAATATATGTAAACACGTGTATTATATTCATTAAAATGCATCGGGATGATTAAGAAAAAAAAACAAGGTTGTTTTCGATGACAGCAGCTATACACATCACAAATATCTCTTATTTGTTACTGCCGTCAGCTCTCGATAATTTCGAGCTATTCATATTACTGTATCATGCAATGTAAGAAAAACTATCTGATTTTTGGCGTGCCACTATTTGTAGCGATATGCACTCTATCGATACTATTGGCAGCAACTGGGTTTCGATGGACACGGTGTATGAAGAAAAAAACCAGTGCCTATTGTGAGAGAGCACATGAAGGATGGATCAACGAGCCTGCCAATACATGGAGTGCCTTAGGTTTCGTGATTGTCGGATTGATCATTGCTGGTGAAATGCAATGGGGATCGCGAAGAGAGAACTCTAACGTGCTTACCAACAGTGACTTTATGATCATTTTCTTCTCATCATTGGTTGTTTGCCTTGGTCCAGGTTCGATGGTCATGCATTCTTCGTGTACAAATCTCGGTGGTGAATTAGATCATCTTTCTATGAGCTTCGTCTGTGCTTTTCTATTTGCCTACAGTATACAACGATTCTTCTGTTTGAATCGAACACATTTCTTGCTTATCTTTCTACTGATTCTTGGCATAAGTGAAATATCCGTTCAGGTGCCGGGTGAAGTTCCGATCTTTGGAATTATTGGTAATTTGGTTTTCGCAATATTTATAGCATTGATTATAGTCAATGAAATGCTGATTATTTTTTATCAACATTCGAACATAAGGAAACGATGGGGCATAGCCACGTTAGTTGCATTCTTCATGGGATTTCTTATCTGGAATTTTTCCAAAGATAATGGCTTATTGTGTGATCCAGATTCACTCATTCAAGGGCATGCTGCATGGCATTTACTTAATGCTCTGGCGCTTTATTTTCTCTTTCGATATTACGTTAGCGAAAATAATAGCGATCATTTTCATCTTTTACAAGAAACTAAATAAGCTGAATTAACACTCTTTGAATATATGACTTACTGTAAATGAATACTTGAACGGAATTTAATATGTTTGCCATTTTCCGTTCAAAAATAAACTACTGAAAACCTTATTCTTCACCTATATGTATGTTGTTGAGAATGTCAAGAAGAGCATTAGATTTTCCAAATCAATATCCTCAAGATGACATGTTATTTAGTTGACTTTAATACACAATATTCGTTTTATTTTCACTTTGTTAGATAAAATCAACCTTTTAACATTAAGATAAGAATTTTTCTCTTTGATAATAACAAAAAGGCATGCCCATGAGAAACTTTTATCAAAAGCATGATCAGACGCAAGTGTTCGTCGATATTTGCATGGAGAACGTTTTCCCATCACCCGGGTTTCACTATTGGTCATCGATGGCATCTTAGCTTTCATCATGTCGCCATTGTACTTTCTGCTTTGTGTATAATCTTCAATACTGGTCAGACTATCGGTTTGGCACTGTTTCTCGCCAGTTTCCCGAAATTAACTGGTGTTTATTTCGTTACGTTTTTCGGTGCCTTTGCCTACGGTTTCTTCTGTGTTCTCATCACATTTTGGTTTGCATACAAAGGACAAATCACTCCGGCAATGCGTGAATGGCGATGGATAAGATATATGTTTTACGTCAGTATCTTTGATGCCGCCAACGCTCTGTTGATCACATTTAGTTCGCACGGTAGTCGTGTACCACCAGCAATCACATCTATACTCAGTCAAATCACAATTCCATTCACATTTATATTTTCAAAACTTCTTCTAAAGAAAAACTACCGTTGGTTACACTTTAGCAGTATAGGTTTCGTCCTTCTCGGTGTAATATTCAGTCTTATACCAACGTTTAAACAAATTCATGATGGAACTGCTGATACCACTCTAAAACAAGGCTGGTACTGGCCATTCGTGTATATTCTTGGTTGTATACCGAGCGCTATCAAAACTATTATACAAGAAAGACTACAAGTAGAATTTACAAAGTATGCCCGAGAACGAGAAGAGAAAATTACTCGTTTTTCAGTCATCTATTTTCAAGCAGTTGAAACGATGTTTCAAGTAACTATTATTGTTTTATGTTTTCCGCTTGACTTAGTACCAGGTTTTGGCACATCAGATAGCATTGATCAATGGTGGAGTTCATTTTCCGATGGTTTCAAATGTCTTTTCAACGTTGGTCATACACTCAACGATCGATGTCACATTGCTGCCGGTACCGGAATGTTATACATCGTTTCTTGTTTACTGGCTAGTGTTATTGGTACGTTTCTTACCGATCATACATCGGCGAATTGGCTTGCGATAGTCAGTTCCATTTCTCCATTGCTATCGACGTCGTTCTGGTTTATCTTTCCTGGCATAAATCGATGGGCTGGAGTGGTGGATGTCACAGGCTGGGATATTGGATTTAATCTAGGCGCATTACCAATTGTTTTCATCGGTATGGTTTTGTATCAAAGTGGCGGAACAGATCGCCAGGTGGACGAAGAAACATCGTTGATAGATAAACATCCAACTGAGTTTCTCTGGTGAATTCTGCGACTATTTGTGTTTGATTTAATCATTAATTAAAAAAAAGACAGAATTTTCAGATACTCATGTTATTTTGAACGTTGACTGCTTAAGATTTATTTGGCAAAGAAAATATTATCATGCCGCATTTGATAAAGTCTCTTTTTTAATTATTTGAGTACCTCGATGTAATTGTGTTATAAGGTTTCTTTTTTTAATAAGATGTTCCTGATCTTACCCGTCGACGTTGAATACTATGAAAGAATATCCGGTGGAAAGTAATTTATTTTCCTTTATATTTTTTTTTTCTACAAGGAAACACTATTCCTTATTCTCTCATTGTTAGGAGATAGAAAAACTCTTTTTTGTTTGATCCAGACGAATTATAGGGAATTCGTGTCTATCTCAACGGATCTTTTCCTCGAATGTTTCGGTTGTTTTCCATACTGTATTTGATATAAGTCACCGAAGATGAGTTCAGATACAACAAAATTTTCTTTCCTCACTTATTACAGAAAGACAGGATGAAAAGAATAACCTTTTCTGCTGAAGTTCATCCGGTTTCTTTTCTCTATCTCACACTCTCTCAATACGTCTCTCATATCGATAAAATCTGTGAGATGTTAGCGAAAACGTAGAACTTCCTTTTTTTTAAATATTGATGCGCAGAATAACAATGTGCTAAGAGTATTTCTCATGATTGAAAGAGCTTTTCCGAGCCGTAGCTTGGATTAAAATTCACGGGATATCGAGTTAAGTTCTTTATGCCTATTGTTCGTTCATAATCCTGGTACTGTCTTTTGGGGAAATTCTATACAGTACCTATCAGCAATCCTATTAGTACATATTTTTTGATAGATTAGTGATTAGATTAACTACGAATGGAATTTGTTTAGACTTTAGAGGACAAAACATCGAGACTACATCTCAGACGTTAAAAGAACCTATTTTCTTTCATTCAGAACACATATACAGCGGGAGACGACGAGTTAGATTTTATGTTATTTCTATTGTTTGTAAATCATGGACATATCAATTTCCGTTTTGTAGATCATCTATTAATAAATCACATCGAACAATGGCGGATCTTAGTGAAAACCTTCGGTTAATCAAATATGCATGTTTGCAAACAACAATTGGTCCATCACTTTTGTGTGATATCTGCGTGTTTATCTATCTGATTCGTCATTGGCGGAAAGAGATTGTCAAATCTCCGCAAAATCATGTTATTCTATGTGTACTCACCGTCAGTTTCATTGAGAAGATGACAGATGCGATCTTTAGTCTCTACTTTTTCCGATGGGGTATCGCTATTCTACAAACCGAGACATTTTGTACAGTATGGACTTGGTTGAATTATTCTTTACTAACTGTGAATCTGATGCTTATCGCTTGGTGTTGCATCGAACGGCATTTATTTATCTTTCATAGTTTACGAATGAAAAGAAAGTTATACTTGATTTTGTTTCATTATCTACCTTTACTTCTTTGTCTTTGTTATACACCGACTCTCTATGTTGTTCTGATATTCTTCCCATCGTCTTGTAATAACACTTGGGATTATACTTATCCATACTGTGGCAGTCCATGTTACCCATTTATTCCACTTTGGGGAACATATGATTGGCTCGCTCATTACGCATTGCCGATCAGCATTATTTCACTTGCCAATCTTTTTCTTTTCGTTCGTGTTGTGTGGCAAAGGACCAAACAAGGCCGCCCAGTCGAATGGAATCGACAAAAGCGTATGATTATTCAACTTGTTTTCATTTCAGCTCTATATTTATTGTTAATCACACCCGAAGTTATCGTCGGTGTAATCGAAGCTTTATGGTCACCCACATTCGCTCTTGACGTTCAATTAAATTATTTCTTCTACATTACAAATTTCGTGCATCAATTGTTGCCATTTATTATTATTAGTTCGTTGCCGAAGTTGCATAAGGAATTGAAACAATCATTTCAGCGTATAAGACGAGTCTATCCACTGGAAGCGACGAACGGGAGAGAGCAAACGAATCTCACTCGTGATGCGACGAATGGAAAAGTAATTTAAATTGTACTTCATTTCGTCTTTAACACACGAGATTACTTGATGTTGTTAAATAAATTGTTGTGCGCAACTAATAAATTGTTATAACTCTTTCTATGTAAAATCGATTTCGGGGCGAATTGTTGGCTTCGTAAGTTTATTTGCACTGACAAAAGAAACCCAACCTATTGCGCATTGCATTTCTATGTCAATTTAATCAGCTTTCAGATAAATTGAAATCGAATCATATTTTTGCGTCGGTTACCAATACATGTTATTTAACTTCATTTTTCCTTATTAACTTCAGAAGGGCATATATTTACACAAAAAAGCAACCGAATTTTCAAGAGCGACTACAAATATGTTCATTTTGTAGATAGTTGCAATCGAATAGAATGCGATTAAGATTTATCGATCGGTAGGTTTTCTTGTCGATAGGATCAGATACATCAGAATGCGCATTTATTACAGTTTAATCGCGCGATTGAGACCTGCTCGAAAGATAGAAATAAACTCAGAAACAACTACGAATCAGATTGGTTCCATCGTCATTCTCAAGAAATTGGTGAGTTTAGCAAGAAAGAAAGAACCAATCTTATGTTGTTTGAAATATGATTGTAAATTAAAAACTTTTTTGTCAGTTGAGCTTTGGAAATACTGCGGATTACGTTATGATACTTGTCGGCATTTTGGCGGCAGTTATCTATGCTATTGGCCATGTGTTTTTTGTTTTTATTTTTGGTGAATTAGTCGGTTTATTTGTCGAACGCATATCGTCAGCTCAATGTACAGATTCCAACACAACTATTTGCCAGTACAATAATACGTCGCCTAGGTATATATGAAATGATCTTATTTTCATCATTCCCAATAGTTCATACGAAACTAATACAAAAACTTTCGTTTCATTTTCTACTTAATCAGTCTCTGTTTGACGTCTAACGTCTCGAACACGACTTCAATTGATAATTCGATAAATAGAGCATCGTTCTACAATAATGTGCATACAAATGTCATCCAACTAGTTGGTGAGTGTAATTGAAATCTCAATGTAAATCTAGCTACAGAAAGAGACTGGTGACTAGATCGATTGAACTAAAGAATGATATTGCAATGTTCCGTTTTCTTCAAGTTATTGGATTGATTCAAATCTTGGTTTACTACATTCAATACGTTTTCTTTGAATTGACTTCCTGTCGATTGGCAAATCGTATTAGAGTAGAACTATTCAAAGCCACGCTCACCCGGGTATGTCATTTCTTTCTCGTCAGAGAAGTATTACGTTTTCTTCCATCGATCATTTAGGAAGTATCATACTTTGATGTTACCGAAACGTCGATCTCCAACTTGTTCGAGTGAGTTTGACTTATTTTTAATATTTCATATGCACACGTTTTTCTCACTAGAAACGTTGCTGTTGTACAGTCAGGCATTGGTTGGAAGAGTGCAGCTATCTTTTCTGGTTTTATCTTTGTTATCAGCAGTTTTATTCTCGCATTAGTCGTCGATTGGAAATTGACTTTAGTTGTTTGCATCGCAGAACCACTCAGTGTGGGCGCAGCATTCGTTTTATCAAAGGTAGCTTTAAATACTCTATTTCTGACTTCAGATGATATTTCGTTTGTATAGTTAACGGCTCAGGCGACTCTTTCCGAAATCAAATCGTATGGGCAGGCAGCAACGGTTGCTGAGGAAGTGTTTAGCGGTATTCGAACAGTCATTGCTTTTAATGCACAGAACAACGAACAGATGCGGTTAGAATGTCGATTTTGTGTAGATCAAATATCAGTATTCTTTTGTATTTTTATATAATTAGTTACGAATCGAAGTTGAAACATAATGTCAAGTATGCACTCCGAAAAGGATTTCTCTATGGTTGTTATGTTGGAGTGTTGGCAACATTCGTTTACTGGACGAGTGCACTTGGCTATCTAGCTGGAACGTGGCTTAAAATAACAGGAAGACATCCATCATTGAGCATTCGTCAGATTGTTGTGGTACAATTCTTCTCTTGCTAAACTTTCTTTGAATGGATGTATAGGTTGTTACGTCTATAACCGAAGGTATGCAGTTTCTTGGCTATCTGGCGCCAAGCATGAAAACATTTCTCGATGCATGTACAATTGCTCTACCAATCATGGATTTTCTTGAAGAAAGCAAAGTAACTAGCACCATATTTGAAGAAATGTGCTACTGTCTAACTCTTCCATTGGATTCAAGATTATACAGTTTTCTAAAGTGATGTCTCTTATATTTAACAGGTTTGTGAAGAAGCACAGGCAAGAATACGTTCCGTACCAGTTGCTCAAGCAATTCACAAGAGTACATTAACTTGTCCGGATGGTGAACCCACGGTTGAAATCGTTTTTGACAATGTTTCCTTTGCGTACCCAAGCGGTGAGGAGCGGTTGGCTTTGAATAAAGTTTCATTTCGAATTAAAGCGAACCAAACTGTCGCATTTGTCGGTAGCTCAGGCAGTGGTAAGATTAATTGTCAGGTATTCGAATATTCGCGGTTGTTTTTGCGCTGTAATGATCAGGCAAAAGCACTTGTATTCAACTTTTACTTCGTTTCTACGATCCACTCGACGGGCAAATTCGGATCAATGGCCATCCGATCAACACCTTTGATCGAAAAGCTCTACGTCAAAATATTGGTCTTGTTAGTCAAGAGCCGGTACTCGATACATATATTCAGTTGTTTAGAACAACTTAGCTTTATTCGAAGGTTCTTTTTGCAACAACAATTCGAAATAATATCGGATACGGAAAGGAGAATGCCACTTTTGAGGAGATTGTCGAAGCTGCTAAACAAGCCAATGCTCATCCTTTTATCGATATACTTCCTCAAGTAATCTCAACTGATTTCAAAGTCTACTTCAGACAATATGATCATTTGTAAAAGGGATATGAAACAGTCATTGGTGATCAAGGTGTGCAACTCAGTGGTGGTCAGCGACAACGGATTGCGTTGGCACGGGCTCTCATCCGACAACCAAGCTTGCTTTTACTGGACGAAGCAACAAGTGCACTTGATTCATCCAGTGAAAAGATCGTACAAGAAACCATCGAGCAAACTACTAACGGTAAGGTCATTGGCTCGAACTGTGTATATATTCAGAAATCATGAAATCATCAATCTAGGCCGAACGACTATCATCGTTGCGCATCGTCTTTCAACTATTCGCTATGCGGATTGGATCATAGTTATGAAAGACGGGTCAATTGTTGAACAGGGTTCACATGACGATCTTTTCGCAGCGAGGAATTTTTATTATCAATCGGCGATAAAACAGCAGGTGAATTTAACACCTTGTGAAGACTTGACGTCAACGGATTTAGACAACGTTTCTATGAAAGACATCAGCACACACGAACAAGAGGTAATAACTGATGAAGAGAACAATGATAAACAAATGATGGATGAAGTACATCAGGTACAGTTGATGTTTAATGTTGCAACTATCGAATGATTACTCTTATCGTTTCATAGTCTTCGCAAGGTTCATTGGGTTGTTTGATTAAACTATTTAAGTTAAATGCTTCTGAATGGCCTTACTTGATCGTTATTTGTCTATCTGGTATCGTTGCTGGTGGATTTTATCCATCGTTTGCGTATATTCTTGCAGAAACGATCAGTGTAAGTATAATTAATCAAAACTTTTTCTTTGATAATCTTCTACAGAATCCTACTTGAAAGGCATTTCAACAATGTGATCCATCCGCGCAAATGAATAAAGTAATTCAATTCACACGTATTATGTTTCTTTTGGGTATTGGAGTGAATTTGACCAAAATTGTTCACGTAAGAGTTGTTCTCAGCAGCGAGACGTGTGAGAGGATAGGAGGAAAATGAACTATGTTTTTTTTCTTGTCTTTTTTTTTATACAAGTATGTTTGTCTGGCCGTGTCTGGAGCCCGCTTAACAGATCGGTTGCGAATGAAATCATTTGCATACATATTACGACAAGAGGTGGCATGGTTTGATAAAAGTGAAAATAATACGGGCTCTCTCTGTGCACGTCTTTCAGCAGATGCAATGGCTGTTCAATCGGTACGCAGTTCTTGCCGCAATTCAAGATCATTTTAATTATTTCTTCTTTGATATATTATAGTTGACAAATGTTCGTCTGGGATTACTTATTGAATCTTTATCGTTATTGTTGGTTGCGCTGATTATTGGACTGATATTTTCTTGGCAATTGACTTTGATGGTCTTTGGTTTGATTCTATTCGAACTGACTGGTGCGATCATCGACGTTCGAAGAAAGAGTCGCCTACAGACAAAGATTGATAGTTTCTTATCTGATTGTAATGCGTTGATCACGCAAACTGTACGGAATATCCGGACCGTTTTTCAACTGACCAGAGAAGAACATTTGTTGGATCAATTTCAAAATGTTATCGATCGAAGTTATAAGTAGCACGAAGAAGATGTTTCGGAACTTGAACGATTTTTCACATTGCTTTTGTAGAATAATTAAACCGAGTGTATTCAAAGGTGGTGTAGCGTTTGCATTCTCATTCCCGATAGCGACATTGATCTTGCCTTGTCTTGGTGAGCTGGCCGTTGTTCTCCTGGACGAAGGTCTTATTGACCATCAGCGCATCGTTTTGTAAGTTATTGAAATATCCGATAAAATACCTCAACAAAGTCGTGGCTCTCGTAGATTATTCGCTTTCGTACCATTTTCATTTGATGTCATACAAACATCGGCAATGATGTAAGTAGAACTCCACTGACGTGAGAGGTTCTGTGAGCATATAATGAATAGTTCAACCGAATTGGGTGGAACAACAGCGGCCGCGAGGCGTTTGAATCAATTGTTTGAACGTATTCCCCTGATTGATAATATGTCTACAGAAGGTCAACAAATTGTGAGTTGACTTTCAAAAGAAATAGCATTCTCACTTTTGATAAACAGAAGGATTTCTCTGGAGCCATTCAATTCGATCGAGTAACTTTTGCTTATCCGACACGCAGTTCAGTCAATGTGCTGCATAATTTTCAATTAACAGTACGAGCCGGTTGGTACTTTTCAGCGATATTTCTCATTATATGACTTAACACCAATTGTCAATTGAAGGTATGAGGGTAGCAATTGTTGGCTCGAGTGGTTGTGGTAAATCGACTCTGGCACAATTACTTGAACGATTCTATGACTGTAATCGAGGACGTGTAGTAAGGCATACATTCGAGATTTTAATTTTGAACTACTTTTCACATAGTTGCTCGATGGCCATAATGTGCGATCCTTAAAACTGGGATGGTTACGAGCACAAATTGGTCTTGTTAACCAGGAACCAAATCTCATACTAGGTCTCACTGTGGCCGAAAACATCTCATATGGTTGCCTGATAAACACATATACTCATGAAGACGTTGTCGATGCAGCTAAACGAGCACATTGTCATACTTTTATAGAAATATTACCACAGGTCAGTTCTCCGGCTTCTTTTGCACTTACAAATACAGAAGTACTCTTTTTAGGGTTATGACACACCCGTAGGATTGAATGGGAGCTCGTATTTATCCGGTGGTCAGAAACAGCGTATTGCTATTGCACGAGCCCTTTTTCGTAAACCAAAAATTCTATTGCTTGACGAGGCGACTAGCGCACTCGATGTACACAATGAACAGGTGAATGAAAATTCTTTGATGTCCTAACAAAAGAACCTTTCTATTTTGATTTGTAGCTGGTCGAAGAATCGTTGAATGCTGCAAGACAAGATGATGCATCTCGAACAGTGATGATTATTGCTCATCGACTTTCTACGATCCAGTCGTGTGATGTTATTTGTGTCCTTGGTCCTAACGGACGTCTCTTGGAGTCTGGCACACACAGAGAATTAATAGTGCGTAACAGTGCATATCGAAAACTCGTACTTGACCATATGTGATAGACATTTTTTTGAACTGTATAAAAACTACATAAATCTACGAATAGAAATGTTCTCATTACAATGTACCGGAACGTATACGTGCGCATGTTGTCGACGTCCGGTTGGTTCTAGAAGAGGATAGCCATGGAGCATGCTCATCTTCTAGAACCAGTGGAGCAAGTTGTTCGAACATGTCTCCAGGACCTGGATTGTCAAGGTGAGTGTTGCCACCAAAATGATGCATAACTCCCCAAACTGCATTGAGTGCTGTTTGAACAGCACCCTCAGCCCATCCAGCCGTCCACGATACATCATCACCAGCGATGAAAAATCCACGGCTTTTTTCCGAAATATAATCTTGCATGAAATGAGTGAATAGACGCACTTGGTAACGATACTGGCCAGGTAGATTATTCTTGAACGCTCCCATGAAATTACGTTCGGTCTCCCATGACAGAGTAACTGGATCGTCAATGATGTGCTCTTCAACATTGACCTTAGGATATATATTATGTATGCACCGTAACATTGCGTCGAGACGCTCCTTTGCCGATAGAGTTAGCCACTTCAACGAATCATCGCCCCACGTATAGGATAGGCAGATGACACCCGGGCGAGCTGGACCATCGTCGAATAGATAAGTAGACCGAGTTAATCGATCAGTCAACGTCATACTCATCAAATCGCGTCCAGTCACGGGATCTTTGTCTTTCCAGAAGGGTCGATCGACCAGAACGCAAAGTCTTGTAGACCCCATATAATGAGTGCGTTCGATTGCAATCCACTGATCGACCGGTAGAAGAGTATGATCTGATTTAATCTGATTCAACAGCGTCCATTTATGTGCAGTGAAGACAACTGCAGAATAAGTATGACTACTTCCATCTGCGTCTGTCACTACGATCTTGTTCGCATCTATGCGATGAAGGTGTGTTACAGCTTTTTTAGACTGTCCATTCGCATGTAGACTCTGCAACGTCGTGCCGGCAGGCCAATGTGTCATGTTTTTTGGCGATTGCTTCCAAAGACGAACCGGCAACTGCTGACAACCACCGACAATGAAATGGTGGTTGTCATCGAAGTGAGTAAAAATGATACGAAGTACTTCAAGAATCGAATTAGGGAAGTCTGTGTCCCAGCCACCAGTACCAAAGCCAACTTGGCCAAATAGTTCACGTTGTTGAAAAGATTTGAATAGCGGTGAGTTACAGAGAAAACCGTAGAACGTTTGTGTATCTAATTGTTTGACCAATGAATTCCAAATCCTTTTGATCGTAGCTACATCCCGATTGTGAATCGCAGTTTGTATATCTTCCAGTCTGGCGTAACTACTCAAAGTATTATACCACGTGCTAGCAACCTTACGAAATATATCCGGCAAATCCTCGAGAGTGTGTGCGTAGCACACCTCGCCGTTCAGATCGATTACTGTACTGGGGGTAGCAGGACATAGTGGGTTCGGAAACGGTTTTGTTTCGAGCTCGCACAGATTGATGTAATGAAAGAGTGCTACAGATGACAATGGAAATCGCATCGCTCCCATTTCTGCCACAACTTCAGGATGGTTTTTGAAGCGTACAGAACGCATGCGGCCACCGATCTCCTCTGCCTCATATACGACTGGTTTAAAACCCAATTTCATCAATTCATAAGCCGTGATGATTCCAGAGAGTCCACCTCCGATTATAGCCACCTCGGTACCATACACACTTTCAGGTACCGAGCCTATTCCAACTGAGTGAGCGAGATAGTCATCGTAGGCGAATGGAAAATCTGGTCCAAGTACTTTCAATAGTTTTCTCGACTGAGCATCGCCTGTATTGCTGTGAATCGATGGATTTTGTGAATTACTGACATCAGAAGTCGGTTGTGGCTTTTCAGAAAGTACTTTTTGTATGCTTTTACTATGATAATCATAAGAATGATCATGGGTCATGTTCTTCATAATATGTTCATTTGAAACACGTTGTTGAAAGCAATCCATCCACGCCTCGTATGACTCATCGTTTCGTGATTCAAAACAGATATGATGGTCTTTGCGAAATTGGTTTACAGTCGGAATTGACGGATGTGACATGTGAAATTCAGAGTGGAAACGCTTTTCTAAAACTGCTAGTTTTCAAAGATGTATTCAAGTATAAATGTTAGTATCTCTTCCCTCACCTATGCAGCTATGCGTCAGTCAGAAAATATTGCATTTATGCTTCTCATTCTCTTACGATCAAAATTGTGTGCAAATCCATTTTCATACGCGTAATTGCTCTTTAATTTCTGTATAAACACTTCTCAGGATTTTATGTTTTATTGACGTAAAACGAACGAGCGAACAAACTCGTTAATAATGCATGCACAAACATTCTTCTCTAGAAAACATCGAGCACGTGGTGTTTCGTTAAAAAAGACTAATGTAAACTGTTACGTGATTAATTTCCGAAGAAAAAAACATCGACTTCATTTTTCCGTTAATAATACACGCATAAACATACTAGATTCTATCAAATTCAAGTGATCACTTATCCGACAATGTGTGTTAGCAAGATCTGGTCTGATGATACGTATGAAGATGCCTGTCAAAGGCTTGTTGTCAATGATAGTGCATTTCGCTAAAAGCCAACCGAAATAAGATATGCACTGAGCGGATTTTGTAAATGAATAGTTCTGTTAGAGAGAAAAGCAAATAAATTGCACTGAAGAAAAAGACATGATTCATTGTGTTAGTAGTGCACTCTCGATGAAACCGCCCATGCCGATCAAAATAAAAGCATGAGATCAATATGTACATAAATAGAAAGTCGAATATTTGCTTTTCTTTAATTATTCGCGCGTTGAGAATATTGCTTTCAGAATCAAAAAAACTATTTAACTGGTATGAATGAGTGCATTTGTAATTTGCAAATGAAAAGACATCTCATCTCATATTTTCCAGCATGTCGTATTTTTCACGTAGGTACTTTTTCACTGAGTACCGTATCTCTCTGCTTGTATAAAATGCACAAATATATATTTGTGTTAATTTCTCTGTAACGGATTTTTTATTCAAAAACTAAGTTATGTCATTGTTGATACGACATATGGCGAAGATGCTCATGACCATATTCCGTCGCTAGCAGAGAGAATTCGATCTACATATAGTTTCCATTGAAACATCAAAATAAAACATGTCCGTTCTTCAAGCAGCTGCTGATCTTTCTTTTTGGTCTCCGATCATCCTTTTCTCTATCGGAGTACCAGGCGCTTTCGTTTCTCTCATTGTTTTCACTACAACAAAACAATGTCGACATTCCCCAACTGTTTATTATGTTGTTGGCCAATCACTCTCCGATGTTGCCATTCTGTTGATTGTTCTTCTTCAGAGTATTCCGTCGACATCCATGTCAACATCTTCCGTTTCATGTAAACTCTTGGTTTTCTTTAGTCAGTTAACAGTTGCATCTGCGATGACATTTCTTTGTTTATCCGCATTCGATCGGTGGGCATGCACATCAAGATCTGTCACTGTCCGTCAGCTCAGTTCACTTCATACTGCTCGTTGTATTTTTCCGTTTCCTTTTATTGTGTGGACGTTGATCAACATTCCTTATCTAATCTACTGTGATGTACTTCCATCGATATCTAGTTGTGTATTCACGAATGCTTTTTTTGCTCGAGTTTCTGTGTATTTTCTTGCACCCATCTTCTCTACTCTTCTTCCGCTTTTTGTTCTGATGATATTCTGTATGTTGACGTATCGTAATATTCGTCTTGTCACACACAGTCATGTTCAACAACAACAACAACCTGTTCGAGCGCGTTCATCAATGTGGGAACAACAGATGACAAGAATGATGATTGCACAAACGGTCTTCAGTGTTCTATGTACACTACCCCGAAGCATATTTCTTATTTATACAATAGCAACGGTGGATGGACGTGCGATGAGAAGTTATGATCAGATCGTTGTTGAACTTCTGATTGATCAAATCACTTTGTTTATTGTGTCGTTAAATTTTGCTTCGTCATTCTACATCTACTTTCTTTCTTCAGCGCGTCTTCGAGCGACAATCCGATCGTCAGTGAGAGATCTTTTTACTTTAAAACATTATCGAGTTATTCCCGTCGGTATGCAAGAAACTATATATGAATGAATAATGTTTTTCAAAGGTCGCTTCTTTGTATTTCTTTTTATTATGAGGTCTTGACTCTCGACAAACAACATCTTCTTTCACTAATATTACAAATAAAGACAGTGCATTCCATCCGGTTTTTCTTCATGTTGCACTGTTTTTTTAATGGAGAAAATGAGTTAGAATGGTTGCTGTGTAGTCGATTGCCAACAAGTCATTCTTGTCGAAATTCTTCGTCGTACAATCTCCCTGAAATAATAAATATAAAAGACGCAAGTAATGAAATAAACAAGCTCGTTAGGCATGATCATGATTCGTTCATTAACATTCTACTTATGCGTGGTATTACAAGTTCGACTAAGAAATAAACATCTACGTTGAATAGTTCGTAACGTTTGTACATTGGACTGACCCTGAGAATTTTCTGCAATCAAAATAATAATTGAAGTTAGTTACTGATTATGATGCACAAGTAACGATACGTCAAACTAGATTCTCATCGTTAAAACCATTGCTCATCTAGCCTTGATTAATTCTATTTTAATATAATTTGATAAAAAAAAGAGAAACATTAGCAATATTAGCGTAGTCATCCGACTCCGCAATCAGTGGAAGTTTCGGAATCGGTCGGAGTTCCGTTGGGAAACAGTTGACAGGGGGGTCAGATGAATATCCGGAGTGGGTGGAGCTGATTCCGGGGTCCCGTTATTCTGTGAAGATGCATCTTTACGGGATAAGATGTATTCTCGTATTACGGAAGAAGCTTGTATAATGACAGCTATTACACCAAAAATCAGAAACACAATAAATACACCGCCGGTCTGTTTCAATGACAATGAACTTGTTTTCGCATCGAATGCATTCGCACTACTACAACGCTGTGTTCGGAACCATTTAGTTTGTATTCGTTCCAGTTCCTCAGACTCGATCAAGGATAAAATACCAGCATTGAGTTCATCTTCGTATATCCAACCCTTTTTGATCGGCAAATGATAGGAACTTTGACTGAATTCAACACCAACAGTCATCAAGTCACAATAAACACTGTTCGTGACATAGNGTATGGTCCTACTGAAATAACAGTTGCTGCTACTGTGCAATCTCTGCGTCCTGGCCAACCAATTAGCATCGGTGCTCCGTTACCTAATTATGTATGTTGTTTCCTCGATGAGGAGACGGGTCAGCCAACTTCTACAACAATCGGTGAATTATGTATACGCGGACCAGGTGTTGCTCTGGGTTATGTTAATCGTGAAGCACTGACTAAAGAAAAATTCACGGAATACGGTTATCGCACAGGTGATCGTGTGTCGATTCAAAACGGGCAGATCTTTTTCCACGAACGAATTGATTCTCAAGTTAAACTTCGCGGTTTTCGTATGGAACTTGATGAAATCGAACAGGAATTACTCCGATTAGAAGGTCAAGTTATATCTGCTGCTGTGGCTGTTGTTCATGAGCAGTTGATCGCTTTCGTCGTGGGCAACTTGACCGAATCACAAATGCGAGAAGAACTCAGACAACGGCTGCCTTCTTACATGGTACCTGATCGATTAATTAAAGTCGATGGAGCAATGCCTCGATTACCCAGCGGCAAAATAGATCGCAAAGCTCTCTTGTTAATAGATGACATGAAAAAACCAAAACTTTCCAAAGTAGAAATTAATTCCAACATTGCAGTAGAGCATACTATCAACGAGCCAAATGGGAATAGTCAACCAATCGACGTTGTTATTAATACTTTTCAGAAGAGTTTTCCACATCAACAAGTAAAGCCAAATAATGATTTTTTCCTCGATCTTGGTGGTCATTCATTGATCGCCGCACTTACAATCGCTGAATTACGAAAATACTTTCCAAGTGTTGCTCTGCACGATTTGTACGAATGCAAAACCGCAACTAAACTTGCTGAACGGTTAACTAATCAATCCATTGAAAAGAAGAACGACGAAAGCATCGCGAAACCTTTTGCTGCTTACGTTAAACCTTCTCTGACAAGAATCATTCTGTGTAGCATTTACCAATTACTAGTAATGTTGATACTCGGTACAATTGCCTCCATGGAACTTCTTTTACCATACATAACGTTTGTTTTACTGTTGCACGAACATGATCTTGGCTATGCATGTCTTGTCGCCTATGGAACACTAGTTGTTACAATGATAGTTCGATACAGTTTTCCTGTTTTAATCAAATGGATACTGATTGGTCGATATAAAGAAGGTGACTTTCCATTATGGGGTTGGATGTACCTGCGCTGGTGGACTGTCGAGCAATTACGAAATCTAGCTATGGAAGGTGTATTAGCGGATAGCCCATTGATGAGTATATATTATCGACTTCTCGGTGCAAGAATTGGCCGTAATGTTCATTTGGGCTCTATCAGTTGTGCCGCACCTGATCTATTGGAAATCGATAATGAAACCACCATATCATCAGAAGTGCATTTTCAGACCGCCTTTGTCGAAGATTATACGTTGAAATTTCGTCGCATTTGTATCGACAGATATGTTTATGTCGGAAGTCGAAGTGTACTAAATGGACAAACAAAAATGAATGATTATTCTGAATTAGATGATTTATCCTTTCTGCCATCTAATACATCCGTACCTACCGGCGAAGTATGGCATGGCTCGCCAGCTACCTATTCGCATAATGTCGATATAGGAGCATTGACTTACGGCACAACCAAGAATAAATTCAAATCTCTAATCACTCCAATCATTTTCACTGTGATCGTTGTTTTCTTCATACCATTCTTCTATTTTATTCCAACGATTCCAGGTCTTATTCTCTTCGAATATGTAGATTTAAAATCAGTTAACGACTGGATAGAAGTGTTTATCTTCGGTGTTCCTGTTGGCATCTTATATACATGTTTAGTTATTGTACAAATCGTTGTTATTCGCTTTTTGTTTATTGGTACTCTAACGGTAGGCGTCTACAGTACGCAATCATTTGTTTACATACGAAAATGGTTATTCGATCGAGTTCTTGACATTGCATTACATATTATCCATACATTTTATGCTACGCTGTATATGGTGCCTTTTCTCCGAACATTAGGAATGAAGATTGGTAATCGTTGTGAAGTATCGACGGCGATAGGAATGGTTCATTCGTTAGTTGAAATCGGTGATGAATGTTTCATCGCTGACAATGTTCTTCTTTGTGATCCATACATTCGATTCGGGCAGATGCATTTACAACGGACAACGATTGGCAAACGTGTTTTCATTGGAAATACCGCTATCGTTCCCGACGGAAAGCAAATACCGAATGAATGTTTAATTGGATGCATGTCTCTCGTTGCTGATGGCATGCAAGCAAAACAATCGTGTCTTGGTTCACCAGCGTTTATCTTGCCGAATCGAGAACAAGTTGCTGGTGATATTTCAGAAAACTTGACATACCAACCCAACATCTCTGTGATTGTTCAACGTTTTTGTATCGATACAGTGCGTGTGTTTCTACCGCGAATTGTCATTGTTCTAGAAATCGGTATAGCGACTCAGATCTTCGAGCAATTGAACGAGTCCGCTGATTTTGGCTATTCATTATTTCTCGTACCTCTTTTATACTTCGCTATACTTGCAATACCATCTACATTGCTTTGTATTGCTCTGAAATGGTTGCTGGTGGGAAAATATCGAACTAATTATTATCCTCTATGGAGTTGGTTCGTGTGGTTATCGGATTTCGTTACAGTCACTTTCGAGCAATTAGCTGCAGGACTTTTATTGGAATTTTTGCGTGGAACTTTCCTGATCGCTCCCGTCTTGCGTTGTTTTGGTGTAAGAATTGGCCAGTATTGTTACATTAATACAATTGAAATTACTGAATTCGATTTAATTAATATCGGCAATCAGGTTGTGCTCGATGCTGGAACAGAACTTCAAACTCATTTGTTCGAAGATCGTGTGATGAAAATGGCTGAAATCAGTATTGAAGATCAAGCAAATCTTGCCTATTCAGCAAGGATGTTACCCAATACACGCTTAAGCACAGCTTCGAAATTAGGACCATTAAGTTTAGTAATCAAAGGCGAAGTAATTCCTCCTCAAACCTCTTGGCAAGGCATTCCAATTAGACATTCTACCTGAAAATCTCGTCCTATCCTTTGAACTCTACTCCAATGAAGTGCTATCGAATAAATGTTTGTAAGACATGTTGTTGTTTCACTATTATTACAAATAAATATCAGAGCGTATGATAAATAAAACCGATTGTCTTAGGAGGCACTTTGCACTGAATGATACCAAAGATTATTAGACGAAATGTTTTAAGACACTGGCAGCGAGTAAGATGAATTGATTTATAATTTATTGAACTTCAAAATTTTTTGTCATTTAATCATGAAAACAGTACGAACGACACATAATAGCGTCTCGACTATGATAGTCTAGGTGATATTAACAAGAAATGAATACAATGGGTAGACACAGTAAAAAATGTATCACAGACATTAGCAACAACAACCTCGACATTTGGCATTGGATGATGTCGGCACTTCATCTTTCTCGTCGATCAAGGAAACTAATGGTTCGACCTTGTTCAGGTACAACTCTTGTTGTTCTACAATTAACAGGACTTTACCATTCATGGTTGCATTCAGCCAGTTTTGTAATAATTCAGGTCCCACTGATAAGAATAGTGAGCATATTCCATCTGCTGCTATGATTATTGGTGCCCAAACGGACCCGAATGTGTTCATTGACAAACGAAAGATCATTATATTCAATATGAAACCACACAAAACGACAGCCAACATATTGACCCAGAAAAACCCATATTGAAAGTACATTGCAATTCGTAAACAGCGCGGTGTTGCCAGACAACAGCACCAGCATACTTTTCGCGGTTGGTCATTATCACGAAACATTGCCCAACGAGCGAATCGAATCAATTTCACAGCGAAATATCTCAGAGCATAATGCCAAGTAACAATCGACGTGACTACCGTGATTAGGTTGGTCATTTCAAAGTGATAAAACGCGCATTTTGGGCTCGTTCCTGCAGTATCGTTATATCCACATGGATCTCTTTGGTCTTCACATTGAAGTACTTCATATGGCATATGAAATGACCAGCAATCATTAATAGTTTCTTTTCGTCGATCGAATACTGTTTGAATTCCGATCATTAGAAAGGTTTGAATATGAATGGCGAATATAAGTAGGACGGATCGATTCGGATTGGGAATGTAAGAATATCGTTGGTCGTATCGATAACAGGTGATAATTCGTTGACGATAATATATTTGACTTGATCCAAATTTTCCATCAGAATACGCTTCCATCATGAAAGCTAAGAATCGATCGACATGTTTATTCGTCCAGAATGTCTGTATAACACTAACGAGAAGTACAATGGAGTAGATAGAGAGAATGATTTTATCACTGATTCCCTGAAACAGTTCCAGTGTTGATTGAAATACATACATTTCTGAATCAATACTAAAATTCGACGAAGAGACAGGAACACCAATCGATGCCATAGAAAGAAATCAACGTTTTTCAAAACAAAATACGTATGAAGAATATCTAGTAAATTTATATGAGTAATCTGTATGGTGAGCTAATATTTGAATGCATATTTATGCATATGTGACTTATAGGTTACACAGAATGACAATGATGTATATTTAATATATTCAACAAATAGAGATATCCGATCGTCAATATTATTTGCGTCAGAGACCCTTACGATCGTATACTAAGGAAGAAAAGATACAGAAGGATGACATCTGATGATTGTCGCCGACTCAGAGCGATTGTGCCACCTTCTTGGCTATGATTTAAAGAATTTTTACGTAAAGTAACAGTAGAAAATGTAGTGCGGCGGTTTATTTTTCGATAACATTCTTTTTCGTCGAAAAGGCTTCGTTTATGTCAGAAGGAGCGAAAAATAAGTATAAAAGCACATTCTATAATCGCCGAAGAACAAAAAACAATGAATTTTGGTGAATTACAAACTGATGGATTACTATCGACTGTGAACGACATTATTGAGAAAATATTGGGATTGACACAAGATCAGTTGACACAATTGAATAAGACAACAGGCGTTTTGTCATTAGAAGCGCTTCAACGAGAACTGGATGTTTTTAAACAACGACCATCTCATATGGTAGAAATCGCCAATGTTTCTGTGGGATTTGGATGCTCTTTTGGTTTCTCCATGGATATGTCTCGACGTGATGCACCTGACAGATTTTACGTTCATTTACTCGGTGGAATGAATGGATACGACGCAATTCAAAATAATGAAAACTTTTGCAACAAGAAACCAACGAAATTCTATAATTTTGATGATTGTTTGAAAGTATTTGAACAGTATATTGAAGATGTTCGCGCTTAATTTCAGTTTTATGATCTACATTGTATCGCTGTAGAACAAACAGAAATATACACACGTTATTTTCTTTTTCATTCCGTTCTCTTGCAAATGACTCACGTTACATTTCACTATTTCATTTTTCGAAACAATTTTTCTCCTCAGTCAACAGTCAAAAGCGTCCGATGTCATTTCGTCGTGCGTGAATGACCAAAAAGAAAAGCATTTTAGACAAGAAGATCTTTGTTTGTATATCGTCCTTGAAACTTTTAGTGATCACGAAACAGTAAATTTATTTCAGGATTTCATTCCCAGGGTGAAGAAGGGATATGACTTTTTACTACTTGTCTATTCATATCCATCGGTTGCCATTTTCACCTCTTTAGCCTGACATTTTCCATCCACATTTTGTCTAAATTGATTCAAATTACAACTCATCATGACGGAACGCGAAAGAAAACCATTTACTTTGTTTCTGTTTACTCATACGCATCGATGACTAAACAACACTTCTTCTTCGAACTTATTTCGTTCATGGAAGAATCATACATAGTATTGGACACTGACTCTCGAAATAACAGTGTAGTGCGAATCGATGAAGATGCGATGGTGGACTTTCATCCATAAATTCTCGAACAAAACATATCATTCGTATATTTGCGGAAATCAATGGTGAAAATTGTAAATTATACTATGATGCTCATCGCTTCCTGAGTGAATTCGAGCATTTGTGTCAAACTGACGATGTCATCGTTGTTTTGTCGGGAACATTTGTGAATATTGTCATGCCTAATTTCATACTGAATCTTCACTAATAAAAAAATTTCCTCAATAGTAATACTCTGTACTATAGTACGTGAGATTAAATGTACCCACACATGTTTCCCCTTTCATATATCGATCACAAAGCTCATATAGGAGAGAAACAATCGATGCACCAATAGAATGGGCTGTTTTTATCGGTCAAAAGGTTAGAACATCCAGCTTTATCACGGTCGATATGTGAAACATATAAACAGTAACCCTGGTATCGACACAGATATTATTTCCTTTTTTGTGTCTTACAAAATTAGTTAGGGATAGTAGATTTCTGGGTTGAAAAAAAATCGAATAGCAAGAAATTGTAATCTCAATTGCGTCCGTAGAATTATGTTAAAGATATTAGTAATTAGTCCGAAAAGTCATTCTAGTTAAATAGCATGACCTCACGACAAAAATGTATTTTGTTTACTTCTTAATGTTGAGTAACAGTGGCCTTTACTTTCAATCTCCATACGCAATCATCTCACTAACAGCATTTAACAATCAACGTGTTTTTTTTTCTTTCTTCTACAGCCGATTCCCACTCTTATCGCGAAAAGATTATTTTCTTTGTGTTATGCAACCACAAAGACACGTCATAGGAGACTGGGTTTCTTCTTATATATATGAATACCATATATTTTTCATTGACACACTTTTAATTTTCCATTACTAGCTATTATATTTGATGAGTGTCGCGTTTCGACCACAGAATACGAGAAATGCTGCCACGAAACGAATCATAAGGTATATAGGTACTCGAAAAAAAGGAAAAAAGAAAATGTTTATAAAAACTCTTTAGGGACCTACAAGATCTTCATAAAAATTCAATACCGGGACTGAGTGTGTGCTGCCCTGATGAGTCGAATCCATTTGTTCTTCACTGTAATGTATGAAATAGAACTATCAATTTATATACGAATACAAATGAACGACATCTTCTTATTTAGGTATTGATCAGTGATGGTCCGTACCATGGGATAATCATTCATCTGATCCTTCACATACCAGATGACTATCCATTGACAGGTCCTGCTGGTAATATAGCACCAGGTCTAGAATTCGATCATCGTTATCATCTTCACATTCATGATGATCATATGTACGAATGAAAAAACATTTTCTTCTTCCTTTTTGATATCTTATTTGCCTTTTCTACAGAAACGGACACGCATTATGCAACGATCTACTGACGAATTATGCCGCACATTTTCGTATGGTTGATGATGGTAATGCTAAACAAGCAAGTGGATGGAGGTAGTTATCTTTTACCTATTTAGAACTAGATTGAATATTCGCTTGATTTCTCACAGTCCGGGCTATACTTTATCAACGATACTTCTTCAAATCGTCACGTTTTTTGCTGACCCTGACTTCGGCCAAGACCCACTTCCGCAGCTCGTCGATCAATTGCGAGAGATGGTTAAAAGCTTTCGATGTATAACATGTGGTCATTCATATGAAAACGTTAATCCTCCGATCGTTGACTATACTGAAATACAATCGAGTCCAAAAGTGGACGAAGAACAAGAAAGAGCTCAACGTGAACGCGACCGCGTACATCATGAATTAGTGGAGAAACTGACTTGTGGTGTCACAAAACAAAACGTGATTGAAGATCAGATCTGTCTCGGTTATCCCTTACTGATCAAACGTGACCAGCGCTCCCGTCTATCGTTTGAAATTATCTTAGAGCTGATTTCATACGATGCGTATGTTGCAGAGATACAAAAATCAGGCGAGGAAAAATTAGACTTCTACGAAAATCACAAGTTCCGTTCGGTAACGGGAAAAGATTACAATCATTGGTTACCGATCTTCGTCAATTCAGAACATTTCGAACGAGGCCGAACGATTATTGAAAATAGTATCAGCATCATCGATAGAGGAACTGCACTCGGTATCCATCGAAATGATTTCGTACCAGAGATGGCATTGAAAGTACTGACAGCACTGATGAATAAAACCGTTGTACAATTATTCAATGGTGAAATGTACGAATCAAAACAAGCTATCGAAGCTTATTGCCACTTCCTGCGTTTGTTAATGCATTTTATTGATATTTACCCTCAACTAGGTAAGATTATTGTTTCAGTTTTTAAGAATCTGATTCGATTTTTTCGTAGACGGCGGTATCAATAAAACTATTGCCGATTTTATCAGCGATCGACGCAATCGACAAAAGCAATATGTGCCAGATATGGGTGAATTTTTAATTAAGATCGCCCTGTCGAAAAAATATCACTTTGCTGAGATAAAAAAATACATTTATGAAGAGTATTTCGCTCGACAAATCTTTTGGATAGAGCAAAAACAAGTTGTACGCGAATTACTATGCATCAAATCACGACATCTGCCGGACATATTTCAAGCTGCTCAAGTGTCGAATCATTTGCTAGTATTCAATTTGGCGATGGCAGAAACATTTATATATCCGGGAGTCAAAGAGTAAGTTTGGCCTTTGTGTTCGAATAAGTTCCATTTGTTGCGCTTATTATTGTTAGGGAATTGGACAAAGCGTTTGGATATCCGTCAGATCAAGTTGTCGAAAAATTTCAAAGACGTCTACGAGACATCAAAGCAATCAATGACTATCGGCAACTTATGAAAGAAATAAGAATCGATGATATCATAGAATCATCTGAAGATATGGTCAATTTTCTTATAAGTTCAGTTAAAATTTCGAACCGGCAGGGTTACACGAATATACGACCATCGTATGAAGATGATCATCGAAGTCAGCGTCAAACAACATATGATGACCATTATTCACATCATTGTCAGAAACGATTTAAAAAATAAGCTTTGTCAGCTTCACAATGCGGGTGTTTGGGACCATTCGTTTTAAAAAATTGATATAAAAGAACTTGTATTTTCTCTTATCACATATTTTGTATTGATTGCTCTTTAATAAAAAGCGTGATATAGATTCCATGATGAACTCGTGTGTCTTTGCAAGTACTCCAACAGAATCTTATGTGCGTTTTTCATAAAGAATAACACTTAAAACCAAACTCTGATAGGATGGAAACTGAGCGCGAAGAATTGTAGAGTTCGTCTATATGCGTACATTGCTTTTGACGAATATTTTGCGGCGAATATAAGCATCATTTTCCACTTGAAGAAGAGGCTTAGTTTGAAAAAGAAGCACTTCTAAATGATTAATCTTGACTAAAAATTTTCTTCTTCAGGACAAAACAGTATTATTAGACTCGAAAGTTCAATGCAGCTTTTCATTGAATCAGGTCGTTTTTGACATGACGATTAATGCTTGAAATGCTCATGACCATTCTGTTGTTGACAGAAAGAATCATCGTAAGAACATATTTTTTAAAGAAGTTCTTTTTTTCGCTGACATGTCTAAAACTGATCGTTCTATATTTCTGTCCAAGAAGGTTGTAGAAATAGGGAGGAAGAAAATATACTTTCTAAACGACGCCACTATATTTTAGAAAAAGATTAAATAGACGCATTTACAGCATAGAGCAACAAAAGAAAACATGTCCGTCCTTCAAGCAGCTGCTGATCTTTCTTTTTGGAGTCCGATCATTCTTTTCTTCATCGGAGTACCGGGCGCTTTCGTTTCTCTCATTGTTTTCACTACAACAAAACAATGTCGACATTCGCCAACTGTTTACTATGTTGTTGGCCAATCACTCTCCGATGTTGCCATTCTGCTGATTGTTCTTCTCCAGAGTATTCCGTCGACATCGATGTCAACATCTTCCATTTCATGCAAACTCTTGGTTTTCTTTAGTCAGTTAACAGTTGCATCTGCGATGACATTTCTTTGTTTGTCCGCATTCGACCGGTGGGCATGCACATCGAGATCTGTTACTGTCCGTCAGCTCAGTTCACTTCATACTGCTCGTTGTATTTTTCCGTTTCCTTTTATTGTGTGGACGTTGATCAACATTCCTTATCTAATCTACTGCGATGTACTTCCGTCGATATCGAGTTGTGTATTCACGAATGCTGTTTTTGCACGAGTTTCTGTGTATTTCCTTGCACCCATCTTCTCTACTCTTCTTCCCCTTTTTGTTCTGATGATATTTTGTATGTTGACGTATCGTAATATTCGTCTTGTCACGCACAGTCATATTCAACAACAACAACACTCTGTTCGAGCGCGTTCATCAACGTGGGAACAACAGATGACAAGAATGATGATTGCACAAACGGTTTTCAGCGTTTTATGTACACTACCCCGAAGCGTATTTCTTATTTACACAATAGCAACGGTGGATGAACGTGCGATGAGAAGTTATGATCAGATTGTTGTTGAACTCCTGATTGATCAAATCACTTTGTTTATTGTGTCGTTAAATTTTGCTTCGTCCTTCTACATCTACTTTCTTTCTTCAGCGCGTCTTCGAGCGACAATCACATCGCTAGTGAGAAATCTTTTTACTTTAAAACATAATCAAGTCGTTCCTTGTAGCATGCCTCTATCAACACACCCGTTTACAGCAACCAAACAGCACTGAGTGTCGTCAAAAGTGTATTTCTTCTTCTTTGCTATAATAAGTAACTTTTGATCCGTTTCCTTCTTTGACCATCCGTTAATAGACTTCAATAAAGTGAAAATATAATCTAAGCTCGGACGTCTATCGTTTAAAAATATTCATATAAAATAAAATTCTGACATTGTTTTCGTCTGAAAATGTTCTAAGCATGGAAGATCTAGGCGATGTCGTGGTGACCCTAGTCGTAAAAATAGAGTGCTGGTGTATGTAAACACAAAAAAATGTGTTCTTTTTTCATCTTCAAGTATTTAGCGTGTGAGTAATCAAGCAATGCATTAATTTCGTATCAAATATATGTAAACATGTGTGTTCCACCCACTAACGTGCATCGGGATGATTAAGAAAAAAACAAGTTTGTTTTCAATGACAGCAGCTAAACGCATCACAGATATATTTTTATTTATTACTGCCGTCAGTTCTTGATAGTTTCGAGCTATTCAAATTATTGTACTATGCAGTATAAGAAAAACTATCTGATTTTTGGCGTCCCACTATTTGTAGCAATATGCACTATATCAATATTTTTGGCAGCAACTGGCTTTGGATGGACACGGTGTATGAAGAAAAAAACGAGTGCCTATTGTGAGAGAGCACATGAAGGTTGGATCAACGAGCCTGCCAACACGTGGAGTGCCTTAGGTTTTGTGGTTGTCGGTTTGATCATTGCTGGTGAAATGCAATGGGGATCGCGGAGGGAGAACTCTAACGTGCTTACCAACAGTGACTTTATGATCATCTTCTTCTCATCATTAGTTGTTTGCCTTGGTCCGGGTTCGATGGTCATGCATTCTTCATGTACAAATCTCGGTGGTGAATTAGATCATCTGTCCATGAGCTTCGTCTGTTCTTTTCTATTTGCCTACAGTATACAACGATTCTTCTGTTTGAATCTAACACATTTCTTGCTTATCTTTCTACTGATTCTTGGCATAAGTGAAATATCCGTCCAGATACCGGGTGAAGTTCCGATCTTTGGAACTATTGGTAATTTGGTTTTCGCAATATTTATAGTATTGATTATAATCAATGAAATACTGATTATTTTTTATCAACACTCGAACATAAGGAAACGATGGGGCATAGCCACGTTAGTTGCATTCTCCATGAGCTTTCTTATTTGGAATTTTTCCAAAGATAATGGCTTATTGTGTGATCCAGACTCACTCATTCAAGGGCATGCTGCATGGCATTTACTTGATGCTCTGGCGCTTTATTTTCTCTTTCGATATTACGTTAGCGAAAATAATAGCGATCATTTTCATCTTTTACAAGAAACTAAATAAGCTGAATTAACACTCTTTGAATATATGACTTACTGTAAATGAATACTTGAACGGAATTTAATATGTTTGCCATTTTCCGTTTAAAAATAAACTACTGAAAAACTTATTCTTTGCCTATACGTATGTTTTTGAGAACGTCAAGGAGAGCATTAGGTTGTCTAAATCAATACTCTGAAGATGACATGCTATTTAGTTGACTTTCGTGCACAAATTTCGTTCTATTTTCATTGTGCTAGATAAAATCAACCTTTTAACATTAAGATAAGAATTTTTCTCTTTGATAATAACGAAAAGGCATGCCCATGAGAAAAGTTTATCAAAGGCATGATCAGACGCAAGTGTTCGTCGATATTTGCATGGAGAACGTTTTCTCATCACCCAGGTTTCACCATTGGTCATCGATGGCATTTCAGTTTTCATCTTGTCGCCATTGTACTTTCTGCCTTGTGTATAATCTTCAATACTGGCCAGACTATCGGTTTGGCACTGTTTCTCGCTAGTTTCCCGAAATTGACTGGTGTTTATTTCGTTACGTTTTTCGGTGCCTTTGCCTACGGTTTCTTCTGCGTTCTCATCACATTTTGGTTTGCATACAAAGGACAAATCACTCCGGCAATGCGTGAATGGCGATGGACAAGATATATGTTTTATGTCAGTATCTTCGATGCCGCCAATGCTCTGCTGATTACATTTAGTTCGCACGGTAGTCGTGTACCACCAGCGATCACATCTATACTCAGTCAAATCACAATTCCATTCACATTTATATTTTCAAAACTTCTCCTGAGGAAAAACTACCGTTGGTTACACTTCAGCAGCATAGGTTTCGTCCTTCTCGGTGTGATATTTAGTCTTATACCAACGTTTAAACAAATCCACGATGGAACTACTGATACCACTCTAAAACAAGGCTGGTACTGGCCATTCGTGTATATTCTTGGTTGTATACCGAGCGCTATAAAAACTATTATACAAGAAAGACTACAAGTAGACTTTACAAAGTATGCCCGAGAACGAGAAGAGAAAATTACTCGTTTTTCAGTTATCTATTTTCAAGCAGTTGAAACTATGTTTCAAGTAACTATTATTGTTTTATGTTTTCCGCTTGACTTAGTACCAGGTTTTGGCACATCAGATAGCATTGATCAATGGTGGAGTTCATTCTCCGATGGTTTCAAATGTCTTTTCAACGTTGGTCATACACTCAATGATCGATGTCACATTGCTGCCGGTACCGGAATGTTATATATCGTTTCTTGTTTACTGGCTAGTGTTATTGGTACGTTTCTTACCGATCATACATCGGCGAATTGGCTTGCGATAGTCAGTTCAATTTCTCCATTACTATCGACGTCGTTCTGGTTTATCTTTCCTGGCATAAATCGATGGGCTGGAGTGGCGGATGTCACAGGCTGGGATATCGGATTTAATCTAGGCGCATTACCAATTGTTTTCATCGGTATGGTTTTGTATCAAAGTGGCGGAACAGATCGTCAGGTGGACGAGGAAATGCCATTGATAGATAAGCATCCGACTGAGTTTCTCTGGTGAATTCTGCGACTATTTGTGTTTGATTCATTCATCAATAAAAAAAACAGAATTTTCAGATACTCATTTTATTTTGAACGTTGACTGCTTAAGGTTTCTTTGGCAAAGAAAATATTATCATGCCGCATTATTGAAAAGTCTCTTTTCTAATTATTTGAGTATCTCGCTGTAATTGTATTATAAGGCTTTTTGCTTTAATAAGATGTTCCTGATCTTATTCCGTCGATGTTAAGTACTATGAAAGAGCATCCGCTAGAATGTAATTTATTTTCCTTTAGATTTTCTTTTCTATAAGGAAATAATTTTCCCTCTTCTCTCATTGCGAGGTGATAGAAAAACTCTTTTTTAACCCAGACAGATTATAGTGGATTCGTGTCTATCTCAATGGATCTTTTCCTCGGGTGTTTCAGTTATTTTCCGTACTATATTTGATATAAGTCGTCGAAGATGAGTTTAGATACAACAAAATTTCCTATCCTCACTTACTACAAAAAGGCAGGATGAAAAGAAGAATCTTTTTCTACTGAAGTTCATCTGGTTTCTTTTCTCTATCTCACACTCTCTTAATGTGTCTCTCATATTGATAAAATCTGTGAGATGTTAGCGAAAACTTAAAACTTCTTTTTTCTTTAATATTGATGCGTAGAACAACAACGTGCTAAGAGTATTTCTCATGATTGAAAGAGCTTTTCCAAGCCGTAGCTTGGGTTAAAATTCACGGTGTATCGATTTAAGTTTTTTTGTGCCTATTGTTCGTTCATAATCTTGGTATTCTCTTTTTGGGAAATTCTACACAGTACTTATCAGCAATCCTATTAGTGCATATTTTTTCATAGATTAGAGATCAGATTAACTACGGATGGAATTTGTTTAGATTTTGGAGGACGAAAAATCTAGGCTACATCTCAGATGTTAAAAGAACCTGTTTTTTCTTTCATTCAGAACACATACAGAGTGAGACGATGAGTTAGATCTCATGTTATTTTTACTGTTTGTAAACCATGAACATATCAATTTTCCGTTTTGTAGATTATCTATTGATCGATCAAATCGAACAATGGCGGATCTTAGTGAAAACCTTCGGCTAATCAAATATGGATGTTTACAAGCAACCATTGGTCCATCACTTTTGTGTGATATCTGCGTGTTTATCTATCTGATTCGTCATTGGCGAAAAGAGATTGTCAAATCTCCGCAAAATCATGTTATTCTATGTGTACTCACCGTCAGTTTCATTGAGAAGATGACAGATGCGATCTTTAGTCTCTATTTTTTCCGATGGGGTATTTCTATTCTACAAACCGAGACATTTTGTACAGTATGGACTTGGTTGAATTATTCTTTACTAACTGTGAATTTGATGCTTATCGCTTGGTGTTGCATCGAACGGCATTTATTTATCTTTCATAGTCAAAGAATGAAAAGAAAATTATACTTGAATCTGTTTCATTATCTACCTTTACTTCTTTGTCTTTGTTACACACCGACTCTCTATATTGTTCTGATATTCTTCCCATCGTCTTGTACTAACACTTGGGATTATACTTATCCATACTGTGGCAGTCCATGTTACGCATTTGTTCCACTTTGGGGAACATATGATTGGCTCGCTCATTACGCATTGCCGATCAGCATTATTTCACTTGCCAATCTTTTTCTTTTCGTTCGTGTTGTGTGGCAAAGAATCAAACAAGGCCGCCCAGTCGAATGGAATCGACAAAAGCGTATGATTATTCAGCTTGTTTTCATTTCAGCTCTGTATTTAATGTTAATCACACCCGAAGTTATCGTCGGTGTAATCGAAGCTCTATGGTCGCCCACATTCGCTCTTGACATTCAATTAAATTATTTCTTCTACATTACAAATTTCGTGCATCAATTGCTGCCATTTATTATAATTACTTCGTTGCCGAAGTTGCATAAGGAACTGAAACAATCGTTTCAGCGTATAAGACGAGTCTATCCACTGGAAGCGATGAACGGGAGAGAACAAACGAATCTCACTCGCGATGCGACAAATGGAAAAGCAATTTAAATTGTATTTCATTTCGTCTTGAACACACGAGATTACTTGATGTTGTTAAGTAAACTGTTGTGCGCAACTAATAAATTGTTATAACTCTCTCTCTCTCTATGTGAAATTGATTTCGGGGCGAATTGTTGGCTTCGTATTTGCACTGACAAAAGAAACCCAACGTGTTGCGCATTGCACTTCTATGTCAATTTGATAAGCTTTCAGATGAATTGAAATCGAATTATATTTTTGCGTTGGTCACCAGCACGTGGGATTTAACTTCATTTTCCTTATTAACTTCAGAAGGCATATATTTACACAAAAACAAGCAATCGAATTTTTAAGAGCGACTACAAATATGTTCGTTTTGTAGATAGGTGCAACCGAATACAATGCGATTAAGATTTATCGATCGGTAAGTTTTCTTGTCGATAGGATCAGATACATCAGAATGCGCATTTATCACAGTTTATTCGCGCGATTGAGACCTGCTCGAAAGATAGAAATAAACTCAGAAACAACTACGAATCAGATTAGTTCCATCGTCATTCTCAAGAAATTGGTAAGTTTAGCAAGAAAGAAAGAACCAATCTTATGTTGTTTGAAATATGATTGTAAATAAAAAATCTCTTTTGTCAGTTGAGCTTCGGAAATACTGCGGATTACGTTATGATACTTGTCGGCATTTTGGCGGCAGTCATCTATGCTGTTGGCCATGTGTTTTTTGTTTTCATTTTTGGCGAATTGGTCGGTTTATTTGTCGAACGCATATCGTCAGCTGAATGTACAGATTCCAACACAACTATTTGCCAGTACAGTAATACGTCGTCTAGGTATATATGACATGATCTTATTTTCATCATTACCAAGTCTATACGAAATTGATATAAAAACTTTCGCTTCATTTTCTATTTAATCAGTCTCTGTTTGACGTCTAACATCTCGAATACGACTTCAATTGATAACTTGACAAATAGAGCATCTTTCTACAATAATGTTCATAGAAACGTCATCCAACTAGTTGGTGAGTTTGATTGAAACCTCAATGTAAATCTAGCTACTGAAAGAGACTGGTGACTCGATCGATTGAACCTAAGAATGATATTGCAATGTTCCGTTTTCTTCAAGTTATTGGATTGATTCAAATCTTGGTTTACTACATTCAATACGTTTCCTTTGAATTGTCTTCTTGTCGATTGGCAAATCGTATTAGAGTACAACTATTCAAAGCCACACTCGCCCGGGTATATCATTTTTTCTCGTTAGAGAAGTATTACGTTTTCTTCCATCGCTCATTTTTAGGAAGTATCATACTTTGACGTTACCGAAACGTCGATTTCGAACTTGTTCGAGTGAGTTTGACTTATTGTTAATCATTCATATGCACATGTTTCTTTTTTACTAGAAACGTTGCTGTTGTACAGTCAGGCATTGGTTGGAAGAGTGCAGCTATCTTTTCTGGTTTTATCTTTGTTATCAGCAGTTTTATTCTCGCATTGGTCGTCGATTGGAAATTGACTTTAATTGTTTGCATCGCAGAACCACTCAGTGTGGGTGCAGCATTCGTTTTATCAAAGGTAGCTTCAAATACCCTATTTGTGACTTCAGATGACATTTCGTTTGTAGTTAACGGCTCAGGCGACTCTTTCCGAAATCAAATCGTATGGGCAGGCAGCAACAGTTGCTGAGGAAGTGTTTAGTGGTATTCGGACAGTGATTGCTTTCAATGCACAAAACAACGAACAGATGCGGTTAGCATGTCGATTTTGTGTAGATCAGACATCAGTGCTCTTTTCTATGTTCATACAATTATAGATACGAATCGAAGTTGAAACATAATGTCAAATATGCACTCCGAAAAGGATTTCTCTATGGTTGTTATGTTGGAGTGTTGGCAACGTTCGTTTACTGGACAAGTGCACTTGGCTACCTTGCTGGAACGTGGCTTAAAATAACAGGAAGACATCCATCATTGAGCATTCGTCAGATTGTTGTGGTACAATTCTTCTCTTGCTAAACTTTCTTTGAATGAATGTGTAGGTTGTTACGTCTATAACGGAAGGTATGCAGTTCCTTGGCTATCTGGCGCCAAGCATGAAGACATTTCTCGATGCATGTACAATCGCTCTACCAATCATGGATTTTATTGAAGAAAGCAAAGTAACTAACACCACATTTGAAGAAATGTGCTACTATCTAACCCTTCCATTGGATTCAAGATTATACAGTTTTCTAAAGCGGTGTCTCTTATATTTAACAGATTCGTGAAGAAGCACAGGCAGAAATACGTTCCATACCAGTTGCTCAAGCAATTCGCAAGAGTATATTAACTTGCCCGGATGGTGAACCCGCGGTTGAAATCGTTTTCGACAATGTTTCCTTTGCGTATCCAAGCGGTGAGAAGCGGTTGGCTTTGAATAATGTTTCATTTCGAATTAAAGCGAATCAAACCGTCGCATTTGTCGGCAGTTCAGGCAGTGGTAAGATTAATTGTCAGGTATTCGAATATTTGCGGATGTTTTTGCGCTGTAATGATCAGGCAAAAGCACTTGTATTCAACTTTTGCTTCGTTTCTACGATCCACTCGACGGGCAAATTCGGATCAATGGCCATCCTATTAACAGCTTTGATCGAAAAGCTCTACGTCAGAATATTGGTCTTGTTAGCCAAGAGCCGGTACTCGATACATATATTCAGCTGTTTAGAACAACTAAGCTTTATTCGAAGGTTCTTTTTGCAACAACAATTCGAAATAATATCGGGTATGGAAAGGAGAATGCCACTTTGGAGGAGATTGTCGAAGCTGCTGAACAAGCCAATGCTCATCCGTTTATCGATAAACTTCCTCAAGTAATCTCAACTGATTTTAAAGTCTACTTCAAACAACATGATCATTTGTAAAAAGGGATATGAGACAGTCATTGGCGATCAAGGTGTGCAACTCAGTGGTGGTCAGCGACAACGGATTGCATTGGCACGGGCTCTCATCCGACAACCAAGCTTGCTTTTACTGGACGAAGCAACAAGTGCACTCGATTCATCCAGTGAAAAGATCGTACAAGAAACCATCGAACAAACTACTAACGGTAAGATCATTGGTTCGAACTGTGTCTATATTCAGAAATCATGAGATCATCAATCTAGCTCGAACGACTATCATCGTTGCGCATCGTCTTTCAACTATTCGCTATGCGGATTGGATCATAGTTATGAAAGACGGGTCAATTGTTGAACAGGGTTCACATGACGATCTTTTTGCAGCGAGGAATTTCTATTATCAATCGGCGATAAAACAGCAGGTGAATTTGACACATTGTGAGGATTTGACGTCAACGGATTTAGACGACGTTTCTATGAAAGACATCAGCACATACGAACAGCAGGTAACAACTGATGAAGTAGACTTTCTAGATATTCAAGATGAAGAGAACGATGATAAACAAATAATGAATGAAGTACATCAGGTACAGTTGATGTTTAATGTTGCATATACCGAATGATTACTCTTATCGTTTCATAGTCTTCGCAAGGTTCATTGGGTTGTTTGATTAAACTATTTAAATTAAATGCTCCTGAATGGCCTTACTTGATCGTTATTTGTCTATCTGGTATCGTTGCTGGCGGATTTTATCCGTCGTTTGCGTATATTCTTGCAGAAACAATCAGTGTAAGTATGATTAATCAAAACTTTTTCTTTGATAATCTTCTATAGAATCCTACTTATTTGAAAGGCATTTCAACAATGTGATCCTTCCGCGCAAATGGATAAAGTAATTCAATTCACGCGTATTATGTTTCTTTTGGGTATTGGAGTGAATTTGATCAAAATTGTTCACGTAAGAGTTTTTCTTAGCAGCGAGACGTGTGAGAGGATAGGAGAAAAGTGAACTGTGGTTCTTTTATTTTATTTTATACAAGTATGTTTGTCTGGCCGTGTCTGGAACCCGCTTAACAGATCGGTTACGAATGAAATCATTTGCATGCATGTTACGGCAAGAAGTGGCATGGTTTGATAAAAGTGAAAATAATACGGGTTCTCTCTGTGCACGTCTTTCAGCAGATGCAATGGCTGTTCAATCAGTACGTAGTTCTTACTTGCTGCAATTCAAGATTATTTTAACTATATCTTCTTTGATATATCATAGTTGACAAATGTTCGTCTGGGGTTGCTTATTGAATCTTTATCGTTATTGTTGGTTGCGCTGATTATCGGACTGATATTTTCTTGGCAATTGACTTTGATGGTCTTTGGTTTAATTCTATTCGAATTGACTGGTGCGATCATCGATATTCGGAGAAAGAGTCGCCTACAGACAAAGATCGACAGCATCTTATCTAGTTGTAATGCGTTGATCACGCAAACTGTACGGAATATTCGGACCGTTTTTCAACTGACTAGAGAAGAGCATTTGTTGGATCAATTTCAAAATGTTATCGATCGAAGTTACAAGTAGAACGAAGATGATCTTTCGGAACTTGAACGATTTTTCACTTCGCTTTTGTAGAATAATCAAACCGAGTGTGTTCAAGGGCGGTGTAGCGTTTGCATTTTCATTCCCAATAGCAACATTGATCTTGCCTTGTCTGGCTGAGCTGGCCGTTGTTCTCCTGGACGATGGTCTTATTGATCATCAGCGCATTGTTTTGTAAGTTATTGAAATATCCGATAAAATATCTCAACAAAGTCGTGGTTCTCGTAGATTATTCGCTTTCGTACCATTTTCATTTGATGTCATACAAACATCGGCAATGATGTAAGTAGAACTCCACTGACGTGAGAGGTTCTGTGATTATATACTGACTAGTTCAACTGAATTGGGTGGAACAACAGCGGCAGCGAGGCGTTTGAATCAATTGTTTGAACGCATTCCCCTGATTGATAATATGTCTACAGAAGGTCAACAAATTGTAAGTTGACTTTCAAACGAAATGGCATTCTCACTTTTGATAAACAGAAGGATTTCTCTGGAACCATTCAATTCGATCGAGTAACTTTCGCTTATCCGACACGCAGTTCAATCAATGTCCTGCATAATTTTCAATTAACAGTACGAGCCGGTTTGTACTTTTCAGCGATATTTCTCATTATACGACCAAACACTAATTGTCAATTGAAGGTATGCGAGTAGCAATAGTTGGTTCGAGTGGTTGCGGTAAATCGACTCTGGCACAATTGCTTGAACGATTCTATGACTGTAATCGAGGACGTGTAGTAGGTCATACATTCGGGATTTTCGTTTTGAACTACTTTTCACATAGCTGCTCGATGGCCATAATGTGCGATCCTTAAAATTAGGATGGTTACGCGCACAAATTGGTCTTGTTAGCCAGGAACCAAATCTCATATTGGGCCTCACCGTGGCTGAAAACATCGCATTTGGCTGTCTGATAGACACATATACCCACGAAGACGTTGTCGACGCAGCTAAACGAGCACATTGTCATACTTTTATAGAAATGTTACCTCAGGTCAGTTCTTCGGCTTCTTTTGCACTTACAAAAATACAAGTACTCTCTTTAGGGTTATGACACACCTGTAGGGCTGAATGGGAGTTCATATTTATCCGGTGGTCAGAAACAACGTATTGCTATTGCACGAGCTCTTTTTCGTAAACCAAAAATTCTACTGCTTGACGAGGCGACTAGCGCACTCGATGTACACAATGAACAGGTGAATGAAAATTTTCTTTTGTTCTATCAAAAGAACAGTTCTATTCTGATTTGTAGCTGGTTGAAGAATCGTTAAATGCTGCAAGACAAGATGATCCATCTCGAACAGTGATGATTATTGCTCATCGGCTTTCTACGATCCAGTCGTGTGATGTTATTTGTGTCCTTGGTCCTAACGGACGTCTCTTGGAGTCTGGCACACACAGAGAATTAATATTGCGTAACAGTGCATATCGGAAACTCGTCCTTGACCATATGTGATAGACATTTTTTTAAAACTGTATAAAAACTACATAAATCTACGAATAGAAATATTCTGATTACAATGTACCGGAACGTAGACGTGTGCATGTTGTCGACGTCCGGTTGGTTCTGGAAGAGGATAGCCATGGAGCATGCTCATCTTCTAGAACCAGTGGAGCAAGTTGTTCGAACATGTCTCCAGGACCTGGATTGTCAAGGTGAGTGTTGCCACCAAAATGATGCATTACTCCCCAAACTGCATTGAGTGCTGTTTGAACAGCACCTTCAGCCCATCCAGCCGTCCACGATACGTCATCACCTGCGATGAAAAATCCACGACTTTTTTCCGAAATATAATCTTGCATGAAATGAGTGAATAGACGCACTTGGTAACGATACTGACCAGGTAGATTATTCTTGAACGCTCCCATAAAATTACGTTCGGTCTCCCATGACAGAGTAACTGGATCGTCGATGATATGTTCTTCAACATTGATGTTAGGATATATATTATGCATGCATCGTAACATTGCGTCGAGACGCTCGTTTGCCGATAGAGTTAGCCACTTCAACGAATCATCGCCCCACGTATAGGATAGACAGATGACACCCGGGCGATCTGGACCATCGTCGAATAGATAAGTAGACCGAGTCAATCGATCAGTCAACGTCATACTCATCAAATCACGCCCTGTTGCCGGATCTTTGTCTTTCCAGAAGGGTCGATCGACTAGAACGCAAAGTCTTGTAGACCCCATATAATGGGTGCGTTCGATCGCAATCCACTGATCGATCGGTAGGAGATCACGATCTGATTTAATCTGATTCAACAGCGTCCATTTATGTGCAGTGAAGACAACTGCAGAATAAGTATGACTATTTCCATCTGCATCTGTCACTACGATCTTGTTCGGATTTATACGATGAAGGTGTGTTACAGCTTTTCTAGGCTGTCCATTCGCATGTAGACTCTGCAACGTCGTGCCGACAGGCCAATGTGTCATATTTTTTGGCGATTGCTTCCAAAGACGAATCGGCAACTGCTGACAACCACCGACAATGAAATGGTGGTTGTCATCGAAGTGGGTAAAAATGATACGAAGTACTTCGAGAATCGAATTAGGAAAGTCTGTGTCCCAGCCACCAGTACCAAAGCCAACTTGGCCAAATAATTCACGTTGTTGAAAAGACTTGAACAGCGGTGAGTTACAGAGAAAACCATAGAACGTTTGCGTATCTAACTGTTTGACCAACGAATTCCAAATCCTTTTGATCGTAGCTACATCACGATTGTGAATCGCAGTTTGCATGTCTTTCAATCTAGCGTAACTACTCAGAGTATTATACCACGTGCTAGCAACCTTACGAAATATATCTGGCAAATCCTCGAGAGTGTGTGCGTAGCACACCTCGCCGTTCAGATCGATTACTGTACTGGGGGTAGCAGGACATAGAGGGTTCGGAAACGGTTTTGTTTCGAGCTTGCACAGATTGATGTAATGAAAGAGTGCTACAGATGACAATGGAAATCGCATCGCTCCCATTTCTGCCACAACTTCAGGATGGTTTTTGAAGCTCACAGAACGCATGCGACCACCAATCTCCTCTGCCTCATATACGACTGGTTTAAAACCCAATTTCATCAATTCGTAAGCTGTGATGATTCCAGAGAGTCCGCCTCCGATTATAGCCACCTCGGTACCATACACACTTTCAGGTACTGAGCCTATTCCAGCTGAGTGAGCGAGATAGTCATCGTAGGCGAATGGAAAATCTGGTCCAAGTACTCTCAATGGTTCCATCGACTGAGCATCGCCTGTATCGCTGTGAATCGATGGATTTTGTGAATTACTGACATCAGAAGGTGGTGGTAACTTTTCAGAAAGTACTTTTGGTACGCTTTTTCTATGATAATCATAAGAATGATCATGAGTCATGCTCTGCACAATATGTTCATTTGAAATACGCTGTTGAAGGCATCCCATCCACGCCTCGTATGAGTCATCGTTTCGTGATTCAAAACAGATATTATGTTCTTTGCGAAATTGACTTATAGTCGGAATTGACGGATGTGACATGTTAAATTCAGAGTGGAAACGCTTTTCTAAAACTGCTAGTTTTCAAAGATGTATTCAAGTGTAAATGTAAGTATCTCTTCCCTTACCTGTGTAGCTATGCGTCAGTTAGAAAATATTGCATTTATGCTTCTCATTCCCTCACGATCAAAATTGTGTGCAAATTCATTTTCATACGCGTAATTGTTGTTTAATTTCTATATAAACACTCCTCAGGATTGTATATTTTGTTGGCGTAAAACGAACGAGCGAACAAACTCTTTAATAATGCATGCACGAACATTCTTTTCTAGAAAAACATCGAGCACGTGGTGTTTCGTTAAAAAAATGTAATGCAAACTGTTATGTGATTAATTTCCGAAGAAAAAGAAAATATCGACTTCATTGTTCTGTTAATAATCCATGCATAAGCATACTAGATTCTATCAAGTTCGAGTGATCACTTATCCGACAATGTGTGTCAGCAAGGTCTGGTCTGATGATACGTATGTAGATGTCTGTCAAAGGCTTGTTGTAAATGATAGTGCATTTCGCTAAAAGCCAACTAAAATAAAATATGCACTGAACGGATTTTGTAAATGAATAGTTTTGTTAGAGAGAAAAGCAAATAAATTGCACTGAAGAAAAAGACATAATTCATTGTGTTAGTAGTGCACTCTCGATGAAACCGCCCATGCCGATCGAAATAAAAGCACGAGATCAATATGTACATAAATAGAAATACGAATATTTGCTTTTCTATAATTATTCGCCCTTTGAGAACACTGCTTCCAGAATCCGAAAAACTATTTAACTGGTATGAATGAGTGCATTTCTAATTTGCAAATGAAAAGACATCTCATTTCACATAGATACTTTTCCACTAAGGACCGTATCTCTCTGCCTGTATAAAATACATATTTGTGTTAATTTCTCTGTAACGGATTTTTTATTCGAAAGTCAAGTTATGTCATTGTTGATAGGACATATGGTGAAGATGCTCATGACCATTCTGTCATTAGCAGAGAGAATACGATCTACATATAGTTTCCATCGAAATAACAAAAGAAAACATGTTCGTTCTTCAAGCAGCTGCTGTATGATCTTTTTTTTGACGTTCGATCATTCTTTTCTCCATTGGAGTACCGGGCGCTTTCGTTTCTCTCATTGTTTTCACTACAACAAAACAATGTCGCCAACTGTTTACTATGTTGTTGGCCAATCACTCTCCGATGTTGCCATTCTGCTGATTGTTCTTCTGCAGAGTATTCCGTCGACATCTATGTCGACATCTTCCATTTCATGCAAACTCTTGGTTTTCTTTAGTCAGCTAACAGTTGCATCTGCGATGACATTTCTTTATTTGCCCACATGCAGTCGTTGGGTATGCCCATCAAGATCTGCCACAGCTCGCTGTATTTTTCCGTTTTCTTTTATTGTGTGGACGTTGATCAACATTCCTTACTTACTTCCATTGATATCTAGTTGTGTATTTTCTTGCACCCATCTTCTCTGCTCTTCTTCCCCTTTTTGTTCTGATGATATTTTGTATGTTGACTTATCGTAATATTCGTCTTGTCACGCACAGTCATTTCATCAACGTGGGAACAACAGATGACAAGAATGATGATTGCACAAACGGTTTTCAGTGTTCTATGTACACTACCCCGAAGCGTATTTCTTATTTACACAATAGCAACGGTGGATGGACGTGCGATGAGAAGTTACGATGAGATTGTTGTTGAACTTCTGATTGATCAAATCAACTTGTTTATTGTGTCGTTAAATTTTGCTTCGTCCTTCTACATCTACTTTCTTTCTTCAGCGCGTCTTCGAGCGACAATTACGTCGTTAGTGAGAAATCTTTTTACTTTAAAATATCGTCAAGTTATTCCCATTGGTATGCAAGAAACTATATATGAATGAATAATGTTTTTCAAAGGTCGCTTCTTTGTATTTCTTTTTACTATGAGGTCCCGACTCTCAACAAACAACATCTTCTTTCACTAATATTACAAATAAAGACAGTGCATTTCATCCGGTTTTTCTTCATGTTGCACTGTTGTTTAATAGAGAAAATGAGTTGGAATGGTTGCTGTGTAGTTGATTGACAATAAGACATCCTTGTCGAAATTCTTCGTCGTACAATCTCTCTCGAATAATAAATATAAAAGATGCAGGTAATGACATAAACAAGTTCGTCAGGCATGACCATGATTCGTTAATTAATGTTCTATTTACGCGTTGTATTACAAGTTCGACTAAGAAATTCAATAGTCCGTAACGTTTGTACATTGGACTGACGCGGAGAATTTTCTGCAATCAAAATAATACTTGAACTTGGTTATTGATTTTGATGCACAAGTAACGATACATCAAACTCGATTCTCATCGTTAAAACCATTGCTCATCTACTCTTGAATAGTTCTATTTTAATATAATTTGATAAAAAAAGAGAAATATTATCAGTATTAATGTAGTCATCCTACTCCAAAATCAGTGGAAGTTTAGGTATCGGTGCGGGTTCCCTTGGGAAACAGTTGAAAGGGGGTTCAGACGAATATCCGGAGTCGGTGGAGATGATACTGGGGCCCTGTTATTCTGCAAAGGTGCATTATTTTGGGATGAGAAGTATCCTCGTATTGCGGAAAAAGCTTGTATAATGACAGCTATTACACCAAAAATCAGAAACACAATAAACACACCGCCGGTCTGTTTCAATGACAATGAACTTGTTTTTGTATCGAATGCATCTGCACTACTACAACGCTGTGTTCGAAACCATTTATTTTGTATTCGTTCCAGTTCCTCAGACTCGATCAAGGATAAAACACCAGCATTGAGTTCATCTTCGTATATCCAACCCTTTTTGATCGGCAAATGATAGGAACTTTGACTGAATTCAACACCAACAGTCATCAAGTCACAATAAACATTGTTCGTGAAATAGATGATCGAATGATTACTCCAAAGGCCTACGTCAATATCTTTATTGATCAAACTTTGGTAAATGTCATTTAATGTTTTCACTTCGTAATAATCTTTTTTCCCATGTGAAATCGTATTCAGATAGTAATATTCGATGGAAGAACCACTTACAATTCCAATTCGATTCGGTGCGACTTTACCATTTTTAATATCGTCGATTCCTGACACAATAGTAGTCGAGTTACTTGCTATTATAAACGATAATATAGTAGCTGTATACAATGAAAATAGAACAACTTGGATAACGTGCAAACCATATATAAGAACTTGTTCAGCACTTGATCTATTCTCTCCAGTTCGATCTCTTCCGAGCATAGTACATAATACATAATGAATACGTTCGAGTATTCTATGCCTAATAACTGCAGGGTTCAGTCTTTTGGGACGTGTCTGTTCAAGCAACCCTAATAAAATTGCGGTAAATATTATCGTAGCTAAGATAACTGCCCATAATTCCCATGAAAATGGCGCCAAAAAGAAGAACAGATCAAAATCATTAGATTGGGATTTTCGTATAACAACGCGGATGGCACTCGGCATCAGGGCGATAGATAAATCAACCAATGCAGTTCGTCGGGACGTTATAGTGATTGTTGTCATTACAGTGTCGAATAGATCGTTTGCTACTCCTTCTACCAACTGATCATATTGTACTGTCGGTTTAGCCAACATGACAACCGGAACAAAGCCCATTTCATCTTGTAAATAAACCAGTATATCTTTATAAAATCCATCGAATTCACTCAGTTCAATCTTCTTGTAATCGCCTGTCATTCCACTGTACGAAATAGCGGGATTTTTCAGTATTATAAATGGCGTAGCTTCAATAACTGCCATACGTAATCGTGTTCCTAAAATGTATCAAAATAGTTATTCAACGTGGACTACAATATTGACAATGACTTACCTCTGATCAGTTTATAATCTGCTGGAGCCTTTGTTATTTGACTTGGCCAAACAATGTCGTCAGATTCGTTTCTGTATTGTGTCCATTGAGATGATTCGGTATCCCATTTCAAAACTGGCTTATGATCAATAGTTTTGTTTTGTACATCGATGGATTGAATATTTCGAACAACATAATATTGATGACCAACGCGATCCGTTGTGGTGTTAGAAAATCTAATTTCACCCGATACACCTAAAAACGATGTGGATCGCATCAAATGATAATAGAATTCAGAATTGGAAAATTGTCGGTAATAACAATTTGAAGCATTATTAATCTGTAAACACGATTGTTCAGTGGTACAAAGTTTCTGCAAGGCTAACAGAAAGCTCCATGTTGCATCAAAGGTAAATAATGCAAAGTTACTGACATTATCATTTCCTGGAAATGTTTCAGGTTGATAATGTTTCCATATGTCATACGCTTGATTCAGTAATGTTGTATTGATTGGCTGTTCTATCGCATCCGCGTGCATAGGTTCGATCGTTAGAGTTCCAATTAACTTTTGCCTTTCTCGTAGCGTGAAACTAGTCAATGGTATATTCGTCGTCAATATCCAAACAAAATCTGATCCCAGTAAATCTTCCTCCATAGCTTGCTTTAATACCATTGTTGTTAACTGTTCATTGGCCCAGAGAACAACAATACGCGAATAACTCGCTTTTAATATTTGTACCCAATCGATTTGGTAATCGGTTACGTTCATGCCGAGTCGAATTGTCTCTCGAGTTTTGATATCCACTTCACTGAATTGCTGTTTTAGTGACTCCATTCCATCATTACCAAACTCATCATTTTGATGTATAATGATCGACGATTTCCACTTGTACCGTTGGAATAATAATAATATGCCCAGTGCAGTGTTTTCATCTGATGAAACTACACGAAAGAAAGCTTGGCTATCAATAGTCGACAGTTGCGGGCTCGTCGCCGAGTATGAGATACTGATTATTCCCAAGCGATGTGCAAATGACGAGAGATATCGTGCTTCTCTCGAATATGCTGGACCAACAAATCCGATGATATTCGACGTAGACACTTTATTACATGTACCATCAATTGTCAACATAATATCTTCGCCTGTGATGATCTCTTCATAACCAATCAGTTCGCCTTGGTACATCATATTGTATTGATGCGATAGAAGAATAGCTGCACGAAACATGGACATACAATGAATGATCCAGGTTTCATTATAAGTTTTATTGTTCGATTGCTGAGGGAAGAAACCGAGTAGTTTCGTATTCGATGTGCTAACTGGCCAGTTTGACTCGGATGTTGCTTGTATCCTTACTTTGTATAGAACACCAAGTAATAGCAGTAGCAAACGAAATACTGTTTGTAGCACAGTGAACATAGACGACTATGTTACCTGGCTTTTGTGTTGAATATACAAATCAATGCGTGAAACACTGTGTTTGTATATGTTTATATACGTATGTGTAAAAGGAAGTGGTTTTCAAAAAACAAGCAATAACAAAGAACGCAAATATGTCACATACTACATCAATCGTATAAATCATCGTTATCACGATGTACATTTGTCTTAACTTTTGATTCTAGATTGAATTTATATAATTTACAAAAGATTGCTTCTCAGATAAATGAGTATAACTGATTTCTAGTCAAATTCCGTGTACTAACAAGAAAGTCATGATATTATGTTTGCGCGAGCCATTTCATGTGAAGTGAATCACTCCTGACTTATAAGTTGGAAAAAACAACGCTTGATTTGCTTTATACCACCTGCAACGCGTTGTCAATTAACATTTTCACTCGAATAAATATCGTTATTCATCACTATCTATTTAAAGAATGTCATAAGAAGAAAAATCTCAACACTATACTAGGGTAGCGAATATGTTTTCATGACTATTAACCAGCGCAAACATTCATGAAAGTTCATGTAATGGCAATAAAGACACTGGCTGCGCCACCTGCGTATATAGGCTAAGTACTCTATATTAATTCGTGTTATACTGAGGTAAGTAAAGTATTGAATCAAGAAGGAAAAAGAAAGGCAACAATTTCAGAAAAGCCCGGAGTGCGTTTCTCACCCTAATCTATTCGGTAGATTATCCACAAGTTAGTGGCCAACAAAATAGCAGAGCTAACGGTGAAGAGTATATTTCCGAGTGTAAATGCAAGTCCGGAAAAAATAAGAACGCACGAGCGAGATCGAGTGCAGTCAATTCGTATAATTCCTTCAACAAGTGCATAATTTAGATATATAAAAGCTTCGATACTTTTTACAGAGGAATACACCGACTTGATCGTCGAAAATTCTTGTCAATTCTAAAGTCAAACGAAATGATGTACCAATGACGAACAACGCTGCACCTGTTCGTAATGCATTGGGTTTGTCGACGGTATTCTTGAAATACAGTGAAGATCCAGCACTGTATAGAGCAGCTTGAAGCAAAAGTAGACCAGCACGAAATATACGATAAAACACACCGCTTCATCGACCGCAGATAACATTTTCGTCAACATATTTATCACCATCGATGTTTCCTGGATCAATGATGGGAGCTTGATTTTGATCTATACACTTGCTTACACCACAGAGCGATTTTCGATTTTATAGTCAGTTGAAAGCAATATTTCAAATAATTCATAGTCAAACACTACAATAAACAAAATCAGATTTGCTAATATTAGATTGCAGTCAAGCCGGTCGAATAACAAAAGACTTTGCACCTTGTCGTAGTTTTTGTTATTCTTTAGTTTTACATATCTGTATCCGACGATCATTGCCGAAAGTTAAGGCAAGCGGTAATAAATGGTATAATCGAAGCAAAACAAGTGTAGGTTATTGATCTGCACCACCCCGTTGTGATGTTGATTGTTTCGTTAACAAAATCAATAAGACTTTTGTATTTGTTTATTTTATTGATTCGTGCTTCTCACGCGTATAGAAAGCGAAATACATCTATAAGCATCATTAGCCAATTATATATGATCCGAACGGATATTGTTCGAAAGAAGTTTATTCATATTCGCTCGTGATGATGCAGCCAGCTATTGCGGATAATATATTGACAAAGAATATGGTTGTTTTTCTTTCTTATTGTGACATGATATAAAAAAACAGAAAAATAATCTTTCTTTGTTCTGACTCATAGTTTGGATGCGTTCACCTTTCTCTTTTTCTTTCCTAGTGTACATGTATATCGCTGTAGTCTTTGATATGGAAGTGCGGTAGTACGAATGCGTTCACCCTTGTTTTTATCCTTTGGAGTATATATATATATATAGTCAAATCGGGATCTTTAATAAGTGTTACAATTGCGCATTTCAGAAGTTCTTCTTGTCTAACTAAACATGTCTTGTCTGACAATGCCTAAACGACAATTAGGTAAAAAGGGTCCAAACGTATCGGCGATTGGCTTTGGAATGATGGGTTTATCTATTTGCTATGGAGCTGTTGCTTCGGATGAGGAACGATTCAAAATCTTGGATCGTGCTATCGAACTCGGTTGCACTTATTTCGATACTGCCGATGTCTACGGCGACAGCGAAGATTTATTAGGGAAGTATTTCAAAAAGTGTCCGCAACAGCGTCAAAAAGTCAGTATAGCTCGCACGTTGATCTTTGAATAAAGCCATAAACCTTTCACAATTAGGTATTTCTTGCAACCAAATTTGCCGGTGTAGTCTCTGCTGACTTAAAATCTTTCTCGGTTCGTGGCGATGCAGAATATGTCCATCAAGCGATTATCAAAAGTCTTGGACACCTTCAACTCGATTACGTTGATCTATACTACGTACATCGAATTGATCCAAAAGTTCCGATTGAAGAAACCATGAATGCTTTGAAGGAGCTTGTTCGTCAAGGAAAAATCAAATATATTGGCTTATCGGAATGTTCAAGTGATACGATTCGACGAGCTTATGCTATTCATCCGATTGCATGTGTTCAAATCGAATATTCGCCGTTTAGTTTAGACATCGAAAAGGATGAGATCGCTGTTCTGAAAACATGTCGAGAACTTGGTGTGGCTATTGTTTGTTATTCGCCTTTAGGTCGTGGAATGTTGACTGGACAAATAAAAAGTTCCGATGACTTTGAAGAGAACGATATTCGATGAATCTATCCACGCTTTTCCAAAGAAAACTTTCCGAAAAATCTCGACTTGGTCAAAAAATTGGCATCGATTGCTGCGAAGAAAGGTTGTACAACAGGGCAATTAACATTAGCATGGATTCTTGCGCAAGGTCCAGATTTTATTCCGATACCAGGCACAAGTAAAGTGAGAAATTTAGAAGAAAATGTCGGTGCGGCTCAAGTTAAGCTAACTACAGACGAAATCAACGAAATTCGAACAGCTTGCAATGCTGCTGATGTAGCTGGTGGACGTGCTCCTGAGCAATTCTCGCTGAATACATTCGGGGATTCAGCTCCAAAAAAAGAAGTGTCTAATTATCACGAATAAAACACTCATAATCGACTACACTTGAAAAATGAGTAGAATTGAGAGATGTCACTGATGTACGCACAGACACACCTGTCTGTACATTGATATGTTGTCTTAGAAGGCGAATTAAACTGAATCTTGTAGATTTAATTTCGAAATAACATGTCTAATATGGGCAGGTACCGTCTGTGTCTATTTTTATTCTCAGCAACAAATTTGCTTTTTATTGATTTCATAAACGAATCTAAATAAGCAACGAGATTGCGTATCGCTCGCGATTTTATCTTGAGGAAAAGAATCACTTCAAAATTTTACTGATGTCATCGAAATCTTCTCTAAGCCTTCATACGTTACCAGTTGAAATCGTCTATCGTATACTTGATCGTCTTGAACATCGTTCTATTTTTCTATCATTGGAAGGTGTTTGTCAAAGATTGAATACAGTTCTCAAGACTTATCAGCCATATCAAGTAAGTTGACACATTTCCAAAGGATATATTAACGAAGTTAAACAGAACTACTATCCTCATATCATAAAACCGTGTGTTTTTTTTATTCATCACAGAAAACGACGAATCTTTACTTCACTATCTACCATTCTATAAAGCAGGTAAAACAAATCGGCTATGCACTACAACACAATTCAGTAAGATCTGTTGACTTAATCACTCTCTTCGTATAAAATTTGTATCGTCGATGATTACAGACAATTACTAAGATAAATCTTGCGGTTGATATTCGCATTACCGACAGAGAATTGATATTTATCGCCAATGCATTGAAATACAACAAGGTATCTTTCGAAACATTCTATGTATAAACTTTTTCAATATAGACATTTTCTGTGGAAGATAAGATTTATTCGAATAGTTTTTGCATACAAAAAAAGAACACTATTCTTTCCTGTACCATTATATAGACACTTTGTTCATTGAAATACAACGGCTGTAGAAGATATGATGACATATTAGATCGTTCGCTTTCTATTGACAATTATGCATTAATCCGTCTGTCGAATGTATTACAACATAATACAGTAAGAGAAGTTCTCTATCTAGATGTGTGATTAAATAAAAAGACAGCGTTAAATCCAGACATTGGTTACACTCGATCTTCCAAGAAATCGTATTAATGATGAAGGAGCAAAATATTTAGCCGATGCCTTACAAGCTAACACTGTGAGAAGAACTCTATATATGCAAATCTTATCAGACAGTCGATACAATTGGATTTAGACTTTGGCTACACTTGACCTTTCATACAATTGTATTGGCGATGATGGAGCGAGATATCTATCCAATGCATTGCAACATAATACAGTTAAACTTAATTATTCAATGTATCTATAGCAATCTCTATCGTTTAACTTAGACACTTATTACGCTGGGTCTTTATAAGAATCATATACGTGACGAAGGAACTTTCCATTTATTCAGCGCTCTGCGTAAAAATACGGTAATACGATTATTTGTGTTCATTTTTTTATATATAGGGCAATTCTCAAACGCTTAGACTTTAATAACCTTGGTTCTTAGTTACGACAAGGATTGCGTTTGGATGGCACGACATATCTTGGGTATAATTGATCAGATGAGAGTATAATGGATTCTTTATGTTGATTATGTCTCATATTATCTATGGATTTATTCTTTAGACAGTTACTACATTGAATTTGAGTGGCTTCGAAATAGAATATACGGCATTGACTCGACTTTTAGCTGATGCCATGCAAGACAGTGTAATGAGAAAAATTTCTCAGTTCGATTTGGCAGATAGAAGCATATGTTGTACCTAGACACTTACCACAATGGATTTAAGTAGCTGTAAACTACGGGATTCTGATGCTCGGCTCTTAGCTAATGTCGTCAAGGAAAGCTCTGTAGGAGAACGAGTCTTTAATCAAAGAATTCTATTTAAGACGTCTAATCCGATAGACACTTATTACATTAAATCTTCGTAGCAATCATATCGGTGATGATGGCGAATATTATTTATTGAATGCATTATCACATAATACAGTAAAAGAGCGACATTGTATATTTAGACACATCTTTCTCCGATAATTTTCTTCCATTGAATACAGACAGTACTGGAATTGTGCATTGACAATAACAGAAATCTTGTTGATGTAGCACGAAACTTACCTGTGCTTAGAGATCAAATGAATGTGAGTGATCATTAGCCCGTCTCATGTACATTCGCATTTGTTCAATAAAGACGTACACAAGCTTAGACCTTAGTCACAATCAAACCTCGAATGCAGAGATACACCTTATACTTGATGCTTTACAAAATAGTACCGTAAGCGAGTAATTCTTGTATACGTCAACAAAATATACATTTCAATAGACACTAAAGAGTCTTGATCTCAGCTACAATAAGATTGATGATACACATGTACAGCATCTATGTGACGCATTGGAAACAAATCAAGTAAGACCCGTTGTTAACTTGTTTGGCTTTACTTTACATAATTCAGATACTGACGCAATTAAATCTTGAATGCAACAATATTTCTTCCGAAGGAATAATACGTATTTGGAAAACTTTACAGATAAATACGGTAAATAACATTCGATATTTATACGTTATATATACCTTTACTATTCCTTGTAGAAGCTCTCAATACTCTATTTGAGATGTTGCTCAAACAACAATGAAGCAGTTAATAGTTTAACGCAAGCTGTTTATAAATGTCCGGTATAGCACGTTTTCTGATTAATGGACTATCTCTCAGATTATACATTCAGCCTTTTACAACAGTGAATTTTGAAAACAACACTTTTCACAATCTGGCTGCACGATCTCTTGCTGGTGCCCTAAAGCGTTATGATTCAGTAAATGGAATTTTTATTCGATAATTGTCAGTAGAACTGCGCTTTTCCATTCAGAGAATTTCAGTGTTAAATTTTCAAAATACCCACCTTAATGATAGGCAAATGGAATGGTTTAGTTGTGAATTGAGTACCGATCGCGTAACATCAGCTGATTTCTGTTACGGAATACATTTGAATAGATTCATTTAGACAATTGTCAACATCAACCTACGAAACAATTCTCTTACAGACAAATGTGTCGAGCGCTTAGTCTACGGATTGAGATACAATACTGTAAAATGAAACCTATGATATAATTGTCTATTGTACGAAAATTTAGACACTAGTTCAGCTGAATTTGGACGGAAATCATATATCGGAGAAAGCTGCAAAGCGTATAGCAGAAGCTTTAGGTCAAATCACAGTATGAATATAGTGAAGTGTCATCACTTTGAGTTCTGTACGTTTATTCAATTCTAGCCTATTGTGGGACTGAATTTTGAGAAAACGGCTAACGATAATCAAGCGCTGTCAGAAGTATGAGTAAATTTCAATCGTTCTTGAATAATTTATTCACTTTAGATGTTGCACACATTGACTCTTGCAGATGAACAAATTTGCGTTAGACCAACGAAACAACTAATCAGCGCACTTGGGAAAAATACAGTAAGATCATGTGTTATGTACAGAACCAAATAATCTGATTCAAATAATACAGGCTTTGACGATGGCAAAATTAACAAAAGATTCACTCAAAGATCAGAAGAAGCGAATTTTTGTTGACATATTGATAAATCTTCAGGTTCGCTTTGTTCACTCAACATATTATGCTCTACATATGATGTTAAATAGGCATTAACGACAATCAATTTTCAACGTAATAGAATTGGTGCTAAAGTTACAGAACGTTTAGCGTTCGCTTTACGCACAAATACGGTATGAGTAATAATCGAGCTGTGCAAGTATAAACATGATTTAACATAGACAATAATAACACTCGAACTCGGTTGGAATAGGATCGATGATGATGGAGCTAATTCTTTGGCTAGAGCTTTATCGATCAATAAAGTAAATCCTGCATCTTTTCATGATATATGTATGGATTATTCGTTGCAGACACTTGTAACGTTAAACTTGCAAAACAATAACATTGGCTTACAAGGTGTTCAGTGTTTTCTCGAAACATTGAAGACGAGCCAAGTTAATATACAGTCTGTTATGTTTGTCTTGATTGATTTCTGTCTTTTGATACAGGTACTCAAAATGTTAAATCTTGAAGATAACATACTTTCGCTCGAAATAAAACAACACATTCTCAACCAAATCACCTCGGACGATATCTCAAGAATCAAACTTGAATGATAAGATGTATTTAATCGTGTCGAAATTATTCTATATCATAATAAACGAGAGAACCAGAAAGAAAAGTGAAAATATACGAGAGCAGCGTGGCGCAGTGGAAGCGTGCTGGGCTCATAACTCAGAGGTCGGTAGATCGAAACTACTCGCTNGAGAATAACAAATACATTTTTCAATTGAATGAATTCATACAAAAGAGAAACTCGCGAAGATATCTTTCGATTAAAATGGTAATGAATGCGATGAATAAATTTCTATAGTGGTACTCGTGTCGAGCATAACGACATAATTCATAAAATCAAATGCAATAATGAGTAACGAACAGCACAGCATCTGGCCAGAAACAAGTCGTCCTTCTCAGTAAGCTGTCTGTTCTTTTTCTATGTCTACAGAGAAATTTAATGAAATATTCGTAGCACACGTCGTATCACTCCCGTCTGCTTGGGCTTGATTCTTGGAGCACTACTTTCCGGGATTATTTTTGCAACATTTCTCACCTTGTATTTACGTAAGACAGTCACAACAATCGAAACTTCAACACATTTTACAAATACTACTACTGCCTCAGCAACAACAGCAACTACTACTATCGGTTAGTTACATTCTGTCTTTGATGATATGTTAAATGTATCTTTGTATGTTTAGCAATATTCAACATTAATTTGATTACCAATGGCGACGGTGAAACGGGCGTCTGTTCACTAGCAAATGAAACGGCCAGTCCGCCGGGATGGAATGTCAGCGGTCCCATCTCACAAATATATTATAACAACACTTTTTTTGGCGATCAGAGCTCGACAATGATACCGCAGAATGAACGTGGTCTTTGCTATATTATGGGTTATCAATCCGCGATGACCTCCATGTGGCAAACTATTAACTTAACTAATCAAGTGGACTCTGGTCTTCTCGACAGTCAAACAGTGAAATTTAATCTATCAGCATGGCTCGGTGGCATCAACGTTCAGAACGATAGTGCTGTGATCGATTTAACATTTCTTGATCAAAACAATCAAATGGTTGGTAGCATCGCTCGCATTGGACCTGTACTTGCTGCTGATCGAGGAAATGTCTCTTTGTTTATTCCGAAACAAACATCAGGATTCGTACCCTCCGGTGCTCGATCAGCGACAGTTCTGGTGAACATAACACGATATACTGGAACGAACAATAATGGTGATATTGATAATATGAACTTTTATTTGTATCAATAAACGTTTTAAAAATAGTTCGTCAATAACATTTAACTGAGAGCAATTAATGCTTTTCGAGCGTTTGATCATGTATTTAGTTGTTGAATAAACTACTTATCTACCATTATGACTACTTAGGCTCGATGAAATTGAAAAAAGCTTTTTCTCTTTGGAGACGAAAGTTCTTTATTCTATAGATGATAATGCAATCACTCCAGCACTTGATATCACATGACGATCACATTTCTATACGTCCAATAAGAAAAAATCATTTGCTTTATTGTTTCATCAACTTCAAACGATGTAAAAAACAGCGTCTTGGTTTCTCTTCACATATAAAATAGTACATCTTCTATTCAGTTAGTAAAGTTTCTCACTCGTTTCTGTTTTTCTAGAATGCTTTCATGGTTGTTTGCCAGCTTTCTCACACCAAGTGTGTATTCGGTATCCGTTCAACTGATACCTAAAATATTTACTGTGCATACCTCGCTGTATTCAAGCACAGGAAATGGCACACGAGAAACGTGCATCTGTACAATGTTAAAATCGTCGACTATAACGGTATTCAATTGTTTCGACAATCACACTTGCCAGTTCTATACAAATGCAACTGTCAAGGATACGTACTTTTCATGGGTTTTTCACTCCAATAGCTAATTTTATTATCTCTCATCAACAAGCAAAGTAGAATCTACTACACAGAGTATACCGACAACTACGTTCAATTGTACATCAGGTAATTATAGTTTTATATATGGAGTCAAAATGTTCAATTTATGTTTAGTGAGTCTAAGTCTTACGAGTGTTACCGTATTTGAATATGCAAATGGTCCGGCGGGTAGTTCACTGTTTGAGTTGAATTTTCCTTGGTGTATTACAATAGATAGTGATAAGTCTATGTTAATCACCGACATGAACAGCATCCGAGTATTGCGTGTGTATCCAAATCAAACTAGCGGTGTAGTAGTTGCTTCATCTGGTACTTGGTTGCAACCTCGACGAGCTGTGTATGATAAAAATCTTGTCGATTTGTTTGTGATCGATGGTCACTTTTGTCTGATGACACAGTATCACAATGGGTCACTAACACCCAGCACACTTTTTGGTAGCACCTGTGGAGCAAGTACGACACAATTTGAAAGTGCTGCTTCGTTTTGTATGGATTTAAGTGACAACTTTTACATTGTTGACAATTTTAATCATCGTATCATGCCCTGGAATGCTACGTCAGTTGTAGGTATACTATTGGCTGGTGAGACTGGTGTGTCAGGTAATGATAGTCTTCATCTTTTTAATCCTCAAGACATTACATTGGACGAAGACAATGGATTCTACTATGTTACCGACACATTCAACCATCGAATACTTCGATATTTGCTTGGTTCAGCTGTGAGCACAGTTGTAACTGATGGAAATGGAGCTGGCATCGGAGCGAAGTAAGATCTTTCTGCGCGATATGAATATGCTATTTAGTTTTTCGATTGATTATAGTCAATTAAATGAACCGTGTGGAATTTATCTTTCGAAGAATACTAGTACATTCTATATCGCCGATGCAGCAAACAATCGCATTGTACGTTGGTGTCTTGGCCAATCAGCCGGAATGACGATTGCAGGTGAATAACAAATTGTTATATATCAGTTCATTTACATTGCTCTTCTCTTCATATAGGCGACTGTAATGGTATGGCTGATACCGCCTCATCTCTTTTGAACGCTCCGCTCACTCTTACTATGGATAGTAGTGAATAGTATCTCTATGTCAGTGACTCAGGAAACAATCGAATTCAAATGATTGTACTACCTCGATCAGCGAATTCATTTATTTCAAAATAAGCATTTGATAAAAGAAAGAATTAGTTCGTATTCGTTTTTTTATAGTCATTTTATTGTTGTGGTGGCTTCGGAGGATGAATACCGAGAGATTCAAGACTAATTGGCTCGAGTCCAAGAGATTTTAGCGCATTTTTCTCTTGCATTTTGTTCTTTACTTCTTCATACTAAAACAAGACGAAAATGTTTGTATCTACTCTCAGTAAAAACATTCCGAACGCACTTTGTCATCCACTTCAAACAGGCTCGCCCGAGACGAGTCGTTGAAAAAACTCTGATAAGACTCTTTATGCTTCATTTCATGCTGTTTACGTTGTTGCTCACATTGCTCGATTTGTTGTTCAGCAGCAACATTCGACGGATTGATTTTGATGACTGCTTCGAAATCTTTCTTTGCTTGCTCGAAATTCCTGAATGTTAAATGGCATTGACCGCGACGAANTGATCGAATGATTACTCCAAAGGCCTACGTCAATATCTTTATTGATCAAACTTTGGTAAATGTCATTTAATGTTTTCACTTCGTAATAATCTTTTTTCCCATGTGAAATCGTATTCAGATAGTAATATTCGATGGAAGAACCACTTACAATTCCAATTCGATTCGGTGCGACTTTACCATTTTTAATATCGTCGATTCCTGACACAATAGTAGTCGAGTTATTTGCTATTATAAACGATAATATAGTAGCTGTATACAATGAAAATAGAACAACTTGGATAACGTGCAAACCATATATAAGAACTTGTTCAGCACTTGATCTATTCTCTCCATTTCGATCTCTTCCGAGCATAGCACATAATACATAATGAATACGTTCGAATATTCCATGCCTAATAACATCACGGTTCCGTCCTTTGGGACGTGTCCTTCCAAGGAACCATAATAAAATTGCGGTAAATATTATCGTAGCTGCGATAACTGCCCATAATTCCCATGAAAATGGCGCCAAAAAGAAGAACAGATCAAAATCATTAGATTGGGATTTTCGTATAACAACGCGAATGGCACTCGGCATCAGGGCGATAGATAAATCAACCAATGCAGTTCGTCGAGAAGTTATAGTGATTGTCGTCATTACAGTGTCGAATAGATCGTTTGCTACCCCTTCTACCAACTGATCATATTGTACTGTCGGTTTAGCCAACATGACAACCGGAACAAAGCCCATTTTATCTTGTAAATAAACCAGTATATCTTTATAAAATCCATCGAATTCGCTCAGTTCAATCTTCTTGTAATTGCCTGTCATTCCACTGTACGAAATAGCGGGATTTTTCAGTATTATAAATGGCGTAGCTTCAATAACTGCCATACGTAATCGTGTTCCTAAAATGTAGCAAAATAGTTGTTCAACATGGACTATAATATTAACAATGACTTACCTCTGATCAGTTTATAATCTGCTGGAGCCTTTGTTATTTGACTTGGCCAAACAATGTCGTCAGATTCGTTTCTGTACTGTGCCCACTGAGATGATTCAGTATCCCATTTCAAAACTGGCTTATGATCAATAGTTTTGTTTTGTACATCGATGGACTGAATATTTCGAACAACATAATATTGATGACCAACACGATCCGTTGTGCTGTTAGAAAATCTAATTTCACCCGATACACCTAAAAACGATGTGGACCGCATCAAATGATAATAGATTTCAGAACGGGAAAACTGCCGGTAATAACAATTTGAAGCATTATTAATCTGTAAACACGATTGTTCAGTGGTACAAAGTTTCTGCAAGGCTAACAGAAAGCTCCATGTTGCATCAAAGGTGAATAATGCAAAGTCACTAACATTACCATTTCCTGGAAATGTTTCAGGTTGATAATGTTTCCATATGTCATACGCTTGATTCAGTAACGTTGTATTGATTGGCTGTTCTATCGCATCCGCGCGCATAGGTTCGATCGTAAGAATTCCAATTAACTTTTGTCTTTCTCGTAGCGTGAAACTAGTCAATGGCATATTCGTCGTCAATATCCAAACAAAATCTGATCCCAGTAAATCTTCCTCCATAGCTTGCTTTAATACCATCGTTGTTAACTGTTCATTGGCCCAGAGAACAACAATACGCGAATAACTCGCTTTTAATATTTGTACCCAATCGATTTGATAATCGGTTACATTCATGCCGAGTCGAATTGTCTCTCGAGTTCTGATATCCGCTTCACTGAATTGCTGTTTTAGTGACTCCATTCCATCATTACCAAACTCATCATTTTGATGCATAATGATCGATGATTTCCACTTGTACCGTTCGAATAATAATGTTATGCCCAGTGCAGTGTTTTCATCTGATGGGACTACACGAAAGAAAGCTTGACTATCAATGGTCGATAGTTGCGGGCTCGTCGCCGAGTATGAAATACTGATTATTCCCAATCGGTGTGCAAATGACGAAAGATATCGTGCTTCTCTCGAATATGCTGGACCAACAAATCCGATGATATTCGATGCGGACACTTTATTACATGTACCATCAATTGTCAACATAATATCTTCGCCTGTGACGATCTCTTCATAACCAATCAGTTCGCCTTGGTACATCATATTGTATTGATGCGATAGAAGAATAGCTGCACGAAACATGGACATACAATGAATGATCCAGGTTTCATTGTAAGTTTTATTGTTCGATTGTTGAGGGAAGAAACCGAGTAGTTTCGTATTCGATGTGCTAACTGGCCAGTTTGACTCGGATGTTGCTTGTATCCTTACTTTGTATAGAACACCAAGTAACAGCAGTAGCAAACGAAATACTGTTTGTTGCACAGTGAACATAGACGACTATGTTACCTGATTTTTGTGTTGAATATACAAATCAATACATGAAACACTGTTTATATACGTATGTGTAAAAGGAAGTGGCTTTCAAAACACAAGCAATAACAAAGAACGCAAACATGACACATGCTACATCAATCGTATAAATCGTCGTTATCACGATGTACATTTGTATTAACTTTTAATTCTAGATTGAATTTATACCATTTACAAAAAGTCATTCCCAGAAAAATAAGTGTAACTGATATCTAGTCAAATTCCATATACTAACATGAAAGTCATGATACTATGTCTGCGCGAGTCATTTGACACGAACTAAATCGCTCCTGACTTTTAAGTGGGAAAAAAACAACGCTTGACTTACTTTATATCACCTCCAACACGTTGTCGATTAACATTCTCACTCGAATAAATATCGTTATTCATCACTACCTATTTAAAGAATGTCCTACGATGAAAAAGCTCAACACTACTAGGATAGCGAATATGTTTTCGTGACTATTAACCAGCACAAGCATTTATGGAAGCTAATATAACGGCAATAAAGACGTTGACTGCATCATCTGCGTATAGTCCAACTACTCTATATGGATTTGTGTTATACTGAGGTGAGTAAAGTTTTAAACCAAGAAGGAAAAAGATGGCAGCAATTGCAGAAAAACCCGGAATGCGTTTCTCATCCCAGCCTATTGATAGATTATCCACAAGTTAGTGACCAACAAAATAGCAGAACTAACGATGAAGAGTACTTTTCCGAGTGTAAATGCAAGTCTGGGAAAAAATAAGATCGCACAGGTGAGATCGAATGCAACAGCAATGACCAAGAAGATATCAGTGATTATAACTTCAGATCGTATGATTCCTTCAACAACTGTATAATCTGGATATACAAAAGCTTCGATACTTATTATAGAGGAATACACCGACTTGATCTTCGAAAATTCTTGTCAATTCTAGAATCAATCGAAAGGAGGTACCAGTGACGAACAACGCTGCACCTGTTCGTAATGCATTGAGTTTGTCGACGGAATTCTTGAAATACAGCGAAGATCCCGCACTGTATAGAGCAGCTTGAAGCAAAAGCGAAACAGCACGAAGTATACGGTAAAATATACCGCTTCGTCGACCGCGGATAACATTTTTGTCAACATATTTATCACCATGGGTGTTTCCTGGATCAGTGATGGGAGCTTGATTTTGATCTATATACTTGCTTACACCGTTTACCCTTAGCTCTATGTATAACACAGAGCGATATTCGATTTTATAGTCGGATGAAAGCAGTATATTTCAAATAATTCATAGTGAAACAATACAATAAACAGAATCAGATTTGCTAATATTAAATAGCAATCAAGACGGTTGAATAACAAAAGACTTTGCACCTTGTCTCGGTTTTTGTTACTCCTTAATTTCACATCTTTGTATGCGACGATCATTGCCGAAAGTCAAGGCAAACGGTAATAAATGGTATAATCAAAGCAAAACAAGTGTAGGCCATTGATCTGCACCGCCGTATTGTGATGTTGATTGATTCGTTAACAAAATAAATAAGACTTTTGTATTTGTTTATTTGATTGATTCGTGCTTCACACACGTATAGAAAGCGAAACACATATATAAGCATCATCAGCCAATTATATATGATCCGAACGAATATTGTTCGAAAGAAGCTTATGCATATTCGCTCCTGATGATGCAGGCAGCTATTGTAGATAATATACTGACAAGGAATATGGTTGTTTTTCTTTCTTTCTTATTGTGACATGATATCAAAAAAACAGAAAAATAATCTTTCTTTGTTCTGACTCATAGTTTGAATGCGTTCATCCTTGTTTTTATCCTTTGGAGTATATATATAGTCAAATTAGGATCTCTAATAAGTGTTACAATTGCACATTTCGAAAGTTCTTCTTGTCTGACAATGCCTAAACGACAATTAGGTAAAAATGGTCCAAACGTATCGGCGATTGGCCTTGGAATGATGGGCTTATCTATTTGCTATGGAGCTGTTGCTTCGGACGAGGAACGATTCAAGATCTTGGATCGTGCTATCGAACTCGGTTGCACTTATTTCGATACTACCGATGTCTACGGCGACAGCGAAGATTTATTAGGGAAGTATTTCAAAAAATATCCGCAACAGCGTCAAAAAAGTCAGTATAGCTCGCACGTTGATCTTTGAATAAAGTCATGAACCTTTCACAATTAGGTATTTCTTGCAATCAAATTTGCCGGTGTAGTCTCTGCTGACTTAAAATCTTTTTCGTTTCGTGGCGATGCAGAATATGTTCATCACGCGATTATCAAAAGTCTTGGACATCTTCAACTCGATTACGTTGCTCTATACTACGTACATCGAATTGATCCAAAAGTTCCGATGACTTTGAAGAGAACAATATTCGAAGAATCTATCCGCGCTTTTCCAAAGAAGAACTAGATCTAACTGTGTAGCGATGTGTCTAATTATCACGAATAAAACACGCATTATCGACTACGCTTGAAAAATGAGTAGAATTGAGAGATGTCACTGATGTACGCACAGACACACCTGTCTGTCCATTGATATGTTGTCTTAGAAAGAGAATTAAACTGAATCTTGTAGATTTAATTTCGAAATAACATGTTTGATATGGACAGGTACCGTCGGTGTCTATTTTTATGCTCAGGAACAAATTTGCTTTTTATTGGTTTCATAAACGAATCTAAGACCCCTTTCACACCAGAAAAGTTAATGCCGAATTAACCAATACAATTCGCGTTGCTATGTAAAAGGGTCAATCATGTTTCTTAATTCAACATTATTTTTTCGATGTGATTGACCCCTAAATCAGCAATGAGATTGTGTGTCGCTCGCGAGTTTATCTTGAGGAAAAGAATCACTTCGAAATTTTACTGATGTCATCGAAATCTTCTCTAAGTCTTCATACGTTACCAGTTGAAATTGTCTATCGTATACTCGATCGTCTTGAACATCGTTCTATTTTTCTATCATTGGAAGGTGTTTGTCAAAGATTGAATATAGTTCTCAAAACTTATCAGCCATATCAAGTAAGTTGACACATTTCCAAAGGATATATTTACGAAGTTAAACAGAACTACTATCCTCATATCATAAAACCATGTGTTTTCTTTATTATTCATCACAGAAAACGATGAATCTTTGCTTCACTATCTACCATCCTATAAAGCAGGTACAACAAATCGGCTATGCACTAAGACACAATTCAGTAAGATCTATTGTCTGAATCACTCTCTTCGCATAACATTTCTATCCTCGATGATTACAGACAATTACTGCGATACATCTTGAGGTTGATATGTGCATTACCGACAGAGAATTGATATTTATCGCCAATGCATTGAAATACAACAAGGTATCTATCGAAACATTCTATCTACAAACTTTTTCAATATAGACATTTTCTGTGGAAGATAAGATTTAGTCGAATAGTTTTCGCATACAAAAAAGAACACTATTTTTGTGCCCATTATATAGACACTTTGTTCATTGAAATACAACGGCTGTAGAAGATATAATCACATATTAGATCATTCTATTGACAATTATGCAGTGATCCGTCTGGCGAACGTATTACAACATAATACAGTAAGAGAAATTCTCTATCTAGATGTGTAATTAAATAAAAAGACGCCGTTAAATTCAGACATTGGTTACACTTGATCTTCCAAGAAATCATATTAATGATGAAGGAGCAAAATATTTAGCCGATGCCTTACAAGCTAATATTGTGAGAAGAACTCTGTATATGCAAATCTTATCAGACAGTCGATACAATTGGATTTAGACTTTGGCTACACTTGACCTTTCATACAATTGTATTGGCGATGATGGAGCGAGATATCTATCCAATGCATTACAACATAATACAGTTAAACTTAATTATTCAATGTATCTATAGCAATCTCTATCGTTTAACTTAGACGCTTATTACGCTGGGTCTGTATGAGAATCGTATACGTGACGAAGGAACTTTCCATTTATTCAGCGCTCTGCGTAAAAATACGGTGACAAGATTATTTGTGTTCTTTTTTGACATACAGAACAATTTTCGAATGCTTAGACTTTAACTACCTTGATTCTTAGTTATGAGAACGATTGTCTTTGGATGGCACGACATATCTTGGGTATAGTTGATCAGATGAAAGTATAAAGGGTTCTTTATGTTGATTATGTCTCATATTATCTATAAATTTATTCTTTAGACAGTTACTACATTGAATTTGAGTGGCTTCAAAATAGAATATACGGCATTGACTCGACTTTTAGCTGATGCTATGAAAGACAGTGTAATAAGAAAAATTTCTTAGTTCGATTTGGCCGATAGAAGTATGTGTTTTACCTAGACACTAACTACAATGGATTTAAGTAGCTGTAAACTACGGAATTCTGATGCTCGGCTCTTAGCTGATGTCGTGAAGGAAAGCTTTGTAAGAGAACGAGTCTTTAATCAAAGATTTCTATTTAAGACGTCTAATCCGATAGACACTTATTACTTTAAATCTTCGTGGCAATCATATCGGCGACGATGGCGAATATTATTTATTGAATGCATTATCACATAATACAGTAAAAGAGCTACATTGTATATTTAGGCACATCTTCCTCCGATAATTTTCTTCCATTGAATACAGACATTACTGGAATTGTACATTGACGATAACAGAAATCTTGTTGATGTAGCACGAAACTTACCTATGCTTAGACATCAAATTAATGTGAGTGATCATTAGCCCATCTCTTGTACATTCGTATTTGTTCAATAAAGACATGCACAAGCTTAGATCTTAGTCACAATCAAATCACGAATGCAGAGATACACCTTATACTTGATGCTTTACAAAACAGTACCGTAAGCGAGTAATTCTTGCATACGTCAACAAAATATACATTTAAATCCGCTTTTAACAGACACTAAAGAGTCTTGATCTCAGCTACAATAAGATTGATGATACACATGTACAGCATCTATGTGACGCATTGGAAACAAATCAAGTAAGATCCGTTGTTAACTTGTTTGGCTTTACTTTACATAATTCAGATACTGACGCAATTAAATCTTGAATGCAACCATATTTCTTCCGAAGGAATAATATGTATTTGGAAAATTTTACGGATAAATACGGTAAATAACATTCGATATTTACACGTTATATATACCTTTACTATTCCTTGTAGAAACTCTCAATACTCTATTTGAGATGTCACTCAAACAATAATGAAGCAGTTAATAGTTTAACGTATGCTGTTTATAACTGTCCGGTATAGCACGTTTTCTGATTAATGGACTATCTCTCAGATTATACATTCAGCCTTTTACAACAGTGAATTTTGAAAACAACACTTTTCACAATCTGGCTGCACGATCTCTTGCTGGTGCCCTAATGCATTATGATTCAGTAAACGGAATTTTTATTCGACAATTGTCAGAAGAACTGCGCTTTTCCATTCAGAGAATTTCAGTGTTAAATTTTCAAAATACTCACCTTAATGATAGGCAAATGGAATGGTTTAGTTGTGAATTGAGTACCGATCGCGTAACATCAGCTGATTTCTGTTACGGAATACATTCGAATAGATTCATTTAGACAATCGTCAACATCAACCTACGAAACAATTCTCTTACAGACAAATGTGTCGAGCGCTTAGTCTACGGATTGAGATGCAATACTGTAAAATGAAACCTACGATATAATTGTCTATTTTACGAAAATTTAGACACTAGTTCAGCTGAATTTGGACGGAAATCATATATCGGAGAAAGCTGCAAAGCGTATAGCAGAAGCTTTAGGTCAAATCACAGTATGAGTATAGCGAAGTGTCGTCGCTTAGAGTTCTGTGCGTTTATTCAATTCTAGCCTATTGTGGGACTGAATTTTGAGAAAACGGCTAACGATAATCAAGCGCTGTCAGAGGTACGAGCAAATTTCAATCGTTCTTGAATAATTTATTCGCTTTAGATGTTGAGTACATTGAGTCTTGGAGATGAACAAATTTGCGTTCGACCAACGAAACAACTAATCAACGCGCTTGGGAAAAACACAGTAAGATCATGTGTTATGTACAGAACCGAATGACCTCATTCAAATAATACAGGCTTTAACGATGGCAAAATTAACAAAAGATTCACTCAAAGATCAGAAGAAGCGAATTTTTGCTGACAGATTGATAAATCTTCAGGTTTGCTCTGTTCAATCAACATATCATGCCCTACATATGATATTAAATAGGCATTAACGACAATGAATTTTCAGCGTAATAGAATTGGTGCTAAACTTACAAAGCGTTTAGCGTTCGCTTTACGCACAAATACAGTATGAGTAATAATCGAGCTGTGCAAATATAAACACGATTTAACATAGACAATAATAACACTCGAACTCGGTTGGAATAGGATCGATAATGATGGAGCTGATTCTTTGGCTAGAGCTTTATCGATCAATAAAGTAAATCCTGTATCTTTTCATGATATATGTATGGATTATTCGTTGCAGACACTTGTAACGTTAAACTTGCAAAACAATAACATTGGCTTACAAGGTGTTCAGTGTTTTCTCGACACATTGAAGACGAACCAAGTTAATATACAGTCTGTTATGTTTGTCTTGATTGATTTCTGTCTTTTGATATAGGTACTCAAAATGTTAAATTTTGAAGGTAACATACTTACGCCCGAAAGAAAACAACACATTCTCGACCAAATCACCTCGGACGATATCTCAAGAATCAAACTTGAATGATATGATGTATTTAATCGTATCGAAATTATTCTATATCATAATAAACGAGAGAACCAGAAAGAAAAGTGAAAATATACGAGAGCAGCGTGGCGCAGTGGAAGCGTGCTGGGCTCATAACTCAGAGGTCGGTAGATCGAAACTACTCGCTGCTATTCTCTTTTTTCTTTATTCATCTTTCATCGATAAAAAGTTGATTGAAGACGCTCGACGAGGAAAACTTGAAGTCAATGCAGAAAATTCCGTAGTCAATTTTTGTTAAACGATACCGTTTTGCTATCGAATGCACGAAGTATATAAAACATTCAATGATGGTTTGACCATCAGTAAATCAAAAACAGTGTTTGAATATATAAATGAATAAAAACGACTTGCACACCAAACCACTTCCATTTAGTAATCAAACAGTTGGGAGAATGTTGGCAAGGTTGATGATGGTATTCTTTTTTGTTTTGCAACGTTGTTGACAGTTGATCTGACTGTATATAGATTCACTGTATTCATTTCGTTAAATAATATTTCTCCAATATTAAAGATCGTTTCGGTACCAACGCAACATGTTCGTGCCTGTCAATGCTATGCATACCGTTGGTGTATCACAGCGGGTTTTAATCAAAAGAATCAAACGTGTATTCTTCATTATGCACTACTCGAACAAGGAAACTGGAAACTGATACCCGACAATTGCAGCAGTGTGCTTACTTTTAAAAATCGAACTACTGATCTAAGTGAGCTAATGAATCGTTTTCTATGCAATGCTACTCTTTTCAAATCTTTTACGTAGTACCTACAGAGAATGTGTTAATCAACAGTGATGCGGAAAGTGGTCCATGTGCAACAGATGATAGTGTTGTGAGCCCACATGGATGGAACAATAACTCATCAATAATACAGATACATTTTAATATTTCGAATCCTGATGGTATAACACCCGCTTCACCGGGGCCAAGGTAAAGCAAATAAATTTGAGTAATCTTTGTTTTATCTTTTCTCTGATGTAGAGATCGTGGTCGATGTTATTTCTATGGACAAATAACTGCGCCGACCACCATGTAGCAAATGGGCAACATTATGGATTATGTCGATCCGGGTCTTATTGATAATTAAGCGATAAGGCTTAATGTTGCGGCTTGGGTTGGCAGCTATAAAACTCAAGGTGATAATGCTCGAATATCACTAACGTTCTTTGATCGAGCTAATCAAACAATAACTGGCGTCGATGACGGTTATGACAACGGATGTATCAATAATATAGTTCTTGCTTTCCACCTATAAGTACCTTTTTTATTGGTGTTCCACATAACTTTATGGTCATGTGATTGCTCTCTCAAGAGAATAACAAATACATTTTTCAATTGAATGAATTCATACAAAAGAGAAACTCGCGAAGATATCTTTCGATTAAAATGGTAATGAATGCGATGAATAAATTTCTATAGTGGTACTCGTGTCGAGCATAACGACATAATTCATAAAATCAAATGCAACAATGAGTAACGAACAGCACAGCATCTGGCCAGAAACAAGTCGTTCTTCTCAGTAAATTGTCTGATGTTTTTCTATATTCACAGAGAAATTTAATGAAATATTCATAGCACTCGTCGTACCACTCCCGTCTGCTTGGGCCTGATTCTTGGAGCATTACTTTCCGGAATTACTTTTGCAACATTTCTCACCTTGTATTTACGTAAGGCAGTCCCAATAATCGAAACTTCAACACATTTTACAAATACTTCTACTGCCGCAACAACAACAGCAACTACTACTATCGGTTAGTCACGTTCTGTCTTTGATGATATGCCAAATGCATCGTTGTATGTTTAGCAATATTCAACGTTAATTTGATTACCAATGGCAATGGTGAAACCGGCACCTGTTCACTCGCCAATGAAACGGCCAGTCCGCCGGGATGGAATGTCAGCGGTCCTATCTCACAAATATATTATAACAACACTTTTTTTGGCGACCAGAGCTCGACAATTATACCGCAGAATGAACGTGGTCTTTGCTATATTATGGGTTATCAATCCGCGATGACATCCATGTGGCAAACTATTAATTTAACTAATCAAGTGGACTCTGGTCTTCTTGACAGTCAAACAGTGAAATTTAATCTATCAGCATGGCTTGGTGGTATCACTGTTCAGAACGATAGTGCTGTGATCGATTTAACGTTTCTTGATCAAAATAACCAAATGGTTGGTAGCATCGCTCGCATTGGACCTGTACTTGCTGCTGATCGAGGAAATATATCTTCGTTTATCCCGAAACAAACATCAGGATTCGTACCCTCCGGTGCTCGATCAGCGACAGTTCTGGTGAACATAACGCGATATACTGGAACGAACAATAATGGTGATGTTGATAATATGAACTTTTATTTGTATCAATAAACGTTTTAAAAAATAGTTCGTCAATAACATTTAACTGAGAGCAAGCAATGCTTTTCGAGCGTTTGATCTTGTATTTAGTTGTTGAATAAACTACTTGTCTACCATTATGACTATGCAGGCTCGATGAAATTGAAAAAAGCCGTTTCTCTGTGGAGATGAGAGTTCTTTATTTTGACGATCACATTTCTATACATCGAATAAGAAAAAACCATTTGTTGTACTGTTTCATCTACTTCAAACGATGTAAAAAACAGCGCCTTGGTTTCTCTTCACATATAAAATAGTACATATTCTATTCAGTTAGTAAATTCTCTCACTCGTTTCTGTTTTTCCAGAATGTTTTGATGGTTGTTTGTCAGCTTTCTTATGCGTATTTAATTCAAATAGACAAATTGATTATATCTCATCAACAACCAAAGTAGAAAATACTACGCAGAGTATGCAGACAATTACGTTCAATTGTACATCAGGTAATTATAGTTTTATATATGGAGTCAAAATGTTTAATTTGTGTTTCGTGAGTCTAAATCTTACGGGTGTTACCGTATTTGGATATGCAAATGGTTCAGCGGGTAGTTCACTGTCTGAGTTGGATTTTCCTTCATGTATTACAATAAATAGCGATAAGTCCATGTTAATTACCGACATGAACAACATCCCAGTGTTGCGTGTGTAATGATAAAAACTTGTCGATTTGTTTGTAATCGATAGTGACTTTTGTCTGATGACACGGTATCATAATGGCTCACTAATACCCACCACACTTTTTGGTAGTACCTGTGGAGCAAGTACGACACAATTTGAAGGTGCTGCTTCTTTTTGTATCGATTCAAGCGGCAACTTTTACATTGTTGACAATTTTAATAATCGTGTCATGTTCTGAAATGCTACATCACTTGTAGGCACACTATTGGTTGGTGAGACCCGTTTGTCAGGTAATGACAGTCTTCATCTTTTTAATCCTCAGGACATTACATTGAACGAAGACAATGGATTCGATTATGTTGCCGACACATTCAACCACCGAATACTTCGATATTCGTTTGGGTCACCCATGACCACAGATGTAGCTGGGGGAAATGGAGCTGGCATAGGAGCGAAGTAAGATCTTTCTGCGCGATATGAATATGCTATTCAGTTTTTCGATTGATTACACTCAATTGAATGAGCCGTATGGTATTTATGTTTCGAAAAATACTAGTACATTCTATATCGCCGATACAGTAAACAATCGCATTGTACGTTGGCGTCTTGGCCAATCAACCGGAATGACAATTGAGGGTGAATAACAAATCGTTATATATCAGCTCATTTACATTGTTCTGCTCTTCCTATAGGCGACTGTAATGGTATGGTTGGTACTGCCTCATCTCTGTTGAACGTCCCTCTCACTCTTACTATGGATAGTATCTGTATGTCAGTGATTCAGGAAACAATCGAATACAAATGATTGTACTACTTTGATCAGCGAATTCGTTTATTTCGAAATAATCATTTGATAAAAGAAAGAATTAGTTCGTATTCGTTTGTTTATAGTCATTTTATCGTTGTGGTGGCTTCGGAGGATGAATACCGAGAGATTCGAGACTAATTGGCTCGAGTCCAAGAGATTTCAGCGCATTTTTCTCTTGCATTTTGTTCTTTACTTGTTCATACTAGAAAAAGAAGAAAATGTTTGTATCTATGCTCAATAAAAACATTCCAAACGCACTTTTTCATCCACTTCAAACAGGCTCGCCCGAGACGAGTCGTTGAAAAAACTCTGATACGACTCTTTATGCTTCGCTTCATGCTGTTTACGTTGTTGTTCACATTGCTCGATTTGTTGTTCAGCAGCAACATTCGACGGATTGATTTTGATGACTGCTTCGAAATCTTTCTTTGCTTGCTCGAAATTCCTGAATGTTAAATGGCATTGACCGCGACGAAACAGAGACTTTTCGTTTTTCGCATCCAATGCTAACGTTTGGTCACATGCAGTCTTACATTGAAGATAATCGTTTAATTTGAGATAGCACAATGCGATATTGGACTGTGCAGCGATTCGCACTTGTCGTGACTTGATTCGGTCGTCTTTATCTGGATATGTAACTGATGCAAGAAGACGAGTGATCATTTGATACCGTTTCAACGCGTGCTGATAATGCCCTTTCTGTGATTCAATGATAAGTCGAGTCAAGATATGAAAAGAGTTTATCTTACTTTGACAAGATCGTCAGCACGAGATTTCAATAGTTCAGATTGGAGAAGTTTTCCTTTATCTGTTAATATCTGTTCTGAATCCAACTAGAAGAGTTCATCATGCATTTTCTTAACAGTACTTTTGCGAACGTCTTACCCGTTCAAGGTTAAGTAATGTTATTTCATATTGAACTAAGCCATCTGCTGAAACAGAAATTTGATCTAAACCTTGTAATGCTTTTCCTTTCAGTAGCAGTTGACATTTCTCGTTACGAAGCATTTTGTAAACAGCATGTTCGATACTATCAAACGTTAGGAGAAAAAAGTATTCCTATAATCTTTTGTTCACAATTTACCTCAAAGGTATCTGTTTCAGAAAACCTAGTCCCATCACGAATTGAACTGTCCGGTCATCAAAGATTTTATCTTGATAAGTTCCTTTCAAACGAACGTCTACCGTTGCATCTTCGTTCGGTAATTCACGTCCTACACCACGATGAAGGATTCGTCGGATGATACTTCCATCTTTTTCGTCACTGATATCTTTGCCTAACAACACATCAAATCCTATAATCTAAGACGAAAGAAAAGATTGAAACAGTTACCAACGAAATCTAACAATTCAATTTCAAAGATGACACTAGTCGCGGAACGATACTTTTTCTCTCCTTTCAAACCATAAGCATATTTTGGTCGAGCGAAAAATCGAGCAATCTCTCCACGCTTCATGCTCGCAGCGCCAAGATCCCACGCTGGTATGACTTCATTTTTGCCGAGATTGAAAGTAACTTTCTCATCGCGTTCTCGGCTATCACTGAAAACTTTTCCATCAAGTTCGCTTCCAACATAATGAATCGTCACTTGATCGTCAAACGCTGGTTTATCATCACCATTACCTTGACGAACGATTTCTTTGACTAAACCTTGAAATATGGAAACAAATGTAGAATCCGAGAAAAGAAAAACTCGTTACGAATATTTACCTCCATCTTTCTCTGGAGATATATCTTCTCCTTGAAACGGAGATTTTCCTTCTTCTACTTGGTTTTCTGTCATTGATCAAATCTTTCTCGTGGACAATTGCTCATATAATACGTGTGCGTCACGCATCAATGACCATGTATATGTAGATCATCGATTGGATTACAAGATAATCGATCCTCCATACACTTGACGATCGAATCCTGTACATTTTAGAAAGTCGTCTTTTTCCATCTCATTGATTTCGTTAGTTTTTATTTTCCTAGCTATTTTCAAGTGCGATGAAACGATCAACTTCATACGGTATGGTGACATCTTTTGATGGAGGACTCTCCCGATTGAGTACACAATGGAAATAGTAAAAAAGAGATATTTTTTCCGTGTAAACATCTTTTCCATCGAGAATAGTGACATAGAATAGCTATTAATGCAACCATCGGATGTTTTAAATCAATGTTCAAGTGCACTCAATTAATTGATTTATTGTCAAATCCTTATACTCTATCAATAAGAGAATACAAAATGGATGCGAGAAGTTCTATGTATTCAGGATGAGGATTGTTGATTATCACGATAATGATTTTGCACTTGGCTGATTGTCTGCTTTTCCATCAAATCAAATGGAATATCGGGCGATCGTTGCTCTCGTATGATGGCTTCCTCCCATTCACAACAAATCAGATTATCATCTTTTTTCTCTTCCACATTGCGTTCACCTTTGTCGTTAAAAGTGCAATAATTGTAATGCCCAATGACTGGCATACGCATGATACTAGAAACCAATTGACGAGTATAACACTGCATCTCTCTCTGTATTCTTTCACACTAAATATTCACTTATATATAGATGATGACGGTAGTATACAGCATGATAGCTTTGGTTTTATCTTGGGTGGCGTAATTATAAATACGAGTGACTAATCCAACGATCAAAGTGTTCTAATCTAAGAATAAATATGCCTCTTTAATCTGAAGTGTTTCGACGCCCTGCTTAAATAACAAATCATGAAAAGGAATACGTGCAATTGTTTTATGTATAACATTAAAAGTACAATCACAACCAATTTGATAATCGATGCTCTACGAACTTGTGCGCAAAATTCACACATGAATTGATCATAAACACCATAACAACATTAACAATACCAAAATATTTACAGTTAGACAGTACATACAAAAACAAATGAGATGTTTATGTCCTCGACTTGCCTGAATGAATAATAGCATGTTCTATTAATTTACCTTCGATGTTGTCTATTGAATGAAAAAAAGGCCATACTATTCGTGTGCGCCTTCCATATGTACGTCATGGGCAAAGATCAGATGTTATTGTATACAGGATAATATTTGGCTGTTGTGCCAACTTCTTGTGACTATATAAATATTCGCGTGGACATGTTTCTATATGCACCGAGTTCGCTGAAAAACTGATATCGTCGCAGTTCCTATAAAAATGAGTATGTATCTTCCATGTTGCCCGATGGTCTATGGCTGTCCTTGNTTGATTTTGATGACTGCTTCGAAATCTTTCTTTGCTTGCTCGAAATTCCTGAATGTTAAATGGCATTGACCGCGACGAAACAGAGACTTTTCGTTTTTCGCATCCAATGCTAACGTTTGGTCACATGCAGTCTTACATTGAAGATAATCGTTTAATTTGAGATAGCACAATGCGATATTGGACTGTGCAGCGATTCGCACTTGTCGTGACTTGATTCGGTCATCTTTATCTGGATATGTAACTGATGCAAGAAGACGAGTGACCATTTGGTATCGTTTCAACGCGTGCTGATAATGCCCTTTCTGCGATTTAGTGATAAAATCGAGTCAAGAAATGAAAAGAGTTTGTCTTACTTTGACAAGATCGTCAGCACGAGATTTCAATAGTTCAGATTGAAGAAGTTTTCCTTTATCTGTTAGTATCTGTTCTGAATCCAACTAGAAGAGTTCATCATGCTTTTTCTTAATAGTACTTTTGCGAATGTTTTACCCGTTCAAGGTCAAGTAATGTTATTTCATATTGAACTAAGCCATCTACTGAAACAGAGATTTGATCTAAACCTTGTAATGCTTTTCCTTTTAGTAGCAGTTGACATTTCTCGTTGCGAAGCATTTTGTAAACAGCATGTTCGATACTATCAAACGTTAGGAGAAAAAAAAAGAACTAATATAATCTTTTGTTTACAATTTACCTCAAAGGTATCTGCTGCAAAAAACCTAGTCCCATCACGAATTGAACTGTCCGGTCATCAAAGACTTTATCTTGATAAGTTCCTTTCAAATGAACGTCTACCGTTGCATCTTCGTTCGGAAATTCACGTCCTACACCACGATGAAGAATTCGTCGGATAATACTTTCATCTTTTTCGTCACTGATATCTTTGCCTAACAACACATCAAATCATGTAATCTAAGATGAAAGAAAAGATTAAAACAATTACCGACGAAATCTAACAATTCAATTTCAAAAATGACACTAGTCGCGGAGCGATACTTTTTCTCTCCTTTCAAACCATAAGCATATTTTGGTCGAGCAAAAATTCGAGCAATCTCTCCACGCTTCATGCTCGCAGCACCGAGATCCCACGCTGGTATGACTTCATTTTTGCCGAGACTGAAAGTAACTTTCTCATCGCGTTCTCGACTATCACTGAAAACTTTTCCATCAAGTTCGCTTCCAACATAATGAATCGTCACTTGATCGTCAAACGTTGGTTTATCATCACCATTACCTTGACGAACGATTTCTTTGACTAAACCTTGAAATATGAAAAACAAATGTAGAATCTGAGAGAAGACAAACTCGTTAGGAATATTCACCTCCATCTTTCTCTGGAGATATATCTTCTCCTTGAAACGGAGATTTTCCTTCTTCTACTTGCTTTTCTGTCATTGATCAAATCTTTCTCGTAGACAATTGCTCATAATACGTGTGCGTCACGCATCAATGACCGTGTATATGTAGATCATCGATTGGATTTCAATATAATCGATCCTCCATACACTTCGCGATCGAATCCTGTACATTTTAGAAAGGCGTTTTTTTCATCTCATTGATTTCGTTAATTTTAATTTTCCTAGATATTTTCAAGTGCGATTAAAACGATCAACTTCATACGGTATGGTGACATCTTTTGATGGAGGACTCTCCCAATTGAGTACACAATGGGAATAGTAAAGAAGGAATAGTTTCATCAGTGTAAACATATTTTTCATTGAAGATAGTTACATAGAATAACTATAAATGCAACCATCGGATATTTTAAATCGATGCTCAAGCGCACTCAATTAATTGATTTATTGTCAAATCCTTATATTAAATCTGTAAGATAATACAAAATGGGTGCGAGCAGTTCTATGTATTCAAGATGAAGATCGTTGATTATCACGATAATGGTTGTGCACTTGGTTGATTGTCTGCTTTTCCATCAAATCAAATGGAATATCGGGCGATCGTTGCTCTCTTATGATGGCTTCTTCCCATTCACAACAAATCAGATTATCATCTTTTTTCTCTTCCACATTGCGTTCACCTTTGTCACTAAAAGTGCAATAATTGTAATGTTCAAGGACTGGCATACGAATGATACTAGAAACCAATTGACGAGTATAAGACTGCATCTCTCTGTCTTCTTTTCCAATAGATATTCGCTTATATATGGATGATGACGATGGTATACAGTATGGTAGCCTTGGTTTTATCTTGGGTGGTGTAATTGTAAATACGAATGATTAATCCAACGATCAAAGTGTTCTAATCTAAGAATAAATATGCCTCTTTAATCTGAATTGTTTCGACGCCCTGCTTAAATAACAAATCATGAAAAGGAATACGTGCAACTGTTTTATGTATAACATTAAAAGTACAATCACAACCAATTTGATAATCGATGCTCTACGAACTTGTGCGCAAAATTCACACATCAATTGATCATAAACACCATAACAACATTAACAATACCAAAATATTTACAGTTAGACAGTACATACAAAAACAAACGAGATGTTGATGTCCTCGACTTGCCTGAATGAATAATAGCATGTTCTATTAATTTACCTTTAATGTTGTCTATTGAATGAAAAAAAGGCCATACTATTCCTGCGCGCCTTCCATATGTACGTCATGGTCAACGATCAGATGTTATTGTATACAGAATAATATTTGGCTGTTGTGCCAACTCGTTGTGACTATATAAATATTCGCACGGACATGTTTCTATATGCACCGAGTTCGCTGAAAATCTGATATCGTCGCAGTTCCTATAAAAATGAGTATGTATCTTCCATGTTGCCCGATGGTCTATGGCTGTCCTTGTGAATCTGTCGGAATGATGTCAGTCAACGAGATCTCATGCCGTGTGCTCCGTTTCCAAACTGATCCAATACCATGCACTGGTTTCGGCGCTCAATGTATCCGGTACTGTAGATTACCAGATCCGTGTTGCATGTAATCGCCTACTGCTTTCTTTTGTATGATTTTCTTCTCAAATTAGACATATTTAATAAAATAATGTAGAAGCACTATTTGATTTAATCGACAGATCTACAACTTGCCTGATAAAGACCTTTGCTTGTGAAATCGAGAGTTAAACTTCATGAGTTTAAATTTCATTCTTGCGTCATTGTCTGTAGTGGCAAAAATAACTTTAAAAGAAACCAAAGTGCTTATTTTGCATTGTAATATTCGAAGTACAGAACAAAAAGAAAAGATAAAACGTCATTATCAAAGCACAATAACACTACTTTCGGTTCACAATGATAACGCAAAATCTTATGTGAGAAACGTTGAAGTCGTTTTATGCACGGGAAAAAAATGCTGCACTATCACTGCCTCTCACGCATAAAGATAAGCACATAAAAATATGCTGGCATCTTGAATAAGCGCATCATTCACTGTATAGAGATGTATCTCATACTCATCTGCGTCTTTCTTAGCCTTTTGATTTTGTATAAAGTCCTACAAAAGGAGAAAAATCTTCCGCCTGGCCCACCTGCTTATTCGATTCCAATCTTTGGTCATTTATTATCTCTTGGTAAACATCCACAGGAAACTTTATTGAAATGGTGTCAAGCCCGTCAAAGTGATATTATTCATTGTTATTTTGGACAGAGATTAGTTATTGTTTTGAACAACTATTCTCTCATAAAACAAGCATTTCTCGACGATAATTATTCCGCACGAGCTCAACCGTTTATTTTTGAGGAACACTTTCATGGCAAAGGTTTGACCTATGCTGAAGGTGAACGATGGCTGGTTCATCGAAAGTTTGCAATGGATACATTGAAAAAGTTCGGAATGGGAAAGTTTTATCTCCAAGGTACGATTCTTAGTGAATTAAGAGATGTGTTTCAGCACATCGACGAACAAAACAGCACTCCGTTGGATATCAAAGCGTTGTTAACACATGGTTTGTCGAATATTATCTGTGGATTTGCATTCGGCGAACGTTTTTCTCATGATAATCAAGAGTTTCGCCATATTGTCGGTTTGATCGAAGAATGTTTTACTCTCGGTTCACATGACTCATGGATCACTGTGTTTCCGTTACTTCGATTCGTGCCGATGAAATCTCTCCGAGGAAATTATAAGAAATTTTCGAAGAATTTCCACGAGATTTTTCAATTCGCAAAAAAACTTGTTCAAAATCACGACGAGAATATTGAAGAGACACGAGATTATATTGATGAGTATTTAAAACAAGCAAATCTCGATAAAAAATCCAATAAATTCGACTCTACATTTGACATGGATCAATTAATAACCTCGATTACGAATCTATTCATTGGCGGAACAGAAACAACGTCCACGACGCTGCGATGGGCGTTTATCTACATGATCGAAAACCCGAAGATTTTAAAAACTGTCCGACAAGAAATCGATGATTATATGGGAGACCGAAATTTATTTATTCAAATGGAAGATAAACAATATTTGCCATACACGACAGCCACGATTCTCGAAATTCAACGTTGTGGGAATATTGCCACCTTAGGTGGAAGTACAATGCATAGAAATCTACAGGCAACAACATTGAATGGATATTCGATACCAGCGAACTCTTATATAGCGGCGAATTTCTATGCTTGTCATGTCGATGAACGACAATTTCCACACGCGGATCGTTTTGATCCAACACGATTTTTGTCACATGATCTGAAATTAGTTCAACGTACTCAAGGATTTATTCCGTTTTCCATTGGCAAGAAATCTTGTCCTGGAGAATCGTTGGCGAATATGGAACTTTTTCTTTTTTTTAGCAACTTTATTCGACACTACGATTTCTATGTTGTAAATCAGGCCGAACAAATTAATTCGAAGTTGTTTTATCATACTAGTCTAACGCGTGCACCTTTTGACTATCAGATTTCATTTGATAGACGATCGTTTTGATTTAGCTTTAAATAAATATTGATGTGTTACTTTACTTCTCATCTCAACTTCATAAAGAGTGTGATTACCTGTATCCGATCAGATTCCATAATGAATGTGATCATCAATAGTACACATCAGTTCCTTTCCTCCATAACAAGGTTTCAAAAGCTTTCACGAAATGAAACTAATTATATTTTACTGTTTTCATTATATGCTCCCCCACAATCACATCCAGTTGATAGATAAGTTAAGTGTTCCTTCTTTTATTGTAACCTTGCACATATAATTTATCATTTACAACAACAATAATTATTCGAACTATTCTGACATTGTCCATTGTCCTCTATATCGGCACGATACACACCAAACCATCCATACCTAAAAGAATTCACACAACTACCATTATTCATTTCCGTAATAGAACACTTTAGAGAACCCATAGAACAATAATAACCACACCCAGCGTTAACGCTAAAAAGAAGCCCGGTACGATAAGAAATAGTACAGGCTTCACATGTTAATAAACCAACGGTCGTTGTTCCCTTCGTCGACGAAGTCGTTCCTGTGACTATCGCTACAGACGTGACAGTTCTCGCCGCAGTAGACGTTGACGATGTTCCACCAGACGTGGTAGATGTAATCGACGTTGTCGCTGTTCGACCAGATGTAATAGCTGTGACCGACGTTGTCGAGGTTCCGCCAGATGTGGTAGTCGTGACCGACGTTGTGGAGGTTCCCCCATATGTGGTAGTTGTGACCGACGTTGTCGATGTTCGACCAGATGTAGTAGCTGTGACCGACGTTGTGGAGGTTCCGCCAGATGTGGTAGTTGTGACCGACGTTGTGGACGTCCCCCCATATGTGGTAGTTGTGGCCGACGTTGTCGATGTTCGACCAGATGTAGTAGCTGTGACCGACGTTGTGGACGTTCCCCCATATGTCGAAGATGTGACCGACGTTGTGGACGATCCGCCAGATGTGGTAGTTGTGACCGGCGTTGTCGATGTCTGCTCAGGCCCAGTAGTTGTGTCTGCGGCAGATGCTGTATTCGATCTGCTGCTTCTCTGTTCGGATATCGCAGTTGAGTCTACCACAGACGTTATATCCGATGTTGTGTCAACTGTGTCCGTGGTAGATGTTCCGCCATATGTGGCTGTTAAGCCTGCCGTAGATGTTGTATCCGATGTGCCAGTTGAGTCGGCTGTAGACGTTGTATCCGATGTGGTGGTAGCTGTGTCTGCGTTAGATGCTATTGCCGATGTGGTAGTTGAGTCTCCCGTAGACGTTGTATCCGATGTTGTAGGAACTTTGTCTACGGTAGATATTGTGTCAGTTGTGGTAGTTGAGTCTGCCGTAGATGCTGTATCCGATGTGGTCGTTGTGTGGTCAGATGCGGTAGTTGAGTCTACCGTGGATGTGATATCCGATGTGGTCGTTGAGCCTATCGTAGATGTTGTACCCGATGTGGCAGTTGAGTCTACCGTAGACATTATATCCGGTGCGCTGTTTGTGTGGTCAGATGTGATGATTGACTCTACCGTAGACGTTTTATCCGCTGTGGCAGTTGAGTCTAGCGTAGATGTTGTATCCGATGTGGTGGTAACTGTCTCTGCGGCAGACGTTGTATCCGATGTGGTGGTAACTGTCTCTGCGGCAGACGTTGTATCCGATGTGGTGGTAACTGTCTCTGCGGCAGACGTTGTATCCGATGTGCTGCTTGTGTGGTCCGATGTAGCAGTCGAGTCTCCCGTAGACGTTATATCTGATGTTGTGGTAACTGTGTCTGCGGTAGATGTTGTGTCAGATGTGGCAGTTGAGCCTGCCGTAGATGTTGTATCCGATGTGGCAGTTGAGTCTCCCGTAGACATTATATCCGATGTAGTGGTAACTGTGTCTGCCGTAGATGTTGTGTCAGATGTGATAGTTGAGTCTACCGTGGATGTTATGTCCGATGTGGTGATTGTGTGGTCAGATGCGGTAGTTGAGTCTACCATAGACGTTGTATCCGATGTTGTGGAAACTGTGTCTGTGGTAGATGTTGTATCCGATGTGGTGGTTGTGTGGTCAGATGTAGTGGTTGACTCTACCGTAGACGTTGTATCCGATGTTGTGTCAGATGTGACAGTTGAGCCTGCCGTAGATGTTGCATCCGATGTGGTCGTTGAGCCTATGGTAGATGTTGTATCCGATGTGGCAGTTGAGTTTACCATAGACATTATATCGGATGTAGTGGTAACTGTGTCTGCCGTAGATGTTGTATCCGATGTGGTGGTAGCTGTGTTTGCGGTAGTTGCTGTTGCGGATGTGGTAGTTGAGTCTACCGTGGATGTTATGTCCGATGTGGTGGTAGGTGTGTCTGCGGCAGTTGAGTCTACCGTAGACATTATATCCGGTGTGCGGGTTGTGTGATCAGATGTGGTGGTTGACTCTACCGTAGACGTTTTATCCGCTGTGGCAGTTGAGTCTAGCGTAGATGTTGTATCCGATGTGGTGGTAACTGTCTCTGCGGCAGACGTTGTATCCGATGTGGTGGTAGCTGTGTCTGCGGTAGATGTTGTGTCAGTTGTGACAGTTGACTCTACCGTAGATATTGTATCCCATGTGGCAGTTGAGTCTAGCGTAGATGTTGTATCCGATGTGGTGGTTGAGTCTACCGTAGATGTTGTATCCCATGTGCCAGTTGAGTCTAGCGTAGACGTTATATCCGATGTGGTGCTAGCTGTGTCTGCGCTAGACGTTATATCCGTTGTGGTGGTAGCTGTCTCTGCCGTAGATATTGTATCTGATGTGGTGGTAGCTGTGACTGCGGTAGATGTTGTGGCAGTTGTGGCAGTTGAATTTACCGTAGACATTGTGGCCGGCGATGTGACCGTCTGATCACTGATGGATGTGGTTGCTGTAGTAGTAGTTGGAGTGATTGCGGTAGTTGTAGTTTGTATGTCTAGAAACATGGCGATTAACAGAAATTCGAGATAGGTCGGTATAAAATAATACTTGCTATAGTGTCAGGTGAGATGTAAAGTGCAAGCGATGCTAAAATGATTGGTTTATTGGCAGTATAAGTTACATACGATAAGGTTCGATTGCCAATATCTTCTGGATGGAATATCAAGGTTACAGAAATGTTTGGTTGGGGAACGATAATATGATTATCCAATAACCACATACAAGTGCCATGATAGGGACATGGAATAGAGACATTGTATATTTGTATGTTGGAATGAATTGAGAACGCTGTTGAACCTATGATTGTACCCTTCCTACTCGGTGGTAGTGTCGATGATGAGTGTGGGAAGTGAAAGAAAAGATGATTTAGGGAAAAGCCTGAGTTTGGTCGCAAATACAAGAGACATTGTATATAGAGAAAGGAAGATCTCTTATGTATGATATTCAATACATGTCCAAAATCATGAAGGTACGATGTGTATCGTATGGGATTTCCATCATCATCGAGCGCAATATTATTGTATTGATCATAAAAAATCATGTGTACGCCAAGAATGGTTCTCAATTGAGTTAATTCACCAATTAACAATTGATCATTACAATAGTCGATCATTCGTGGGGTAAATCGAAATCTACATAGATTTTCTTCTATATTCGCATTAGTTATTATCGATGAAAGTGTCGAATACGTAAACGTTTTTCCTGCGTAACGACTAGTGAGCTCTTGTAAACCGTCTAGATCGAAAAAAAATGAGAAAAACTGTCTTGATGTATCGACTAGTTTTCACCTGGTAAAATATTGCCATCAGGACCGTTTTCATCGTCATCATCGCAAACAATCATTGACTGCGAAATAGAAACAGAACTCCTTTACTCTTATCAATGAGAATACTCATCGATGTATTAGCTAAAAACGTTTTTACTAAATAAGTCGCGTTCATGAAAACGGCAGCATTCGATTCAGAATTTAATTCTGTCCCGCATGCTAGTACTTGTATTCATGGGACATATTTTGGAAAACATTTCACCTGCATCTTAATTGTTTTCCTATACATGAGACAAAACTCTAAATAAAAGTTTTCGAAAGAGTGTTCCATGAATAAAAGTACTACCATTCAATGGAGAAATAGTCGAATGGTGATGTGTTCAAGGGTGTTACTTCTTCAGCAAACAAGTTTTTAGCTGACATATCATTTCTTCGTGCTAACTCCGTTGCACTAGCTGCACACTGGTAGAATACTCACTGTAATCATCCATAGGAGAATTATCGAACCGAAAAACATCCTGGTTGCACAGCACTTTTATTTGTAGTAACAAAATTAGTTTAGCAAATTCCGTCAATCGATTTTCAAATGCTCACACATATAAAAACAAACAGATCTTTATACATCTGGTTTACACACATGTTCTCATTTTCTCTGGATACACAAACTCAGATATATTTCGAACACAATATATGAAAGGAGTATTGTTTTGATAACAGATGGTTGAGATCGATTTCACGAAACTATTTTTTCGATATGCGAATGCAACAGCATGAGGAATGAATTAAAACACAACACATTCGCTGTGTATTTATATTTACCACTGTTTTCTTTCGAGTAGAGATATCATTCGATAAAGTCATTTGCTCAATCATAATTCATATAGAGAGATAAAACAGTTCTACTCAGTTAAAACTGCAAAGCAATCTGAAACATTCATTGAATTACTTTTTGCTTGTCAAAATCAACTATTTTACTCGTTAGAGTCAATCACTTCTTGTTAATACACTCTGTCAAGACGAGTGCTAAAAGTCTGCAATCAATTTAATCGAGTTTTTCTTTCAAAACACGTCTATTCACAACAGATACCTGTACGAGTGAAATATCTCATATTCATGTCATTCATTTTCATATCCAACGATCCACAACGGTGTACATGAAAACTGTCATGCGTATATCAATTTAATGTCTAAATAAAATCGAAAGGTGTCAGAATGACAAAGATAAAGTGCTTTTAGAAACAAAGACATTTAAAATCGTGACACTTTCCACCATCTGGATGACCATCTCGTTTGCAAGCACTGGGGCATTGACCGAAATGATCTTCAAATAAGCAGAGACCTTTGAAACTGCCAGATGGAATCGATTGTCGTCTTTCTGTCTCATGTTGATCATCATCATCATCGTCATCAGTATCTCGTACAGCTTGTTGCATCATTTCGATAAGATCACGACGAGCAACTTTCACTGCGTCCTCCATCAACTGTTGGCTCCAAACGTCTATACTACGAGCATAGGATGCATCAACTAAGGATAGAGAAGAAACAAACGAACATGAATCAAAATAAGACCTCTACTTACTGCATAAGATTGCCACGATAATACTAAGAGCAAGAAAGCGAGTGTTCATGTTTATGTATAAGTTATGTATATACTATTTGATCTGTCAGTTTATATATAAATCCACCATAAAAGAAATAATCGTACTTATGTTAGGTAATGATACCACCTGTGGTGTAAAACATACCTATGTCCATCGAAACTAAAAAATTGTAGAAAGTGTTCTTCGAGCTCTGGCAAATATTGCGAGAGGGCGAAGAGTGGAGAATGATTTAGGTGATTCGGTTTTTTATTCGCGAACTTTGTATGAAGATATCGTGATGAAAATTAGGATCGTAGATAAAGTCATTTTTTCTTCGAATGCATGCTTCTTTTTCTTTTCGTAATGTCATACAGGCAGAATGTACAACAACACGATGAGTCTCACGACTTCAAAATGAGAACAATGGTTCGCAATGCCTACGAAATGACGTATTTGCCGAAATCAGATGATTTATTGCATTTAGTTTATTGTATGTTATACTTTTCGATGAAATATTCTCCCGTTTATATTTGATCTTCTGTGAAACTGTGTTATCACATCTTATCATCATAAAACAGTGATAGATATATCGATTAGAATAGGAGAATCTATTCTTTAGTGACAATCAATATCTTGAGAGAAGAAAAAAACTACACTTGCGATACTTTGAGATTTATTCTTCGATTTTGATCTGTTTAGAAAACTTACTGAAATAATTCTTCAAAAGATTCTATCGAATCGCATTATTCGATGATTATCACCATCGGCGACGTACAAATTACCATCTAAATCAAATGCTAAGCCTTCCGGTTCACAAAGTTGATTTAATTTATTTCCTTCTCCATTACCACCAACAACAACTTCACCTCTTAAATCACCTTCTCGCCACCGCATTACTCTATTGTTTCCGTAGTCTGTGACATAGATTTCACCACATGAGCTAATATGCAATCCTCGAGGATAAGACAATTGATTCAAATTGATTCCATTACCATTACCGCCAGCTACAACAATTCCTTCGCGAGCATTCTTGTTCCATTTCATCACACGATGATTTCGTATATCTGATACGTAAACAGATTCATCTTCGTCAACAAAGACAAACGAAGGACCATCGAGTTGACTAATTTCTCTCATTGATCTATCGCCACTTGCAACTAATTCACAGTGATTTTCTCCAAATTTCCATCTTGTCACATCACTCTTCTTCCAATCAGAAACATAAAGAAATCCTTGTTTATCCATTGTTACACTATAGCAATCAATATTATGAATGAGAATATGCTCTCTGTTTTGATCTAATGATGATCGAATCACTCGACCATTCTGTCGATCAGCAATAATAATCAAATGATTCGTTTCATCGATAATCACATCTGATGGACCTTTTAATTGATCTGTTCCCTTTCCGCGTCCATTTCTGCCCGCAATGATTTCCCCTACGCTTGCACAACATCTCCACTCAACGACACGATTATTGCCGGAGTCAGCAATAAATATGTTTTTCTTTCTGTCAATACTGATCCCTGTTGGACAGCTGAGTTGATTCAGTTGATTTCCACATCCGTTTCCACCAGCAACAACCGTGCCAGTTGCTCGAAATTTTGAACCTAAAACACATTGTATATTTAAAACTTATCAGGTAGATGAAACAACAACAAATCTCGCATGCTTTCCATCTACAACTGTCTTTCAAAATGCATAGTATTGACAAAATAGCTACGTTCAATTCATAGAATTTGATAAAATCTGAGTGAGTTCAAGGATTTTCAGGTATTATACTGTTAACCGAAATGTTACCTCATTTAATATTTATAACACATAATGCAGAAAATAACACAAAGATATTTACCCGGTTGTTCGACCAACGATCTTTGAATGTTTGAAATTGAGCGACGATTTGCTGACGATTGTAATCTATCTAATGAATCGATATTCCGAAATTTTGCAAAGATTTTATTTTGTATGCTGATGCACATAGTTCTCACAATAGTTATTGATAATAACTTACTTTCGGATACGACGACGGAAATTTGAGTGATAAACGGCTGTGAATCTTCTCGGAGAGAAATGGTGGATGGATTGTTCAATTCGTCTGTCATTGCTTTCAATTTTCGTCTCAATTCATTTAAATCGATTTCGTTGTATTCTTCTTCTTTCTGCATTTCTTTGATCTGATCGCTCAATTGACTGAAGTTTTTTCCAATAGCATGAACAAATGTTTTCGTCTGTTCAAGGACAGTTTTTCGACAAATATCTGCCGTCTGTTGGATTCTCTGCATCGATTTTCTTTCCCATTCATTAATTTGTCGCATCAATAACGAGTCACTTTGAGAGTTTCGCTCATGTTGATTAATAGTTTGCCGGAATTGATCATAATCATTGATGATACCATCTAATTGTTCGTTCAATAACTGTCGATGTTCAATCAAATCAGTTTGACAAAATTCATTTGAGCAACCTTTGCAAAGATAGGTTATTTTTTTATATTTTTTACACTTAAAACATTGTGTCGTGTCTGTTGCCATTTGTTGGAATAGAGGAGTCGGTAGTAGAGAAAAAACGTTTTATGAATTTCACAATGTCAAAATATGAGTCAAACCGGAGAAAAAAACATTCATTTGTGGATGACAAAATCCATTTCATGTAGAATGGCGCTTCGAACTACAACGGAATACAATTAATATTCACAAGTATTATTATCTTGAATACCTTACTTGACTCGGTGAGATTTTTCAAACTACTCAACAGATGTCACCGATGTTCAAAATACTTCGACGATTGTTTCTCGTATCAAGCGTGCGACTGAATATCGTAAAAAAAGCGAAATAGTATAACGAGATAAAACTAGTCGGATTGACGTCGCCCTTACTCCGATGATTTTCATTCAATAATTATGGGAGCAAGTAAATATAACTTGAACGAATAAGATCAGTCACTATTTTGACCTTTTGGTAGATGCAGAAACAGAAAGCAATGAGAAAATGTTTGAGAAAATAAGAAGTAAACTTTGAAACAAATTTTTCCAATAAGTGCATGTATAAAGTCAAAAGTCTAAGAGAAAGGATAAACTACGTTCTTGACAAGTTATTCATTTTTGTACGGATTGGAACAATACGGCCGCGTCGCGTTTTGCGTGGTAATAATGTTGGCCAGATTTCCGGAAGTAAACTGAGACAGACGAACGGCATGAGAATATTAAGAAATCGGATCAAGAAACTCAGGTAAGGCATTTGCACCGCAGCACCAAATGTCGGCAGGCAGCAATATTGTATAATGCTGACCAAGGTGACTGGCGTCGTCAAAACGAGGAAGAGACTAATGATGGTCATCAATTGAACAATCATCCGACGATATCGACGCCAATTGAACTGATTTCGATGTATTCGTTGTTTTTGCGTAATCACACGTACGAGCAAAGCCAGAGACGAACCGACTACGATGAATGTCGGAATAAAATTATGCGCAATTCGAGCGTACATTGCTACTGATGGGATTCTTAGCGCACATGAGTATCCACAAAAGATAGAACTCATAATGAATTCATTTCGGCAGGGATAGACGAAAACCACGGTAATACTAAACATAATTGGATAAACAAAAGCTGTCACGAGCAAAGGTATGTAATGACAGAGAATTCGTCGATAACGAGTAGTGAATACCGTTGGATAGAATACAAGCAGGTGTCGTTCAATCGATGCCCATGCCATCGTCAAATATGTCGCAAAACTGCAGTTTGAATTGATCAAATTCCAAAAGAGACAAAGACTGTTTGTCGACGGTGTTACTTGTCCAATGCGAAGATAATTAAGCGTAAAAGGGTGGCTAAGAAGCGAATCAACGATAGAAATCGTCATTAAAACTACAAGTACATGATTGTGCAGAGAAGATCGAAAATGACGATTGGATAGTAAATGATAAAGTATATATACACAACAGACAACAGATGGTATGTAACATGTTTGTAGAACAATATACTTGATTTTATTTACTAGATCTGAGAAAGTGTTACTAAAAAGTGTGATGTTCGACATGATATGAAACAAAAAATGTGTCGCAGTTGATGATAGGGAAGATAATCTTTATTAGAAAAAAAGCATCAGATGCTGTTGGCTTCATATGTCCTCATGATGTGCTCAACTTTCAGAAAATCTTTTCTTGCAGATCTCTTATTTCGTTAAGAAAAACTAGAAAGTTCATTGATATTTGCAAACAAATATGTTATTCACGATTATCGGTATTGATGTTCGCAAGTCGTTTATTCCGTTCGAGCAATTCATCGAGGTCAATTGGCATTTTGTCGGTGACTTCCCTAAATTCGAGCTCTAGTTCGATAAGTGTCTACATGAAGATATGTTAGTGAAAGGATGGTGTCAAAGCAAAATAGAATGACTGTATACATTATTATTTTTGAGCGCATTGATGAGGTCTCGTACTCCTTCACGGCTTATGATGTTGCCCTGAAGATGTAATATACGCAATGCCTGAATAGAGGCATTACAAACAAATATATGTGAGGTGAATCAATAGGAAATGATTAATTACTCTGTTTTTCTTTAACAAATCAGCCAAATGGCGAGCTCCAACACGCCCGATATGATTGTTTGGAATGAATAACGTTGTGAGTGTCTCAAAGAACATAACCACATACGATCGATAAAAAGAGAAATAAATAAAATTACTGAATTTTCTTGTAATGCATCAGCTAGGTATCGAACAGCTTCATCGTTCGGATCTCGTGTCTTTTCACCAGCCGTATATCTCGCTTGTGCATTATCCAGATGTGGTGCTCGTGCCATGATCAGATATTGTGTCTTTTCGCCAGCCGTATATCTCGCTTCTGCATTATACAGACGTGGTGCTCGTGGCATGATCAGATATTGTGTCTTTACAGAACCCATATATCGTGCTTGTTCATCTTCCAAACGGCGTGCCTGTTCATCGTTCAGACGGCGTGCCTGTTCATCGTCCAGACGGCGTGCCTCTTCAGCATCGAGGTATTGTCGTTCTTTATCTGAAATCTGGTTACCGCCGATGTCTAACGTATGCAGCGTCTGAGCCCAGAAGCAAATACAAAATATTTCATTAAAAAAAGAAGCGAGATTACTTTGTTAATTCTTAACATATCAGCTAGAGCTGTTAATCCATCGAATCTGATTTCATTGTTACCAATGTGCAATATGCGTAGAGTCTAAATATAAATGACGATTGAATAAACGTTTGAGATTGTCAAAGATGTCATGGGCATTACCGGGCTATGAAGTAGTACACCAGCAAAATATTGTGCTCCATGATATCCAACATGATTGTTATTAATGTTCAATTCGACTAAGGTCTTTAATTGGTATGAATAAGTACAAATTATATGTTTCAGAGCAATAAATGAAAGAAGTCTACCGTATTATTTAGCAATGCATTAGCCAAATGTTGTGCTCCCTCACATCCAATATAATTCTTTTGCAGATCTAGTGTTGTCAGTTTCTGAGGCGATATAATACAAACAAGTACATAGTGAACCTAAAAATTGCATGAAAGTTACCTCATTGCATTGTAATGCATCCGCCAAACTTTTCGCTCCATGCTTTCCTATTTTATTTCCGTTTAGATCCAGGTGCATCAACGTCTATAAGTATATACAGGCATAGATGAATAAGATGTGAATAATGTACTTTATTGACTCGTAACGCATCCGCCAGATGTTTTATTCCGTTGTCTTTAATCTGATTACAACTAAGATGTAGCGTGACAAGTCCCTAAATCAAAATATGTGTCTGACTAGATCTATTATGTAAATATCAAGATCTACTGTATTGTGCTGTAACATGTCAGCTAGGTATTCTGCTCCAACTTCACCAATCTTATTGCTGGCAAGGTATAGTTTGGTTAAAGCCTAAAACAGATCATGTGGAGTGAACAAAAAAAGTAGCCAATATCATGAACATATATACTGTGTTATTTCGCAATGCATTAGCCAAATGCTTTACACCTTCATCACCAATTTCATTCATGCTAAGAATTAACGTCTTGAGCGCCTAAATGGCAATATGCATATAGATAAATGAAATAAAGGTAAGAAGAATATGTCGATCACCGTGTTGTTTTTCAATGCATCAGCCAGAAGGGATGTTTCGCTGTTAGAGATAGGAGTATTATCAAGATTCACTGTTGTAAGAACCTAGCCAAACGCAAGAATTATATAAACAGAAGCTAAATATCATCCTGCCTGATTCCCTCGTAGAGCATTAGGCAAATATTTGACTCGTCCCTCATCCAAAACATATGCTCGAAAATCTAACGTGTGAAATGTCTAGAAAGAACAAAATAATCATATACTTCAACGAAATAAAACTGTTTTCTTCACAAGACTTACCTGGTATCTTTCATACGAAGATATGATTTTATTGAGCCGTTGACATACATTACGCGCTGTACATAAGATCGTAATAATGTCCAGACGATCAAGTATTCGGTAGACGACTTCGACTGGTAGTGTAGAAAGAGAAACTTTGCTCGTACCCGACATTTTTGCGTTCTTTGATCTTAGATATTGAATGTGAGTAAATTTAAGTGTTGTTTATATATAGGCTTGAAGTCGAACACGCGACAGGATTTATCCGTCACACAGAACGTATGTTAAAAACCGAACAGAAAAGATGGAAAAATCCGCCGATCTGACTGTTTTATTCCTTACACACAGAGAAAAAAACCTCTTGTGCTGTGCCATGTGCTATTTTTGTAACATCTGAATCTCTATCCATACAGGAATATCTATAAGTGTCTTTTATTGTTTGTCTATGGATGTAAACTGTTGTGGAGACAAAAAGAATATAAAAAATATTCGCTCTTCGAGATCTTTACACTGAGTGTGGTAAAGAGAAAAATAACGCGTGCGCACTACGATGATCAAGAAAGAAAGAATGTTACAAATTTGAATCAGTTGATTCGAGAATCGTTTTCATCACATTTTGAACATCTCGGTAAACCTGAAATAAAATGTGAATCGCAAAAATTTTCACATAAATTTCAATCAAACCAACCTCTTCAACATCTTTTTTTGCATCCACGTGTTTGATTAAATTCTTCTTTTCATAATATTCTATGGCTGGTTCAGTTAATTTTTTGAATGTAGCAATTCTATAATAACAATAATTCGATTTTCACAAATAACCAAGTGTCTAAAGAAATGCACCTTTTTTTCAGAGTTTCCTCATTGTCATCCGCTCGTCCACTGTCTCGGCCACGTTCCATACATCGATCGATGCTCGTCTTCAAGTATGGAATTACATCGTATCAGTCTACCTTCGAGTTCATTTACCTTCTCGTCACAATCAAAGTCAAGTACACATTGAAGAATGACTTTCTCGTCCATTGTTTTGTGCCATTCGGTAATATTCTCCATATCTCGTGGAAAGCCATCAATTAAGTAGTTCTCTTTGCCACTCTTTTCTATTGCCTTTCAAATGAAAGGAAAATTGGAGATGATGTCAATAAAGGAAACAATGAAATGCATACGTTTTCGATTAATCTACAAGCGATTTCTGAAGATACGAGAGAGCCATTTTTCATTGTCTCTTGAATTTCTCTACCTAGATCAGAATGCGAGTTATTAACTTCTTCTCGGAGAAGATCGCCAACAGACAAATGAACATAAGTATAGTCCTACAAAATTGAAATCGTTCGAAAAAAAAAAGTTTTTTCGCAAACATATTTTCGCATCTAACTTTGCAGATTCGTTCGCATTGTGTACCTTTACCTAATCATAAAAAGTAGAAACTGAATATGGAACATATCGAACATGTGCTACACATACCAGCTCCTGGTGCACCGATAACAAAGATTACATTGGGCTTTTTGGTCGTCATGATAATCGTTCGTCTACTTTAATGTGTATTTTTGAACGACGCATGTTCGTTACGGATGAAAAGGTAATCCAATGGCAATTTTATATCACAACGTGCTATATACAAGCGACCTCTCTTTCTTTCAGACGATTTCAATCAATTGACGATCTGTTCTCTTTGGGCATTCAGATTGCCGAGTTGTTGATATTGATTTTAAAACATAAGTAGACTCGCACTCTGAATACGTCGGAACACATGCTTGTTTGCGTACATCAATTTGACAGTAGATAAGTATATGGGGAAAAGCAATACTGGGGTACGAGTAACATACAGCACGAGTAATAAATAAAAGAGCATGTAATCTTGCTGATGATGGGTAGAATGGAAAAACACAATTCAGGTTACATCGATCGATTGTTTTCCACCATAGGTGTCTTTTACTAATATTCATGGATTGTATGCCTAGCTTCTCACACTTTCATTTGATAATATCGACCATTATCATATAGATGTTGCGCTTTGCTCTGATTCGTTCGCTTCGCGATCGAATCCTTTCATTTTACGTTCGTTCTCTCGTACAGCATGGCTTCACCTTACACAACCATCATGAAACACGTGTAGTTTCCAGCATTTGTTTTTGCATGATGCAACAGAAACGAAGAATTAGGCAAAGTATTCATTTATAAGGAATCCATATCTTGGCAATACCAGTCATTAGATATTTTAAGACTTATGTCGGAAAAACATTACATCCTCGATATATGTGATGAACGGCACGATGATCAACGACATCAACATTACGTACATGCTTTGCGTGTAAAGAAAAGTAGAATTCAAACTGAGCGACAGTATCGATTGTGTATGTAGTTTGACCTTATTGATAAGAAAATAATAAACGTTTTTCAGATTCTCCAGAGCGCGCTCGACCGATTACTCGATTAGAAAAAGCAAAAGAGTTAATTGCAGATGAAGATGCAGACGAGGAAAGATTTTCTTACGAACCATACGAATCAATAGATATTTTGGACTTTGCTTATCGCCGACGTCGATATGAGCTTTCAATACCATATGCTATTCAGTTGAAAGATGCTGACTTTCTGGGAGTACTTCTACGCCAATTAAGACTGAATCATAGAAACGGCTTTCATCCAAAAGTTGAACGCAATTTCGGTAGAAAAATAAGACATCGAAGAGGTGCAGCGAGACGCGACACGATGCTTATTGATGCAATTAAGAATACGAATTCGCAATGCGTTGAAACGATCTTAGATGGCGTGTATGACGGTTTTATCTATTCAACAATTGTTGATCATGTGTGTTCTAATGGAAGAACTGCTCTTTGGCATGCCTGTAGACTAGGAGACTTGAATCTTGTCTATGAACTCGTGGAACGTGCGCATGCAAATGTCAATAGGTGTGGTGTTTTACTCGTTGCGATTCAAAATAATCATGAGGAAATTGTTAATTATCTGTTGCAACGAGGATGTGATCCTAATCGACGAGTGAAAAATTACAATGAAAGTGCGCTGCATATCGCTTCGCGTCGAAATCGACTCGAGATGGTCAAATTACTGTTGAAATACGGTGCCGAACCAAACGTACTCGATTACAAGAAAAGAACTCCTCTAGATTATGCTGTACATAAAAGATATGTCGATATTGCTAGAGTTCTCATTGAGCATCATGATGGACGCTTTATTATGAGTCAAACAGGATTCACACCGTTGATGTTAGCAGCGTATTGTGACAATAAACCCATCGTACATTTACTTGTGAACATATTACCTGATCAACAAGTTATAGAAGAATTGCTTCTCTTGGCTTCTCGGTATACAATTGATGGTAATTTAAGTAAGCGTGATGAAGCCTATTGTTATTTTGAGAGGGCATTAAGTCGAGCAGCACCAGCATGTATCAATCCGTCTTGTGAAGCTTATGAGTATCTTACTGAATGTCAAACACTTGACGAGCTTGTTTCCATACGAAACGACGATAATAAACTACGAATGTACGCATTAGTTGTTAGCGAACGGCTTTTACTTCAGAAAGGTGAACTTCAGCATCTTCTCACACTGATTATGAAACAGAGTGATATGTACCGATGGCAGAGATTATTCCGTCGTTGCCTCCAATTACGAATGCATGCTTATCAGCTACTATTGCAAGCAGAAGATCATCGTAAATACGATGAGAAAGTGCAGAAAAGTTATCTTTCTCAACTTGTCAGTAGTTTATACAAGATATTGGAAACAGAAAAGAGAATACCTGTTCATTCACTGGCGCGTATTTGGTCATGGATACTCGATACATTCAATCAGTCATTAAACGGTATCTTGATTAAGCTTCTAATGATCGTGTTTTATGTAAGTACTTAGTATGTCGTTAATGAAATAATACAGCGGATAATTTCATTTGTCCTTCTATTGTTCAGCTCTTGGAAACTAACAACATCAATGGTAATGAAAAATATATTCTTGTCGGTCTCCTTGTGCGACTTATACGTAAAAATATTATCATAAATCGTCTGTACAGCCCTTTGAGATATTTTGTTAATCACACTGCCTGGAACGCAGGTGAACTTATATGCGCTTCTGTTAGGTAATCTTTCTTAATGAAACATGAAATTCGTGATCAATTATGTTCATTCTAGTCTACCAACATTGTCCATCATTCGATGGTTGATATATGCTGGAGCAGACGTCAATGAAACCGATTCACATTCAAAGACGACTCTGTTGCATTACGTCGCACGATCCTATAACATCGGTAGAGAAAGACCAATCATTCAAATTCTTCTGGATGCAGATGCACACATGGATTGCGTTGACGCATACGGACATTTACCAGAGGATTATGCCAATGATAGGGAAGTCAGAGAAATTCTACGAGCTCATCGAAAAATTTCGCTCAAATGTCTATGTGCCCATCTGATTGTTTCCAGCAAAATATCTTATAAACATTGTCTTTCGCCGAAATTAGTTCATTTTGTACACATCCACAGTAACGGTAATGGCGGATCCAGAGTCTTCAGGAATCTAAATGCTTCCTCAAACGAATGGGCTGTAGAATTAGGGTGGTAGTGAAGAAATTTACATTCAATATAAATGACGATTAATAATACAGAACGATACAATTCGTCTTACATTCATTCGATCATTGTTCGAGAATAACAAAAGTTTCGCAAGAATTCGAACAGATGTAAATGCCATGAATAATTCTGAAGATATTTATATTTCTTTTTTTAGGAAACTCTTTATTTACTAGTCATGTACATTCCTTTTTATAGCAAATAAAAACCTCGATCATAAACTCCTTTTCAAGTTATTTCACAACATCAATTGTTAGATAATCTATATAGATGATTATCAGAGACTATGCATGCAAGGTCCGAAGCATATGAGGAAACAGATGGACGCAACTGCGTCACACTATCCTGAGTATCAAGCTATCAGTAAAAAAATTCCTCACTATGTGTAACATGACTTTGCAAATCAATATTTTTGAAATTGCGATTCTGTACAAAAGAGTAAGAGTGACAATCTTTCAGGTACAATCAGTATGAACTTAGTTTCATTTTTATTCAATATTATTATTGTTCAACTAGATGTCCACATGCGATTAGCTGACCCATCTAAGACGATCTCATCCGTTCTGTATTCATTCTTGTGACGAATATTACTACGACACTGGAAGTTCTGATTATGAATATCATAAGAAAGGGACTCACATAAGTTCTCGTGATGGTCGTGCATTTTCTCGTCGTCTCAATCTTGAGTATACCACTTGGCTTTCATTCAATCGTCCAACGCCAAAACAATTACAAATGCTTCAATCAACATAGTTATTTATCTCATCTCAAACATTAACACTTCAACGGTATATTCAGCTAGAATTTATCGTCTTGATTAAAAAATTTTTTCAAAATTATTGTTTGAAATAGATATTACTGCAGAATAAAGTAGTATGTTATACTAAGTGAACTTGCATTCATATTCGTTTTTCTCGCATCGTCAGAACGATAGCTATCAGCTATTATAACACTTCCCCATCGTTCGCAGCACAGAAGCTGTGTGTCGGTAGCACGTTGGATTTAGATTGCTAGCGTTACGGGCAATATGAATTTGTACTTATACTATCCTCAGATTCATAATGCTATAGCTACAACAATTAGACATACTATTTCAACAGTTGCAGGGATAAAAATGATTGTTGATTACCTATTCCTTTGCCAGTATCGATAGGTTTTTCAGAGTATTTTTGATAAATGTTGATTCTCGCTGCATGCTACACCCTTAATTCGGAAGTTATAATGGTTTGGCGTTCTGATTAATATACTATGTTGAAGTAAACAGAAAGATATTCTATCATGTGAAAGAGCAGCGTGCTGTCGATAGGAGTATGATGATGCGAAATATCATTTTCCTCACACATATTTTATTATACAGAACGAAGCAACAGTAGATAACAATAAAGTTTTCATAATCACCTGTATACTCACTTCCGACAGTGACTTTGTTTAAAAACCATTCTTTAAATGCAGAATCTCCAAAATATCATCTACATCTCTTTCTACGTTTGTTAGTACATATAAACATTATTTTCTTGCACGCGTTCATTCCATCATCATGAACTGTGTTTTTCTCTTCTTCACAAGATGTGCAAAAACCTATTTTATTCAGCGTATAAAAGTAAACTAATATGATATTTCCAGGAAAATGCGTCACTCTCACACCCTCAAGTTCGAAATATATCACGAATGTTTTTTCTCAACGATGAACAAGTGACATGATCAAAGAAAATAGATAGGCTTTCGCATTTACTTCGATATGTGGTCCGCACAGAACGACACGTCCTTTACCATAAGTACCTTCAATGATCGTAGCTTTGTTTTTAAGAAAATCGTGAAACTTTGAATTTGAACTGTCGGTATCAGTAATCGTTGCTAACACTGTCACGTTTGTTGGTAACTGATCCGTTTGATAGACAGCACCATTATGATACGTTGTTTTGTAGGTCGTGTTCGTCTCAGCATCGGTCAACGTTACATTAGCTCGAATGTTTGCGTTAGAACCATAGAGAGAGTATCGAACTGGAAGGAGGCCTATACCGACATTTTTTCGATTTTCTATATCGTTCATCGAGGCGAGATATGCACCAGCACAAAGTCCCAGATAGCCTCCACCATTGGCAACAAAATTTTGAATCAATGTAATACCATTCTCTCTTAAATGTACTTGATAACGTTTTGCAGTGCCACCAGGAACTATTAGCACATCATAGTCGCCGGTGAGCTGCGTAATATCAGAGGAAATCGTGTATGCAATTTCTTTATTGTCGAAGAGGCTAATAAGAGAAATAGCATTTATCTTGTTTGTTGTAAAAATAAAGATGCGCATCTGGAATAATAATATGTAAAAATGAAGGAACAAGTTTCGAAGCCAAGTGTTTTTGTCGCTCTAAAAATATACTTAACAATCTGTCTAGAAATAATCCATAGAGAGAATCTTAAATAACTTCAACCTTGTATGGGAACAGAAAAAGGCGAAAAGAAAGAACGAAACTGATTTGTGTTGAAGGTATAAGCAAAGAATTATTCATCCAGATGACTAATAGTTGGTGTTGCAAGATTGTTTGAGTCGTTGTCACCACCAAAAAAAACTTTTCATCCTTTCTCTTCTGCTACTCAATTTTGACAGACAGAATGCATAGTTATGATATTTCCGCAGTGTTGAATTACATTGTGTGACTAGAACGCTGTAAAATCAGGTTTCTTTAGGATGAAATCAATTATGAAAGTGTACGCGCTGTTCATCTTATTTCCGCTGCGTTGAATATTTTTAGTTCATGCTATTTTATTTCACATAAAAAAGAGTGCTCATTATAACATCAGTAAACGCACGGTACGCATAATCTTACTCCGTTTCCTAGAAAAGATGAGTACAACAGCGTCCGCTAACTCCTCACTTAACACCGAAGACTACCGTCTGGTTGCTCTTATATCGCTCATATTCGTCCTTATAGCTGTAATAATCAGTGCTTTTATCTTCATCTTAGTATGGCAAACCAAACCTCGCCTACACACGATCAATCATCTACTCATGTGCAATACAGCTCTCGCAACTGTTTTCTATTGTGTCACGATGAAAGTCAACTTTGCCTATGTTCTCTTTGGTCAGTGGGATACGAGTGATCTCAGCTGTCGATTCCGTGCATATTTTGCTTATAGTGGAATTGCCGGAGTCATCTATTCATATCTTATCCAAGCGATTTCGAGATTTTTCTTCTCCGTGCTTTCGAACAAATACCGTCGACTGACTTCATTCAAGACACACTATATTCTGATTATTTGTCAATGGCTTGTGGTATTCTTAGTCACATCACCTTCAGTTTTGACAAATGATATTTATTTTGTTCCGCATGTCTTCTGCTGGGTGCCATTGGAGCTTGTGATGCATCTAGCCTATACAGCTTTTGCCTATTACATTCTACCAGTTGTAGTTATTGTAACCATCTATACATATATTTATGTACAAATTCGGAAAGTGAGAGCGAATGCAACTGCTGCATCGCAAAACAGTCAAAAACGTGAGCTGGAATTACTTCATCGAATTATTATACTTCTCGGTATCTATTTAACAGGTGGAATTCCATCGCTACTGTTCATGGTAACATCTATTCGACTGATTTACATGATAAATCTAGTTAGTCCATCGGTGGTTGTGTGTGTAGAGAAAATATGTACGATTCTGCTTGATCGGGAGATGTGTCAAGTGATTAGAGCAAAGGTCTTTCGATTAACACCTGTAACACCGTTTGCAACTGGGCTTGTACTGCTAACCAATGTTCCGACACAGAGAACCGTGAGACATAATGTTTAAAGACCGTATTTTGATGAATGTTGTATCAAACTATTTATAAACCTTCAAAATGTGATTTCTTGCTTACCTGGATATATGAACGTCTGCCACTCTAACTCGATTTTTCACATCATCGAACAGTTTACTTTCAAGGAATCTTTCGCTGATCGACGCGTATTTCAACATCTGCCTAGCATAATAACGAAGGCATTATGAGAATACAGCTTTCTTTAGACTTTTTTAGAGATGCATGTGCTTCCGTTAAGTGATATACTAAAAAGATCTACAGAGCGTTCGTATGTGACACTATCTTTACAGCTTCAAGCTCATATTTCATTTAATGTCGCTTCCAAAAAGACCAGTGCGTCGACAAAATGACAGTCTCGAGGTCTTACCGCCAATGCTGCTAGACCTCGATAGATCGTGACATAATCCAACTGTGGATCGTTTTTCTGTGCTATGCGCTGTTGCATCAAATAGTTATAAACTTCTTCAAACTTGCTTTCACCTAACAAATCAATAGCTTTTCTAAAAATAAATACACCACTGTTCGTATACCATCGAGAAAATTTGCGCATACTTTCGTAACCCATCTATTTTCATCCTTATGTCTGCTGATTCAGATGATTTGTCTTCCTTGTGCTGTTCACTATCGTGCACTGTATCGATTTGTTTGATTGCTCGTGGTATTGCCGGCAGAATGCGTTTGCTATTTGACCAGTTTTTCTGTCTAGTGCTGCTATTATCTTCACAAGATGATTGATTTGTTACTATGCTGTTCATTGCATTCGTCAGCTTATTTTGTTGATCCGATCGGTTGGTATTGTTCTATTTAAATGTTTAAAGTCAAACGTGAGGTATCCTCCTGCAATATCTACTTGATGAGTACTGAGCAGACGTGAATATAGCAATTTCTCGGCACTCGGTCGTTTTAGCGGATCGTTAGCCAACATTCTGCTCATGAAAAGATTAATATCCATGTATTTGAATAGATAAAAGACTTACTTTGTGAATAAATCATTTAGCTCTTTACTATATACTTTTGGAAGATAAAATCTCTTTCCTCCGTTGCACAACATGTTTGTCATAATATTCATCACAAATGTATCAAGAATATTATGTTGAAAAGTACACATTTCATATAACAAACAACCGATTGCCCTTTGAGAGAAAATCTCCTGAAGTTTTCTTTGCACTTTATGAACCCTACCAGATATCAGATGTTGCCAAGAACACATTGTTGTTCAATACTTCCGGTGCTAGAAAGTATCTTTTTTAAAGAAGAAAAATAAACAGAACTATTTTGAAATTTATTTGAAAAGAAACTTACGGAAACTCAGTAAATGTTGACGCGACATCAATACTGGGATACGATATGCTTGTAATGTCAAAATTTCCCACTTTGATTTTATTTGACTTCAAAAATAGATTTTTTAATTTCAAATTTCGATGAAACATGTTTGACTTATGCATATAGTTCACAGCAGTTAAGATTTGTACCAACCATTCGATCACTTCATCTTGTATCATCGCCTCAGTTTGCGTATTCAGATACTGTTCCATGTTACCATCTTCGCAATATTCTGCCACGATATACAAATGATTCTGCTCTGTGAAGGTTTCATGATACTGAATAAGGCATCGATGAGTCTTGCTTTGACGGCTATAGAAAAATCTTACTTTCACAATGTGTTTGTTGTTTAAGTCTACTAGGCGTTTAGCTCTATCGATAATTTCAGGTGCATGTTCATGAAGTGCACCATTCAACGGAATGATTTGTAACACTTTTCTATGAAGATAAATGGTAGATTTATACAAATCGAAGACTCATTAATTAAAATACAATTCATTTTCCGCTTCGACATCAGTCACAAGATACGCTGTCTGAAAATTTTCTTCGCCAAGTTTTCTTTGTAATCGGTACCGATTGTTGTAAATTACCGGCTCACTGTTCTCAGCCATTGTTATCACAGTATAAAATAAAAACACGAGCCGAAAACTTTGGATTTATATTTCAGCGACGCAGAAGCTCGTTTCTTATCAGTGACGACAAAACTTTGCCTCTCTCGACGAAAGGTAAGAGAAAACGATAAACTTGCATTTATGAATACAAAAAAGATTGAGACTAAAGTTGATTTCATTTTTGTTCCGTCACCTGTATCAGAAATATGATAGGACAGCATTTGACTACACACAATTTGATGAATTGTCGAATTATTACTGTTTCCGTGATAACGACAGGAATTATGATGATGGAAGAAACTTCTTTCTAAGAAGTTGACTGGTAAAAAATAATTAGAGAGATATTCTCTGAAGGATGCAGACGCTCCTTTTTTTGTTTCCGCCAACTCGAGTACTCTTATTACCGCCATGTTTGAATTCACCGACTTATTTTTTATATTCTCCTACTTTTTAATTAAAAAAGCAGTATTCATTTTGTTTCTTCTTTTCGAAATAACATGAATGTAACGTTGCTTGTTAGCAGCAACACTGAAGACTACCATCTCGTCGCCCTTATATCGCTCATATTCGTCCTTATAGCTGTAACAATCAGTGCTTTTATCTTCATCTTAGTATGGCAAACCAAACCTCGCCTACACACGATCAATCATCTACTCATGTGCAATACAGCTCTCGCAACTGTTTTCTATTGTGTCACGATGAAAGTCAACTTTGCCTATGTTCTCTTTGGTCAGTGGGATACGAGTGATCTCAGCTGTCGATTCCGTGCATATTTTGCTTATAGTGGAATTGCCGGAGTCATCTATTCATATCTTATCCAAGCGATTTCGAGATTTTTCTTCTCCGTGCTTTCGAACAAATACCGTCGACTGACTTCGTTCAAGACACACTATATTCTGATTATTTGTCAATGGCTTGTGGTATTCTTGGTCACATCACCTTCAGTTTTGACAAATGATATCTATTTTGCACCAAACACTTTCTGTTGGGTACCCGTATATCGCAAAATACATGTAGCTTATACAGCTTTTGCCTATTACATTCTACCAGTTGCAATTATTGTAATCATCTATACGTATATCTATGTACGGATTCGGAAAGTGAGAGCGAATGCAACTGCTGCATCGCAAAACAGTCAAAAACGTGAGCTGGAATTACTTCGCCGAATCGCTATACTTCTTGGTATCTATTTAACAAGTGGAATTCCATCGCTACTGTTCATGGTAACATCTATTCGACTGATTTACATGATAAATCTAGTTAGTCCATCGGTTGGTGTGTCCATTGAGAAACTGTGTACAGTTCTGCTCGATCGAGAAATGTGCCAGATAATTAGAGCTAAGATGCGTACAGTAACACGTGTGACACCGTTCGAAAATCGAATGGTATTAACAATTGATGACCGAAAACAAAATGCTTGATACGAGCAAAATGTCAACGGATAACTCTCTATAAATAGCATGCTATTTTTAGAAATGACTCGAGGCTGACTACAACATTTATCTCCGTCTTTTATATAAATGCGATCCGGGTAGTTAGGAATGCATACTTTCTTTGTTGTGGCTAATGTTTATGCAGATAAATGGTAGAAAGAACGGTTGTCTGAACGTGTGTTAATACACCAAATGTAGGTACGACATAATCGAATCTTTTTCATGTGATCGATTTCGATGTCTATAGAGTACGAGAAAGAACGCATTTGTGTGGATCGAACGTATTTTTTCAAACTTTACAACAGTATTCGCAAGTTTTATTTTAAAAAAAAGCAATAAATATTCACTGACTTGTTCATTGTTTGCGTTCTGAGATCATTTAGCGATTGCTTCCATCTATCCAAATTCCACTTGGAAAAATCGTCTCGATCATGAGCGCAAATAAGAGTTTTATGTAATTCGGTGCACCTATTTCTCACTCGTTCGTGAACTTCCTCATACCGTTGATTAAAATCTGCACCTATTTTCTCTGCTATGTGTTTACTTTTGCCAATCGATTCTTTTCCCCATGTATGAATTTTCTCCAACGCAGACTAATCGACTGCAAACTGATTGGGTTGTTCTTGAAGGTCATTATAATCTTACATCACACTCTTCAAATCATCCCCGAGCTCTTTGCAATGTTCGCCGGTGTGCCGTACACAAAATACTCGTCGACATTCTTCACAAGTGAATACGTCTCTATCACTTTTCACGCCGTCACATTTCGCACGTTTGTCTAAAACGAAGACAGACATGGTTGTACGAAATAAACATTTCATTGCGCGGTGTTGACAAAGAGAAGCTGTATTTTTCTCCATGATAAATCCTCAGAACAAAAAGAAGACATTTGACGATGCATTTCATTCATTTTTCTTCGAAATGATAAGATACATATGATTATTTAAAAATGACTGCGAAGGGACGGTAACTCCACCAATCATCTTCACAAGCACATAATATACTTTTTTCGATAGCGTTCTTTTTTCTCACTTCAGCTTCAGTTCACAGCTAGAAAGCAAATCTTCGTGAAAATATCTTCAAGCGCCATACGCTGTTTGCTTCATTTCTTCCTCTTTCCTCTTCAAACAGTCATATACATGAGGAATTTTTGCAATTGTCCATTCATATTGACAACAGAATGTGTCATAATTTCTTGTTACTATAAATTTCATACTTGAGAAATATTTTCCTTGTCAAATACTGATTAAACTATGTCTGCATATCTCGACGAACATTAAATATCACACAATGAACTGCGTGAGAACTTGATCAAACGGAATTTAACACCAAAGTTTGTTCGTTAGCGGTGATACCAGGATTTTACGGCGTCGTTTGATACATAATTGGAAACCACGCGAAAAACCATTGTATCAGTTCCTTGCGGTAATCGATTTTGAAGCAACGTGCGTAGCTCGACCACTTGATCCTTACATTCAAGAAATCAAGGAATTTCCAATCGTGCTGATGGGCGTTAATCAACAAAGCGTTGTATGTCAAGACGCATTTTTTCGATCCATTTCTAAGATGAATAGTTTAAGACTGATACATTTCATTCGTACTGTCGACCAGTGCTTCAGCCAATCTTGTCGGATTACTGTAAACAATTGACTGGAATAACACAGGAGCAAGTTAATCACGCGCCAACGTTTACAGAAGTGTTTGCTAACGTGGAAAAATGGTTGAACGAAAGAAATCTAATACTGGATTCAAAAGAAATATGTTTGTTTATTACTGACGGGTACAGTGTGTCGTGAACGAACATCATTAATTCGTCTTTTTTTTTTAAATAGGCCTGCAGATTTCAACAAATATTTGCGCAAGCAGCGTGAAATCTCTCAAATAAAGTATCCGAATTGGGTATCTCAATGGTTGAATGCTAAGAAAACATTTCGAAACTTTTATTTCGTTACACCCGGTCGTAAGTAGAAAAAAAAGCTAATCTCTCATCGAAAAAAGATACGTTTGCTTAGGTATAAAGAATATGTTAGACAGTTTGCAGCTTCCATTTGATGGAAATCTTCACTCGGGTTTGGATGATGCAAAAATAGTCATTCAACTGATTCAGGTAAACTATCCTTGAGTAAATAATAGACAATGTTGAATATCTTTCTAAAAAGGATGGATGTGTCTTGATACCTAATGAATTCTATACTTCGTCGGTGATTCCATCGGGACGATTCGCATCTATTCGAAATGATCCTACAAGTAGAAGATGTCTCAATTGTTCAAGATCTCATTTTACTGGTGGATCTTGCATTAAAGGCACAAGTAAACGAAGACAACGACCAAAATACCATCGATCGCTATCACGAGAAACGATTCCAGCTGCAAGTCGGCGCCTGACGAAACACTAGTTTTCGTACATTTCTAATCAGACAACGCGTGTGTTAATAAATGAACACTTTTAGGATCTTCTATCAAAATATTTTTTTATTGTTCTTGTTCTCATATAATTTGAAAACTACTTTTGCACACATGAAAATACAAAAACAGTCCATATTCAATCGGATTCATATGAATCTATAGGAATACACCGATGTCTCCGGAATGACTATCAATAATTGCCAAATCTAACTTTTGATCGTTAGTGAAATCATCGGAAATGATTCAAGACGGATTGATACCAACTGTGACATTTTATTACGTAACTGGAATCCTCACACTCTCACCCACACCCACCCCGTCTTACATGGCTAGACTCTGTATCAACCACATCTGTCTGTTAAAACTTATTAATCAGTTCATTTCGAGTTTTCAAATCGCATACTACAAATAACTATTCAAAATTGTGATGAAGCAGTAGATGTTATCGAATTGAATGAAAACGATGCTAGAAGACTTTCCTTTCGTTCCATATACTCCACTGCGCATTGTTGTAAACTACTAATAAAACTTAAGTCATGCTTTGGATTAATATTATGCACAAGTTCATGGCAGGTAACCATGAAATAGAAGTTGATTATTGTAGTCACAATACTGTTCGATGCTGTCGGTCTGTCAAAATACGCTTGCAGTTCAGCAGCATAGATTTGCTCGAAATAGCGAAGATTGAAGAAAAGTGCACCGTCGGCATTGAATGCTATGCGAGCTAAAACGAACAAAACTGCGAAGAAAGCTCGTTTCCATGCATGCACTTACATCCGTTGATATCCCGATAGAGATGCAGCGATTCAGTGGGCAGTTCGAAAACATGTTCAGCCAGACTGATTAGTATGTGATTGAGTAGTATGGCATGATCGATCATATCGGATGTGATTTTAATGCCTTTCTCAACAAATAATGGTGTGCGAAGGTTAGAATTATGATAAATTTCCATATTAGCATTCGGTACGACTTCACATGATTCATACTGCTCCTTTCTGATATATCCATTGTGAATAATCACAGAATTAGGATATGATCGGCTTTTTTTGGGTAGTCGACGTAATTGTCTGCTTATCTTCTGATTTTTGGATTTGAAATCTTCAGTAGGAGGAATGACTGTGTCTGATTGATGATCATGCGGACGATGTGCCCTTTCTGACAAAGGTCTGCTTAAATCTGTTGTTGTCACTCGATCCTGGATTTGATCCTCGTTAGGTACAACAGGTTCAGTGTGATGAGGAGGTGGCTGATCACTAGATATTATAGAATATTTAGATCTCTTGTTGGACGGACGGAGAAACTTGAATACGCCGAAAATACTGAAAAAAAAATCAGAATGATCTGTTCATTACTATTGATCAAATCTGTTGATAATGCTGCTTACGCTGCTAATGGTAATGGAATATTTTTCGATTTCGTTTGTCGTTCTTGTTCTTCTTTCGATGAAGCTTGTGAATAGTGTGCTACGTAAACAAGAGAGGTCTGGCCTATTAAGACTTCTCAAATCAACATACGTCTCGTTTCTAGCAAAGATCTCACAGGAAGACCTTGTCGTTCCAGTGATTCCAACGACGATGTCAGCCGAATCGATATGATAGGAATAAATGTTTCGGGTGCATCATCGAAAACAAATCGTGCCAGTTCACTGGCAATGTCAAAATAATCGTAGTCCGAAATGGATGTATCACGTCGAAGATATAATACTAGTTCGTTTTCTTTCTTTTGCAATGTACACGAACTGCTGTTTTTTGACTAAAATTACCAAAAAAAATTGAAATCAGTAATCATCGACAACAAATACTGACGTCGAGTAATTCCGTTCTATTTTGAAATGTCAAACTGCATTTGATATTTTTAACTTCCACAACTAATAGACTCTTTCCCAGCATATGAAAACGTTCTTTGTTCAAACTAGCTAATGGTTCACCCTAGAAAGCAAATTGGATCAATGTATAATCCCGACATTACTGACTTGCTTATTGACGAATAGGATATTCAAACGTTCCTGGATCTTTTCTTTTAATTTCTCCGTTTGCCCGGTTGATGAAGATCGTCCTAGAATTATTCACAAGTTCATAATCATGTTATTCATTGCTCGTTCACCTGTCGGTACGAGATCTCGAGTGATACATTCGGATAGCCATTTCGCTCCGAATTGTCGATATAATTTATTTAATTCCACGTCATTCGAACAGATCGGTTGATGAGTCAGTACACATTGTGGATCATCGTTGAGATAAATTTGTGTCGGCGTGACGATCCGATAGAAGTGCGTTTGATAACCAAGACACCAGGCTTCGGTTTTTAATCGCTTTTCTAAGGGCCCGTGGATAAACTCGGGCGTTTTAATTGACATCACTGCGATTCGTTTCAAACAATCCGTATAAACATCGACCTTTTGTGCTACACTAATGCGATCATCTGTAGTACTCGAAAAATAAGTTTTCTGTCGATCAAGAAGCAGCTCGGCAAGCAAGGGGATCGTTGGATAATGAAGTACACCGATCGTCAAGAGAAATGCATTCCCTTCGAGTCCAAAATCGACATAATCGATCAGACCAGCGGTATTCAAATCGGGAGAAATCGAACTATTCACTTGCCGAATGAAAACTTGCGTTGGTTTCAATAGTACTGGTGAACCATCCAAAGGAATGAAAGCCACGCCCGACAAACGTTTAATAAACGTTTGATTGAGTCCTTCAAGTCCATTTAAATACGCGAATATTGAACCGGCAGATGTTGTGGTTAATAGTTCTGTTTTTCGTTCCATAACTTTATCGAATGCTTGTGTGATAGTTGGCTGTTCTTTGATCCCGAGCAATGAAATGATATGGAACTTCTCGAATAGTTCCACTAGTTCAGGTAGAAGAGTAGCATAGAGTGGATTTGATTTGAGAAAGACTTGGTCTATTCTGGATAAGATAACTTCTCGATGATTTGTCAGATTTGATGGAAGAAATAATTGTTGGATGTCATTTGTTTTCCAGACTATTGCAT